GCCTGCACTCAGCCCCTGCCCTCAGCCCCTCCGCCCTCTTCATCCTCCTGGAACACGCAGGCTAGCTCGTCTGTCTGACACGCCCTGCCCCCATATCTGACCACTTCCTTTCATTCAGGTCTGGGTGGAGATGTCACCACCTCTGTTCATTCATTCCCTGTGCGCTTGGGGTGCCGTGGTGAAAAAGGGTGGAAGTCCCTGAGTAAGAGTAAGAAAACTTACCCTTGTGGAGGTTGCACAGGTAATAAGCAAGATTAGTAAGTGAACTGTTCCGTCATGACTAGTGCTAAGGAACACAGCAAAGGCAGGAAGCAGGAAAGAAAATGTCAGGGGAGGGAGAGTTGAGTAGAGGCGAAGGAGAGAGGCATGTGAGGATCTGGAGGAAAAGCATCCCAGGCCCTGAGGGGACAGTGAATGCATGGGCCCCCGGCTCAGAACGGTCACCCAGGCCTTCCCACCACTGAAGCCTGGGTTCTCTACCGTAGTATCTTCCTTTATTTCCTTGTCAGCCCTGATCTCTATCTGAAACCATCTTGCTGACTGATTTGTGTACTTGTGAGTCATCATTCTCTCCCCTGCGAGGATGTAGCTTGGTGAAATAGGGATCTTGTCTGTGCGTCTGTCACTGCTGTATCCCCAGTCCTAGGAGAGGGTCTGCTCCGTGCCAAGCCCTGTAGCACTGCTTGCGCTCCTCCCAGCAGACCTATGCGGGAGGGAGTGCATCCACCTTCACAGGTGAGCTTGCTGGGCCTGGCAGAACTATCTTGGGAGGCCATCCAGCCTGGAGGAGCTGAGCTGTGGTGGTTGAGGCCTGGCTGTTGGTACGGAGCCCTGGGCTCTTTCTCTTATGTCCCCTGCCCACCTCCCCACCCCCAGGAGTGGGCTGAATAGGTAGAATGTGTTCCATACCAGCAAGCTCCAGGCCCGGGATCCTGAGTCCTCTCCACAGAGAATCTGCATGTCTGGGGTGAGTGGAGCTGAGGATTTGCCTGGAGGTGAGTCCAGCCTGGCCCACACCTGTCACCCCTTCAACAAAGGATGGAGCTTTTTTATGCCTAGACCCGGGTGGTTATTTCTGTATTGGGAGCTGCACTGAAGAGCAGATGCTGTGGCTGCCCCACCTTGATCCTGGCTCCATCACGCCACACCAGTGGGGTCTCAGCCCCCTGTGGAATAAGCGGCAGGTCCGTGCTAGGCCGCCCAGCCCTGTCCAGCTGGACCTCGCCAACACCACTCAAGCAGCAGCCAGGCCCCAGGCCCCAAACTGCTTGGTTGGCTCCAAGTTGAAGGCATGTGGGAGTGTGTGTCTGTGAGTATCTGCGCCTTTTAACTGCAGGGGTGTGATTAGCCATCCTCTGTCCTGTCACCATTCATTCTTTGCTGCCTCCGAGAGACCTTAGATTTGGGTGTTTGCCAGACCTGGGGTCAAATCTGAGTTCTGCCGGTTCCTCCTTGGTGACCTTGGACGAGTTGCCCAATCTCTGTGGTCTTCGTTTCCTCATCTGCCAAGCGAGGATGTTCCACTCGCCTGCCAGGGAAGCTTGCAGAAGGTGAACGAACATCGCTCGCTCACAAGCACACAGGGAAGTGCAAAGGAAAGGAGGGGTCAGGATGTGTCCCATCACGCCTCTCTGCCCACCCCTGGGTGGGGGGATTTAGGGAGGATTTTCTGCTCTGGATTGTTTGCTTTTTCTACAAAGAGTACAGGTTACTTGAGCAAAATGTTTAAAAAGTAACAAGAATAACACGCAAGGGGCAGGTACAGTGCCTGGTACGAAGCCGGCACTCCAGGGGGCATTTGGGTGCATGGAGTGCCCTCCCTGCCCTCCTGAGTGGGCATCTCCCACCCACCTCCACATCCTGTCTCCTTCCTTCCTACTCACACCTCCTCCCCCAGGACTGCAGTGTCGCCCTTGAGCCTGTGTGGGTCCTTGATACAGATGACCCTGTGCCCTCTTGTCCCCACCCTGCACCTGCAGGGGTCCTGCAGGGCAGAGCCCAGGTTGGCCTCTCCCTGGGGTCCACAGGCCCCTCTCCTCCTCCTTCAGGGCGTCACTCCCAGCTTCCTCTGACTTATGACCCAGTGACCTAGGCCCAGGCAGGGAGAGCAAGCCCCCCAGGAGCCCGGAACAGCCGATTATGAGCTTGGCCCTCCCCCACTGCTGGAATGTGAGGCCTGCGGCTCAGCTGTTTGTCCAGGAGGCCGAGGTTGGTCCCTGCAGGCTCGGGAGTCTGTTTTCACTCCTAGTCCCAGGAGCCTCCAGAACTTTCCTGTGTTTGTTCCCTGAACCCTCTACGGGGCCCGAGGTCAAGAGGGAACCAGGGAGTTTCCTGACTACCTGCCGTTCCGTGGGCAAGTGGGGTGCCCTGCTCTGGCTCCTCCAAGATGTAAGGACACAAACCCCTCATATCCACTCCTTCCTCCCCCACAAGTGGCAGGCGTTTCAGTTTCCCCAGAAGGTAAAGGCCCTCTGAGGGCTGGTCCCCGCCTGTTCCCAGCTGAGGTGGTATTTAGATTGCCCCAGTGTGTCTCTCTCTGCCGGGATGTGTGTCTCTGTGGAGTGGGGTGACCCCCTCCCAGCTTGGCAAGCCCTCCATTGCTCTGCCAGAAGACACCCCCCCGCCACATGCACATGCCTCAAGGGAGCCCCCAGTCTTTGACCACACAGGGTCCTTTATGTGCCAAGTTCGGCCTGGTGGGTAATTTTTGTGGCCTCCCAAGAAGCCAGAAACTTCAGGGCATCCTTAGGTCTCAGCTTAAATTCCTTCTTCTCCCATAGGACACCCTCCAGAGCTGGACTAGGTGCCCCCTTGTGCCTCTCCATGAGAGCACTCAGCATGTGGGACTGTCCTGCCTTTACCTGCCCTGACCCCAGAGTAAGCTCCTCCAGGCCGGGACGGGCCCTGGTTCCTTCCCTGTATAATGCAAATGAACAGTCATTTCTGCGGTAGGCCCGAGCCCCTGCGTTTTCAAAGACAGGCCTTGGTGTCTGTGGTCAGTGGGAGGCTGAGGCGCTACTGCCGGAAGCCAGAAGCCGGAGCACAGATGATCCTTCCCCCTTCCCCCAAGGATGATCCAGAAATAGTTTCCCCTTGGATTGGGAATGCATTGTACGGTGGGCAGACAGTTTTTGAGTCTTGAGCTAGTTTCTTTATTGGGAATAGATTTCTTCTCTTGATTAGCCTCCACCTGACCCCATAGGAAAGGGAGGCTTTCTGAGCGCACCCCATCAGGCCAGGAAGCCTGGGGCTAGGGCTGTGGCTGCAGAGACCCCAGCAGCCTCGTAGAGTGGACCAAGCTCCACTGTGGCCCTCGAGCATGGGGTGGGATGGACCAGCATCCCCTGACTGCGTTCTCTGCACACTCATCCACTCGGGTTCCTGACAGCTGTGGCTGGCAGCAGCAGCCCAAGCCGGAGTCCCTTGACAGCCTTCCCTGAAGTTAGAAGGTAGAGTCAGTCCAGGTGTGCTGACTCCCCGAGAGATTTCTGTTGGATCCTGGCCTGGATTTGTGGGGGCCTCTCCGCTGCCTCCATTTGGGTTCTGGTCTGGTTGCCCAGATGGACAGCCTTTGCATTCCCACCTTCCAGCCGGCTCTTGGGAGAGGCTTGTGAAGTTTCCCTTTCTGTTTAGCCAGAGTTTTATGGTTTTTTAGAAAACAGGTTAACAATTAAGCTAATTAACCTCAGGGCCTCTGGCCTCCTTGCTCCTATAAAGCCAGGCGAAATGGCTTCCTCCCCCAGCTTCCCCCGCTGGCTTTATAAGGCCATGGATGGCCAGGAGCAAGCGTTAGAGCATTAACCAGCCCCAGGCCTCCAGGTACAGAGGTCCCTCCTGTTTCCTCTCAGGGACCCACACACTGCCAGTGGAGCAAGGGTGCATGGGGTGGTGGATGGTGGAGCTGGCCTGGCCGAGGGGCAGCCACCTGCTGGGCTTGTAGACAGAGGCTCATGGCTGCCTGGACTTGGCCAAGCGTTGATTGGGTGGCAGGGTGGGTGGGGCCTGGTGTCTGCCTCACCTCAGTGGTCAACAGCTCCTCCCCTTTCTCTAGGGAGCTGCAAAGGAAGCAAGATGAGGCGGTTCCTGAGGCCGGGACACGACCTTGCACGTGAGAGGCTCAAGCGGGACCTCTTCCAGTTTAACAAGGTAAGAGAGAGCGGAGACAGGACCAGGTGTTTATGGCGGGCACGATGTTATCAACCTCACCGTAGGCTGGGGCTGGGGGCGTTTGGGTTGCCTTTACCTGGATTAAGGTGCTTACTTGGTATTGCCTGCAATGCCTCATGGGAATCTGACCTTAGAAATGGGGTCTGATTAGAGAGTTTTCCTGGGAAAGGGCAGTGGGATGCCCAGGAATCAGGACTCTTTGTCCCAAGTCTCTTACTGGCTGTGTGACCTCTGCAAGTCACTCCGCCTCTTCTAGCCTCAGTTTCCCCACCTGTAAAATGGGGCTAAAACAGTCTGCCCTGCCTATCTCCTTGCAGGGTTGTTGAGGAGTCTTAGAGATGGAAAGATGGAAGGAAACTGCAAGGTGTAATAATGCTCCTGTGAAGGCAGGTCCCTTGGGGCCCTGGGGCCACAGGCCATGGCTGTTCCTTCTCTCCTCAAATTGTCCCCAAAGGAAAAGGCAGCTTTCCTTGCAGGCAGATACACAATTCCTTCTGGCAGGCTCCAGGCCTGGGTGAGTGGGCAGAGGTGCCTGGGAGAATATGCCAGGGTTGGCATTTGACTACCCCAACCCCACACTTGCTCCCAAGGCCCCCGAAGCCAGAGTGACCTGTCACCTGAGATCACGGGGAGGGTCCCAGAAGCTCCACAGGGCTTCCCCAAGGGGCTGGTGCCTGAGAAGGCCAGAGCTGGCCTGTGAATGGGAGGAACACAACGTGGTTTATTAGCTCTGCGGCCACCTAGCAATCTGCAGCCTCTGCAGCTGTTTCGGGGTAATTAGCCTCTCTCACTTCTGCTTTGATCTAGGCCCTTGGCCTCCATGCCCAAGCTTCCCTCTGCCCCGGAAGGTGGACTGCAGGAAGTGGAGCACCATGATGTTCTTCCCCGCAGGGATCCAGGGACCCCTGCAGGATGTGCTGATGGGTGGGGGTTCACATCCAGATTAGCTGTTTAGGAGCTGGGTGACCCTGTGCCTGTTTGGCCTGTTACAAGGATTACATGGAATTAGATCATTCAAGTGCTAGACATAGTGGTCTGGGAACGTTAACTGTTGTTTTCGGGGGCTGCCTCCCAGGGAGAGAGAGCTCCTTGGGGCTGTTCAAGGTGGGTCAGGGTCCCAATGTGCCCTGCTGTTTTCCTCTGATTTTCTTGACCTGTAGGAGATGTCACCGATGGAGCTCTGCTAAGAGGCCACCCACTTCTGGGATCAGGGCTTCCCTAAATGAACACCTCCTCCCACTGGTGGAAGGAAGCTGTGGGCAGGGCTTTTGGGCCTTGGGAAATAGGGTGCAGGTGTTGGGAATGGGGGAACTCGGGGCCCCAGGGGCCTGCCACCCTTGCTCCCAAGGGAGCTGCCCATGGGTGTTCCGTGCAGGTCTCAGAACCTCAGCAGCTGCTGGGGGGCCTAGGTCACCCCTGTGCGTCTCCGTTGTCCCTGATGACACCGAGATTTCACAACCCCAAAAGGTGGCCAGTTCCAGTGGAAACTGGGTAGACAGGTTCAACAAAGAGGGAGGAACCCCCTTCCCAAGTTCCAACTGTGCAGCAGGCTGGGACTGGGGTGGAGGAATTGTTCCCCCAATGCCCCACAACTGGTTGTTCCTAAACTTGGCTGCCCTAGCCCCAGGCCTGGCTGGGGAAGGGGGAGAGGAGCCTCCTGGAATTCCTTCCTCCTTCCATTCACTTGCAAGAAACCTGCATTGAGCACCTACTGGATAAACAGCCCAGGGCTGGAGCTGTGGGAATCTCAGATGATAAGACCTTCGCCCTCCAGGAGTTTTATAGTCCTGACGGTATGAAATTCTACTTCCTGGGAGTGGAAAGGAGGAAGGGATAGTCTTGGGGGACAGGGGCTTAGTCTCATCTAGGCTCTGGGTGCATGGTGGAGCCTGAAGGGTTGGAATTGGAGGGTGAGGCCAGATCCTGGAAGATTTGGGAGCCTAGGTGGTCCCACCCACACCAGGCCCTCCCCAGCCCCAGGCTCTCCCCAGGCTAGGGGTCAGGGAGGCTACAACCTGGGAGTCTGGGCCTGACACACTAGAGCCTGGTGGGTTTTGAGCGGAGGAGGAAGCAGTCTCATTTAAGGTTTAGAGACAATAACCCTGGGGCCTTTTTTTTTTAACCTGTAGAGGTACACTCAGAGCAGCTAGGAGACCATTGCAGTGACTGGGTGGGGCTCAGGGCATGAACAGAGCAGGGTTTCTCAACCTCGGCGCTACTGACGTCTGGGGCTGGCTGTGTGATGAGGACGTTTAGCAACATCCCTGGCCCTGCCTCCCCAAGATGTACAACTGAAAATGTCTCCAGACACTGCCCGATGTCCCCTAGCAGATGAAATGGCCCCTGGTTGAGGGCCACTGGATTAGAGAACTAGTCAGGGCATCAGATTGATGAGACCTGGTGACAGAGGGAATGTGGGAGTAAGAGGGCAGGGAAGGGAGGTGGGTGTCCACCATGACTGTGGGGTCTCCATCCTGGGTGGGTGAAGGTGCCAAGCACTGGGGTGGGAGACCAGGAGGCACGAGGCGCAGGTTTAAGGAAAGTGATATGTCTGGTTTGGACAGAATAGCAACAACCATGGTCTCCACTCATCGAGAGGCAGTTTCACCCAAGGGTTAGTGGTGTGAACCCCGGAACCTGACTGCCTGGGTTTACCAGCTTGGTGACCTTGGGCAAGTCACTCATTTCTGCAATGGAGATGATAATAGAAACTACCTCATAGAGTTGGTGTGAGGACTAAATGAATAATCGAAGGGCCATCCGTGACTAGTGGCTACAGTATCAGATAGCACAGCTCTGTGGATGTTATCTGGCTTGAGGTTTAGTTTGGGGAGCCTTGGGACCCTCGGGTGAGAGAGGGTCCTAGCAGACGGTGGGATCTGCAGAGCCGGAGCTCTGAGCCTCAGGTGGCCTGTGATGCAGCAGTTATTCACACATAGGTGAGGGTCAGCCCTCTGGAGAGTGCCCACATCTGGTGAAGCCAGCAGTGACTAGACCAGATAGGTGGCTCTGGTCACCTCTTCTGAGAGCTCCATCCTGGAAGTGCCAGTCTGCAGGGCACTGTGCTTGGGAGGGAATTGGGACAGTGGCACCATCATAGGCCTGCCCCAAGCAGCTTCAAGACACCGGCTTCTAACCCCTTGCTGGGCCTCTTCCTCCACTACCTTCTGGCCAAACTCCTTAACACCCACACCAAGCGAGATGCCTCAAAGAGCAGGGACATCACGCCGGGGGCGGGAGAGCGGCATGTCCTGTTCCTTTGGCTTCATTACCTGGGAAGGAAACATGTCTGTGGACAGATTCTCTGAACCTTCTGCTGGAGACTGGCTGGCAGAGGGGCAACTCCAGTTCACCAAGGGCTCTGTGCCAAGTAGCAAAGGGGCCAGGTGGTGCAGGGCCTCTGGAGCCAGACGGCCTGGGTCTAGATGCCACCTGTGCTTCTTCCTCACTGAGTGACTGCAGACACATTACTTCACCTCTCTACTCCTCAGTTTCCTCATCTGTAAAGTGGGCATCATAATAGTCTCTACACCCAGGTTGGTGTGCTAAGTAAGCTAAATTGCTTCAAATGGTGCCTGGCACACAGTTGGTGCCATATCAGGGTTTACCTTGTCTTCGCCTCGTCCTCATGACGAATCACAGGTGGGTGATGTTCCCATTCTGCAGGTGAGGAAACTGAGGCTTCTAGGGCTTGGACAGCCCAAGCACATTGTGGAGGGCACTGGCTGGGAATGAGGACTCCTGGTTCCATCTGCTGACCAGTTGTGTGGCCTTAGGGTGGTGACTTCACCTCCTGAGCCTCAGCTTCTTGGCCAGTGAAGTAGTCGTCTGTGGGTGTGGTGGGTCCTTGAGCCTGTTGGAAAGACAGAAAAGTCAGCTGGCAGTGCCAGGCAGGCCACTGAGGACCTAATGACTGGACTGTGGGACACACTGGGACCTCAATGGGAGGAAGTGACTCTGAGGGGATCTAAGCTTGTGTCACTGTGAAATGTCTTTCTTGAAAATCCCTGGAGGCCGCTCCCTCCCTAGGGAAACCGCCCAGACCAGCTGGATGATAAAGCCTGGGCCCTTCCTGCCCAGCCTACCTCCCCACCCCCAGGCCCTGAACAAACAGTGTGTTCCTGACGGCTGCCCCTGTCCAGGGCCAGGTTGTTTTGTCTTGGCTTTTGTGAGGCTGGGCCCCTGGTGTCAGATGACAGCCACACGGGGAGGGACAGGTTTCTGCCACCACCAGGAATCTGAGCTGACCACACCCAATGTAGGGCAGTGCCACCCAGCCCCGCCAGCCAGGCGTACCCGTCGTGGCCCTGGGCAGCCCTCCTTCCCGCCCAGACAAGTGCTAGGAACTCCTCAGCCTTCCATCTTGGACGAGGTCCCCCCTTACTGAGGGCAGGATGAAGGGCCCCCACTGTCTCTGACAAACAACCTTTGCTTTGTCCCTTCCGGGAGCATGAATGGGGTCCTGGAGCCAGCATGGGACAGAGGGGGCTTTCTCTCCCACACCAGGCTAGTGTTGCAGTTTGGCGGCTCCTACAAATCTCTCCTTTCCCAACTCCCTGTCAAAAGAGTTCATTGTTCTCTCCTCCCTTAGCAGAGGTCACCTGAGCCAGGTAGCAGGGTGGGGGCAGGGCCAGGGAGCTAGATGTTGAGCTCACGAAGTGGGGGAGGACTGCCCCCCTGGCAGTCAGGCGTTGGTCAACCTAGCTTGAACCTGAGCTGGAGACGTCAACTAGAGTCACTGGAGTCTCAAGCTGGGAGGGCTGGCCCTGGAATCCCGGCCTGCTGTCCCCAGGTGGAGTCCCGCCCCACCCTCTGTCCTGGGTAGAGAGACTTCAGGGTTGCTCTGTGCCTGGAGGCTGAGCCTACCCTCTTGTGCCTTCTGGGGGAAGAGGTCACTGCCCATGTGGACCTGGTACTCTAGTGGGAGAGCCAATCTTAAAAGGCTATTAAGAGCCAGAGGGAGGGGGGCTGGCTCTGTGGCCGGGTGGTTAAGTTCGTGCGCTCCGCTGCGGCAGCCCAGGGTTGGGATCCTGGGTGCGGACATGGCACCACTCGTCAGGCCACGTTGAGGTGGCGTCCCACGTCCCACAACTAGAAGGACCTGCAACTAAGATATACAACTGTGTACGGGGGGTTTGGGGAGATAAAGCAGAAAAAAAAAAAGTCAGAGGGAGGGACAACCAAGGAGTAGGAAGGGCTTCCGAGCTGGGAGAACAACTGGACCACAGGCCAGAGGTGCCTTGTGGAACCGTCCTGCTTCCCAAGGCTGCTCGGGCCCTGGGTTCCTAGCTCTTCCCTGTCCCCTCATTAACCAACCTCGGTCCTCTCCCCAAATCCTCATCACTGCCTTCCCCATTTCCAACAAGACCCCCTGGGCCTCTTGTTGGCCTGGGGCCCCTACACTCCTTGCTCAACTTTGCCTCTGAGATGTGTTATAACTGCCTCATTCAGGGATCAGTGGGCCATATTTGCACATTGAAGGGTGCCGCCTCCCCTTCACCCCTCCAGGACCTAGAGAATCCCGTTACCACACTATTTGCATTTCAACCCACCATCTTGGCCCCTGACCCTATAGGGTCACCGTGATTCATACAGTATGTATTCTTTTGGCCTAGCTTTTTCACTCTACAATATGTTTTTGAGATTCAGCCATACTCATACGTGTAGTAGTTTGTTCACTTTCAATTCCCTCCCCTTCTTTTGTTCTTGAGGGAACCTTGGTCCCTCTAGTTGTCAACTTGGAGAAGACGCCCCGCGGGATACGAGGGAGTGATGGAGAACCTTAGAAGGAAGCCGGGCTTATGGGGCAAGGCCTGTGTGCTTGTCGGGGGCAGCTGAGGCTTCCAGCCGGTCAGGAGGTCTGCTCGCGGTTCATTGTGTCCAAGTGGAGGACAGCCCTGCTCAAGGCAGTCGTTGATATTGTTCATTTGTCAGCTGTGAAATGAGGCTCAGAGAGGCAAGGTAGCTCGTTCAAGTCCAGGCGCCTTTTAAGTGGCAGAGGGGGATTCAAAGCTTCATGGGCTGACTCAGTCCCTGTTCTTTCTAAACCACCCTATAGAGAAGAAGCTGAGGCTGGGCGAGAGGGGGACTCAGGGTCCCCAGGACCCTGAAGGAAATGACGAATGGGTACAACTGATTGAACCATGGGCTTGACCTTTGGCCTCCCTCGGGGTCTGGGAAAAGAGGCTGACCTGCAGCAGGAGTGACTCAGGTGGGCTGTTAGAACTTCCTGCTGGTGAGTTGATAGGAAAATTTATGGCCCGAAAGCCTGACAAAAAGCTGCAGACCGTTTTCTCTTCGGCTTGACTTTCCTGCTGGTGTCCTGAGGCAAAATTGTCTAGGGCAGCACCTTGGTCCAATAGGAATATAATATGAGCCACATAAGGAATTTAAAATGTTGTAGAAGCCACATTGCAAGTGTTTTTAAGCACGTGAAATTAATTTTGATAATATATTCTGCTTAACCCAATATTATCCGAAGTATTATTGTTTCAACATGTAGTCAATATAAATTAGTGAGATTTTTAAAGTTTTTAGTTTTAGCTGTTTTTTAATTAAAAATCTTTGAAATTCTGAGTATAGTTTACACCTGCAGCACATCTCAATTCAGACATTAAGTTTTCTTTGGAAATATGTGATCTGTATTTAAAGTTTGGAAGATTTACAGTTGAAAAGGGAGATTTGAAGTTTGGTCTGCCTGACTCCAGCCCCCTGTTCCTTTGGAACCCAAGAACCTTCCTGAGTAGTTTTCCAATAATTGAATTGTGTCCATTCTTAAATTTAAGTTAATTAAAATTAAATAAAAATTAAAAATTCAGTTTCTTGGTGGCACTAGCCACATTGCAAGTGCCCAGTCTATGCACACAGCTTGTGACTGTTGTACCGAGCAACGCAGGTGTGGGTTTCCTGCTGGCCACCAGCCGCCTCGAGGACGTTTCTCCCAGAGTCCTCCAGATTCCAGAGGCTTTGGCCCTGAGCTGCGGCTCCTGGTGCTGGTGGGAAAGTGCTACCCTCCCAAGAACCTTTTCTTGAGCTCTGGCTGCTGACTTCCTGAGGCCCCAGCAACCTGGGGCTGGCTGACGGCCTAGCGGGGGCCTCTGGGGAGGCTTGTCCCACACCCCATCGTGTGCTCTGCCCTCCTTTTCCAGGGAAACGTTTACATTCCAGACACTCCACTATCTCCCCAAGGCTTCTCCACGCTCTGCATTTTTTACATAGCTGAACAGGGACCTGGGCTGGCAGGGGGGCTCCTGCTGGGTCACTTGTGCCCTCCCAGCTGTCCCTTCCCGGTACAGCCATTTGCAGGGCAGTCCGTGTTCCCGGCAAAGAGCCAGGCCTGAGGGGGCCCCCACACCTGTGTGGCCCCAGGCATCCCCAGAATAGGCGCTGTTTGGAGCTCTCTTCTCTGGCCCTACCCCGGCACAGGGCCTCCTTCCGTGAACCACTGGACTGGGCTGGACTGGACGAGCAGGCAGGCAGTAGATGGGTTTGCTAAGCTATCATAGCTGTGACCAGGGCTTATCTCTTTCTGCCCCTTTGAGGCCGAGTGAAGCCCAGAGAAGAGCCCAGGCTTGGGGAGAGTCGCCTCATCCATGCAGCCTTTTTCTGTGGGGCAGTGTTTGCATAGTTTAAAAAAAAAAATGTCTTTAAAGCAGCTGGCCGGCACCCTTTGGCCTGCTCTAATCCAGCTCTGCAGGTTCAGTATCCCCTGCAGGGGGAGGTGGGGCACAGGGTTAGCTGACTAAGAAATGACCAAAAACCTTCCCGAAGATGGTTTGTCAATCTAAATCTGGCATGTCTACATCCCTACCATTTTAACCTGTAATGCCACCCCTGGGACACTGCCTAAGGAAACACTCAGAGGTGCAGGCAAAGATGGGAGGCCAAGAATGGTCATCAATGCACCTAGCAATTGCAAAACCTCTAGAAACAAAGAGAATGTTCAACAACAGAGGCCCTGGTGAGTTAAGGCACCCCCACACAGGGAATATTCTTCAGCTGTTTGACTCGTGCTAGTGTTTTTAACAACCTGGGCTGGCTATAGGTGGAAGGACAGACCTACATGTACATGTATAACCATGTGGCGTGACGCCAGTTAGGTCTCTGGGTTTTACGTACGGACACATACACATATAGTCACAGGCATAGGAAAGACTCGCAGACACAGAGATATTAGCAAGGGTTACTTCCGGTTGTGGGAGTATGGGTAATTTTTTTTCTTCTTTTTCAAACTCCTTTAAATGTTCCAAGTTTTCTACAATGTGTATTACTTCTCTAATAAGAAATGAGCAAAAGCATGCATCTACAACAACACTCCAGAAACTTCCTCCCTGGGAAGATGGTGGGGAACTCACAGTGACAACGAGGGCACTTGAGAGAGAGCTGATGTTCAGGACTGGAGGAGCCTCAGAAAGCCCAGAACTGGGAAGGGCCACTGTGGGTTCCCGGGGACCCAGGGGCCGGCCCGGAGCTGCAGTGGAACCAGGCTTCCTGAACAACCTATGCTAGCCCCCAAAGCTTCCCTTACTTTCCCCGCATCGCCTCAGGAGGGCTGGGTTGGTCACCCACAGTATGAGTGGTGGGGGAACCAAGTCAGAGCTCTTGGAGAACACCAAGTGGCCATCATGATGTTGGGGAGAATGAGCGCCCAGGAATGGCCACGTGGCCAAGCACCGGGTCAGAAATGGATAGGGGGTGGGGCCCAGAAGGGTCTGGGATTGACTCTACACTGGTGCGTCTAGGTAGCAACCCAAACATGACTGAATTCCTCCTTCCTGCTGGGGGTGGCTCTGTGCTGCAGCCCCGCCGTCCAGCACTGGCCCCCCAGCTGTGGAGGGGCGGAGGGGATATGTCTGCAGGCCTGTGCCCGTGTGGTTCTCGTTACAGACGGTGGAACATGGCTTCCCGCACCAGCCCAGTGCCCTCGGCTACAGCCCCTCTCTGCACATCCTGGCCATCGGCACCCGCTCCGGAGCCGTCAAGCTGTATCCTTTCCATCCCCCCAGCTCCTACCCAGAGAGGCCCTGGAAGGGGCAGGGGCCTTGGCATTGGTGAGATTCAGAAAGGACCCCCACCTTCCAAATAAAAGCAAGGTGCAGGTGACTCCTGTTGTTCCTGGGATGTTCCAAATACCCTCTCAGGAGTCCACCCTGAATGCAGTAAGTGGAGGTGGGGGGTGGGCCACGAAGCTTCTTTAAACCTTTTTCCCAGTGAGAGTCAGTAGACTGGCCCCAGAGCTCTGTGCAAACCAGAGATAAAGTGGCCTTGGGTTAGAGGAGCAGTGCTAAGGCGGCTGCTCTTCCAGATTCTGCCCCCCATGTATACACACACACGCGCGCGTGTGCGCACGCACACCCGAAGGTAGAGTGGACTTCTGGTTGGCAGGGATAGTCTTTCCTTGGCCTGAGGCTGGACATAGTCCAGTTGGATCATCTTTTATCCAAAGCATTGGTTCTGGGTTGACGAGGCCTCCAGGCCATTTCAGAGGCAAGCGCACAGATTTCAGGGTGAGGGGACCACTGCTTGGCTCCTCTGGCTGGCCTGGGCTGGGTTAAAAGTCTGGGAGCCCCGTTCCCACTCTCAAATCTGACCTAAGCCCGCAGAGCGAGCCAGGGTGGGACCTAGGGAAACTGGGAGGTGGAGGACCACCCATGGAGAGCCCAGCTGGTGTCTCTTCCAGTGAAGCTGTAACTCTCTTCCGTCCCTGTCTGCTGCAGCACGGGCGTGGAGGGCAGGGTGCCTTGAATCGGCTGGGCCAGGCTGGAGATGGTGTCTACATGGCAGGGGCCCAGGTGCCATGGCCAGCTCAACCCTCCTTCAGCTGGTTAATCATTGCCAGGCCACGGCCATATCCTGGTTACCAATCCCCAGTGCTAAGACTCACAGCGATGGCTGCCAGGGGTGGGTCCACAGGTGTGCTCTGTGTTTTCGCACAGGTGCCACTGTGTGGTAGCTGATGAGTCTGTTGCAGCTCAGGTTGCGGGCTGGGGGTGGCCGCCTAACAGTTGCAGAGATAAGGCTTCACCCTTCTAAGGAGTCACTCCCACCTGCCTGGCTAGGAAAGCTCTCCCTGGTTGGCTGACTCCACCCTCAGGGTCAGGACCACTGACCTCTCTTCCCCACCCAGGCCTCAGACACAGCTCGGCTTTCTGCAGGGAGGGCAAGCCCTTCTCTGCTGCCAGCTGTTTTACATTCCTTGCCACGTGGGCCCAGAGGTGCTGGCACTTGGGTGGGCCCAGGGGTGGTATCCTGCCTTCTGGAGCTTTTCCTGAGCCTGCTGCTCCTAGCTATGGTGCCCCAGGGGTGGAGTTCATGGGGCTGCACCGGGAGAACAACGCCGTAGTGCAGATCCATTTCCTGCCTGGCCAGGTGAGGGCCCCTCCATGCCCTTCTTACTCTCATATCTCCCGGAAGGGGTGTGTAGAGAAGCAGTCATTGGGTGGCGCTGGGTGTTTGTTGCTGCTGGGAGGACCTGGGACCACCTGCCTGTCCCCAGCTCTGATTCATGGGCCACCCTAACAGTAGCCAGGGGTCTCTTGGTTGTGGGGCTCTTTGAAACAACCAGCACTGACTGGGCCACCCATGTATGTAAAGGCCATGGTGCTCCCTGGTTAATGAGACAGCAGACTCCTGCCCCCATCCTGTTCCCTCCCTAGTGCCAGCTGGTCACTCTGCTGGACGACAACAGCCTGCACCTGTGGAGCCTGAAGGTGAAAGGTGGGGTGTCAGAACTACAGGAGGATGAGAGTTTCATGCTGCGTGGCCCCCCAGGGTAAAGACTCAGTCCCCTTGCTCCCCAGCCAGCCTGCCCCATGCACCCCACACGGGGGGGGATCACCCTTGAGGGTTCTGTGGAGCCTTTGGCAGTCCTGGCAGGTGTTGGAGCCAATGCATCTCCACCTGCAAGCGCTCTGGATAGAGGTGCAGGGCTGGTGCCTGCCACCCTCCATCCGCACGGCACCTGTGCAGGAGAGATTCTTCTGCCTCCCAGCCCAAGCTCTCTGCCATCTGTCTGCTGTCTTGGCAGAAAGTAACCACTATGTTTGTCCTGGCCCAAGATACCATGAACCCTGTTAAAGGCTCTCACAGGCCTGCTTTCCCTTGGCGAGGCCTTCCCTGGGCTGGTGAGGGCAGCCAGGAGTGGGAGATCCTATCCGTGGGGTCTCCCCTGTCTGGGCAGCAGCCAGCTCACAGCCGTTTCTGTCTGCAGGGCTGCCCCCAGTGCCACACAGATCACCGTGGTCCTGCCACATTCCTCCCGAGAGCTGCTCTACCTGGGCACTGAGAGCGGCAACGTGTTTGTGGTACAGCTGCCTGCCTTCCGCACCCTGGAGGACCGGACCATCAGCCCGGATGCCGTGCTGCAGCGGTGAGCCCGGAGACCCGCTACCGTTAGGAACCCATCCCTCGAGTTGCGCATGTCCTCCTTCCTTTGGTCCCTGATACTGTCTCAGAAGCTTATTTCTCTCCTGGGAAGTCTTATGGGGATGGGAGGAGAGACTTTCAGCTTCCCACCTGTCCCCCAAACTGAGAATCTCACTCCATAATGTGTTAGCCTCATAGCACTGAAAGAGATCCTGGGGGTGACTTGTCACTTCGTTTAAAGCTGAGGAAAATAAGCTCAATGATTGTGTAATGGCACTAACTCTTAGTCCAGCCTTCTTTGCGCTGATACCACGTATCTCAAAATTCCAGGGGCTCTGCAGTGGGGCCGGACGGGGCCCAAACCTCCCTGCGTCAGCTGGGGCAGCGTCTGATGTTTGTGCTTTGGTGTCTGCTAGGTTTCCATTTGCACGCAGGCTCCAGGGCTAAAAATACTTGACAGCCACAACCTTGTAGGTTTCTTCAGATCATTTTGGAAGCTTTGCTCCTTTGTGGTGGTGTCTGTGATAGTCAGATCGAGTCTGGGTGTGGAGAGAGGGGCTGGGGCCCAGACAGGGAGGAGATGAAGGGTTGGTAGCAATGGAATGTTCTTCAGTTACGAGGGGTGGGGAGGAGGCCAGGGTGCTGGGACATGGAGCTGCTTGAGGCTTGAGCCAGCGGGACTGTGCCCCTGAAGGGCTCTGGACCAGCTTGCAACACACTCACAGCCGTAGGGCCAGGCTGTCCAGGGCAGGGCATTGCTGGGTTGGGAGGATTCCTGCTTGGGACTGGGTCCCTCTGAGCATAAGCTGTGTCTTTCCCTCTTGGCAGGGTAGAGTCAGGGCAGCGTGACATGGTCTGAGCAGGACTGTTTGCAAGATGGCAGGCACGGCTGGTTCTCAGCCTAGGCGCCCGGTCTGTGGGCAGGATGGTGGGAGGACCTGCTCCTCACCGTGTGGCCATGCCAGTGCCTGCCTCACCCTGTGCTGGTGGGAGTCCAGTTGAGGAGGGGCCTTCCCCTCGGCCATGGCTACCCCCTGGGCTTTCCCAGCTGAGTGCCCCGGGAACCCCTCGTGCCAATCTAAATCCTTGCTCAACCTCCACTTTGACAACACTAACTTTTTGAAATATCCAACACTTTAGTCTAGCAACTCTGTCTCTGAAAAGGTCTCCGTCCTAAGGGAGAAATGCATACACAAGAATGATCATTATAGGGCTGTTTTTAATGGCAAAAGTTGAAACCATCTAATTGTCCCACAGTATTCATCTATATAAGGGCATTATTTGCATTCATTAAGAATATTTCAGGGGGCTGGCTCCGTGGCCGAGAGGTTAAGTTCACGCACTCCACTGCGGCGGCCCAGGGTTCGGATCCTGGGCCTGGACATGGCACCACTCGTCAGGCCACGTTGAGGCAGCGTCCCACATCCCACAACTAGAAGGACCTGCAACTAAGGTATACAACTATGTACGGGGGGGTTTGGGAAGATAAAGCAGAAAACAAAAAAAAAGGAAGATTGGCAATAGTTGTTAGCTCAGGTGCCAATCTTTAGGGGAAAAAAAAAAGAATATTTCAAAGAATTTTTTTATGTGTGTGTAGGGAAGATTGGCCCTGAGCTAACATGAGAAAATGGCCATGGTCTTTTAAGTAGGGGAGAAAAAAAGCAAGTTGCAAAACAGTGTATTACAGTGTAATTCCAGTTTTTAAATGAGTAAGTGAAGCGTGCAGACATGCTGGCAAGAGGAAGTCTGGAGGGCAGGTACCTGGAGTCGGCAGCGTCATCAGACCTGCTGCACAGCTTCCTCTTAAGTTCTTCCTGATGCTTCTCTGTATTTTCCAAGATGGTGTAATTCTTGCATTGTTTACTTTTCATTTAAGATCAATTGATTTTTTTAATTATATAATAGATCCTTATAGCATCCTCTCCAGAAATTAAAACTTTACAAATAAGGTTAAAGGCCCCTTTGACCTCCCCATCCCAATTTGAATTCCACCTCCGGAAAGGCCTATGCCAGCTGTCCCTGGTGTATAGGATTGGTCTTTGGGGATGTATCAAACATGGAGGGTTGGTGGGTTTGGGGCATAGTCATCCCCTTGGGGTCCAGGCCGTTTCTATTTCCTACTCACCATCCTTGGTCTTGGCTCTTGGTCCTGTGCCTGCCACCTCATGGTGTTCTTTTGGCTGCAGCACCTCCAGACTTCACGTCAGCATTCCAGGCCCAGAGAAGGAGGAAGGGGTCAAGGCTCAAAGCCCAGCCAGCTAAGATAGAGTTTTGTTTTGTGGGTCTTAAAATTTTTTATAATGAAATACCACCTCCTTGCAGAAATGCACTAAATAAGAATGTACAGTTTAATGGATTCTTTTTTTTTTTAACATTTTATGTTTCCTTTTTCTCCCAAAGCCCTCCGGTACATAGTTGTATATTTTTAGTTGTGGGTCCTTCTGGCTGTGGCATGTGGGACGCCACCCCAGCATGGACCGATGAGTGGTGCCGTGTCTGCACCCAGGATTCGAACCAGCAAAACCCTGGGCCGCTGAAGCAGAGCGCGCAAACCCAACCACTCGGCCATGCCGCTGGCCCAGTTTGATGGATTCTTGTAAAGTGATCATCCTTGCAGCCAGCCCCAGGCAAAGAAACAGCACTTTGTCAGCCTCCCAGGAGCCCCCATGTGCCTTTTCCCAGTCACAACTCCCTCCACCCCTAGAGGCCGCCACCACATCGGCTTTTCTAGAAATCACTTCCTTGCCTTTCCTTAGAGTTGTGCCACCTGCGTGTGCATCCTCGAGGGGTTTTTAGCTATCACTGTCCTGTTGTACGCGTTGCTTCTCTCCCCTTGGCGATGTGTCCTGGTGATCTTTCCATGCTGGTGCATCCCGTGCCTGCTGCTGCACGGCACACCGTGCGTGCTGTGCCCTGCTCTTGGCTTTGCCCGCTGGTGGGCGGCGGCAAGCTCACAGGGCTCCCCTCGCCCAGGTTGCCAGAGGAGGCCCGCCAGCGGCGCGTGTTTGAGATGGTGGAGGCTCTGCAGGAACACCCTCGAGACCCCCACCAGATCCTCATCGGCTACAGCCGGGGCCTCGTTGTCATCTGGGACCTGCGGGGCAGCCGTGTGCTCTGCCATTTCCTCAGCAGCCAGGTGGGTGGTGCCTGGGACAGTGGCAGGCGCCACGTGGCTCTCCCAGACCCCGAGTATCCCATGCAGCCCATGTGCCGAGGGGTGGGGGTGCGGGCGAGGGGACTACCGCCCTGATCCCAGCCTGCACTCTCTGCCTCTCCTCCCCGAAGCAACTGGAGAACGTGTGCTGGCAGCGGGACGGCCGCCTGATTGTCAGCTGCCATTCTGACGGCAGCTATCACCAGTGGCCTGTGTCCACCGACGCCCAGCCACCGGAGCCCCTGCGCAGCCACGTGCCTTACGGTCAGTGCTCTGCCCACCCTGCCCTGTCACCGGCACTGCCTTTCAGTTCATTGCGGAGCAATGTCCTCTCTGTTCCCAGTTGCTCTATCCTGCCTTCAGGGATAGGTGCCCAACTCATAGGAGAAAAACCTGGGGCCCAGAGAGGCAAAGGCTTGTCTAAAGCCATACGGCAGGTTTCTGACGCCCACTGTGGCTGGCTTAGAGCAAGACTCACGGGCATGTGTGGGTGTGAGGGAGCTGTGTGCCTGCGGGCCCACGTGCCTCTGAGTGGGAGGACCCGTTCAAGCTAATCCTTTTTTTGTAGGTCCTTTTCCTTGCAAAGCTATTACCAAAATCTTCTGGCTGACCACCAGGCAGGGGTAGGTACGACTGCTCTGTCCTCTTCCCTTTCCAGAGCCTTCCTAGAGGAAGGCCGAAAAGGCCTCTGCTGGGGGAGACAGCACCTAGCGAGTGCCTTTGGGTCCCACGTTCAGGTCTTGGACTCCAGGGAGAGGAGCAAGGGCTAATTCCTGAAAACACATGCCCATCTTACCGTTCTATCCTCCCGCCCAGCCACCTGTTTCAGCAGGTTTCAAACTCTGTTTTAGCAGCAGCCCCATTTCCTCAGAAAGAATCATGTAGGGAGACCCAATATAAAGCAGAAAGAGGGGCCCCTCTGGTTGAAGCAGGAGTGGCTGCAGTGTTTCAGAACCAGCAGTCTGCACGTCCCTACCTCACCCCCAGTTCTCCTGGGCTGCTGCAGTCGGTCCTCCCCACCCCGCTCCTGGGACCTTGTGTGAGCGTTCACCCTGAGACTGGCCTTCCGCTCAGGCCCTGCCATGGAGGCCGGTCACAGGAAAGTCCAAGCTGCCTGCTGAGCCTGTGGCCATCTGGGGTCTGTCGGGAGCCGCTTCCCATTCCCCACCCCCACTCTTCTGTGCCTGCCAGGTCGCCCTTCACCATCTTCCAGGGTGGTATGCCTCGGGCCAGCTATGGGGACCGCCACTGCATCTCAGTGATCCACAATGACCAGCAGACAGCCTTCGACTTCACCTCCCGTGTCATTGACTTTACTGTCCTTGCCGAGGCAGACCCTGCAGCAGGTAGGCGAGCTTCAGGCATGGCTGTGGGGGGCTAGTCACTGGAAGGTGTGGAGTTGCAGGTCCATCTGTAAATAAAGAGGAGGGGCCTGCACAGGCATTCCCAAACCTGCCACTCCCTGAGTCCCCACTCTATCCCTTCTTAGTGCCTCCAAGGCCAGCAGCCAAAATCAGTCTCTTTCTCTCCTTCCCTGCTGGCCTGTGGCTTCATCCTTGCTGGTCACAACTCCTGCCCATCTGAAGCTCTCTTTGCCCTTCCTCAGCTCTGGTGGGCCTTAGCCCAAAGAGGGCAGATCTGTACGGTTGGGTTTAATGCCTACCTGTCTGAGGCAGGGGGGTCCTGGCTTAGACATGCTGAAGCCCTCCTTATGGGGTGGGGCTGGGGGTGCAGCTTGGGGCCAGTTCTGAGCCAGCCTCCTGGAGCTTGGCCAGGACAGCAAAGCCCTGAGTCAGCCTCATGAATTGGGTGACAGGCAAGACCAGGAAGGGCTGATGTTGAAACCTGGAGAGGAGGCTCAGCAGGAGATCTCCAGGAGGGAAGGCCTCCTCCCCAAATGACTGACCTGACAAGGCCCAGGCCTGCAGGTGAGGGGACTGGGCCTGCTCGGGACACCCTAGGCTGTTTTCCCAGCCTCAAGGCCATTTGGAGGGAGACTCCAAGCCTGCTGTTCCTCATTTCTCAGCCTCTTCCCTCCTCACACCTGACACAGCAGCAGGGTCCAGTCTTTTAATTGATTCTTCAGGATTTTCTACATCAATGATAATGTCATCTGTGAACAAAGACAGTTTTATTTCTTCCTTCCCAATCTCTATACCTTTCATTTCCTTTCCTTGTCTTATTGCATTATCTAGGACTTGAAAAGGAGTAGTGAGAGAGGACCTCCTTGCCTTATTCCTGATCTTAGTGGGAGAGTTCGAGTTTCTCACCATTAAGTTATGTTGTTAGCTGTAGCTCTTTTGTAGATATTATTTATCAAGTTGAGGAAGTTCCCCTCTATTCCTAGTTTACTGAGAGTTTTTATCATAAATGGGTGTTGGATTTTGTCAAATACTTTGTCTGCGTCTGTCCATATGATCATGTAGTTTTCCATTTTAGCCCATCGATGTGATGGAGTCCATTAATTGATTTCTGTATGTTGAACTGCCTTGCCCACCTGGAATAAATCCCCCTTGGTCATGGTGGGATTTTCTTTATACATTGTTGGATTTGGAGCTTATCTTTAAAATGCAGATTCCCTGGCTGCAACCCTAGAGCTTCAGATTCCACAGGGCTGGCTGGGGCAAACTGCTTCCTACTGGCTTCTGCAGCCCCTGGCCCTTGGTTTGTCCCCTCAGCCTTTGATGACCCCTACGCACTAGTGGTGCTGGCTGAGGAGGAGCTGGTGGTGATTGACCTGCAGACAGCCGGTTGGCCGCTGGTCCAGCCTCCCTACCTGGCCTCCCTGCACTGCTCTGCCATCACCTGCTCCCACCACGTCTCCAACATCCCCCTGAAGCTGTGGGAGCGGATCATTGCTGCTGGCAGCCGGCAGAATACACACTTCTCCACCATGGTAGGTCCAGTGCTAGCCCCAGCCCCACCTTGGGGCCAAGCTCTCCCATGGACTTGTTGGCCTCATTCTCTAGGAGTGGCCCATTGATGGTGGCACCAGTCTGGCCCCGGCCCCGCCCCAGAGGGACCTGCTGCTCACGGGGTAGGTGACTTTAATGCCATTCTCCTTCTGCTTAGTAGAATATATGGGGCAGAAGCAGAGCCCAGAGGGATGCGTGCCAGTCCCAGGCACCCCCGGGCCCACATCCTTCTCACACTAGCTGGTGGGCTTTGCCCACAGGCACGAGGATGGCACGGTGCGGTTCTGGGACGCCTCTGGCGTCTGCTTGCGGCTGCTCTATAAACTCAGCACGGTACGAGTGTTCCTCACTGACACAGACCCCAACGAGAACCTCAGTGCCCAGGGCGAAGATGAGTGGCCCCCACTCCGCAAGGTGAGTCTGGGAGCCTGGGAACCAGGGAGGGCAGGGACAGGCTGAGTCTGGCACTTATGGCCGCTCATGGGCCTCCTCTCCCTTGTCAGGTGGGCTCCTTCGACCCCTACAGTGATGATCCCCGGCTGGGCATCCAGAAGATTTTCCTCTGCAAATACAGTGGCTACCTGGCTGTGGCAGGCACGGCAGGGCAGGTAGCAGGCTGGGCTGGGAGTGGGGAGCGGGGTGGGAGTGATCAGGTGACCTTGGGCAGCATTCAGGCCCATGAGCCTCCTCAGGATTAGGGAGCAGCAGGGACAGGAACCAGCCCCTTGAGTGCCCACTGACGGTGTCACCAGGAGCCCCTGCAGCTCCGTGCTTTTCCCAGTGGATTGAGGTTGCCTGGAGCCTTTTGGGATTGTTGTTTCTCTTCCAGAATTAAGAGCTACGGATTGGGCAGAGGCCTTTTGGCCCTGCTTGCGCCCTGGGCCTTGCCATGTGTCCAGGTCCTTTGCTGTCCCCACCATCAGGGTCCCTGAGGTCCCGCTGTCTGTTGCTGCTGGGGTTTGCTCAGCCCATCTGCTGCCTTTCCCAGGTGCTCGTGCTGGAGCTGAATGACGAGGAGGCAGAGCACACTGTGGAGCAGGTGGAGGCCGACCTGCTGCAGGACCAGGAGGGCTACCGCTGGAAGGGGCACGAGCGCCTGTGTGCCCGCCCAGGGCCCGTGCGCTTCGAGCCCGGCTTCCAACCCTTTGTGTTGGTGCAGTGCCAGCCCCCGGCTGTGGTCACCTCCTTGGCCCTACACTCTGAGTGGCGGCTCGTGGCCTTTGGCACCAGCCACGGCTTTGGCCTCTTTGACCACCAGCAACGGCGACAGGTCTTTGTCAAGTGAGCAGCCTGCCTGCCCAGGGTGGTCGGGGCCCGGGTCTGGGATTGGTGCTGGGCAGGGGCCCTTGGGCCCTGGCAGCACTGAGGACTTGATGTTTCCCCCAGGTGCACACTGCACCCCAGCGACCAGCTAGCCTTGGAGGGCCCACTGTCCCGTGTGAAGTCCCTAAAGAAGTCCCTGCGCCAGTCCTTCCGCCGGATACGTCGCAGCCGAGTGTCCAGCCGGAAGCGGCGGCCAGCTGGGCCCCCGGGGGAGGTGAGGCCAAGGCTGACCTCGTACCCAGGCAGAGCTCAGAGCAGCCAGCAGCAGATCCAAGCTACTACTACTCCCCACCCCCTTGCTTTGGCTCAAGCAGAGGCTTTGAGCTATACCACATAGGTTCATGTCCTGCCCTACCACCCACCAGCTATGTGGCCTCGGATGTGTCACACTGCTCCTCTGTGCCTCAGCTTTCCCAAGTGTAAAAGGCAATCATTTTAACGCCTTAGGGTCAAGTCTTCAGTAACTGTTACCAGGCAGGTGGTGCCATGGGCTGTGGCCAGTCTTCCCCTGGAAGGACCCGTGTTGAGCAATCGGATGCCCCCGTTGGGGGGCCAGAGCCCACCCTCATGCCCGCCCGGCCCACCCACTGCAGGTGCCAGAGGGAAGCTCCAGGGCAGAGCGGACGGGCCTGCAGAACATGGAGCTGGCGCCTGTGCAGCGCAAGATCGAGGCCCGCTCGGCGGAGGACTCCTTCACAGGCTTCGTCCGGACCCTCTACTTCGCTGACACCTACTTGAGGGACAGTGAGTGGCCAGCCTGAGGTGGGGGGCTGAGAAAGGCCCCCCTGGCATGAGGGCATGTTGGAGGCCGCTGCTAGCCTGGCTGGCGGAACCCTAAGAGGGGTTTCCCCTTTGAGCAAGGGGAGACCAGAGCCCCCAGCTGCCTCCTTCCCATCCCTCCTCGGGGCTCCGAGTGTGGTTGTCCTGGCTCCATATTTAGGCTTCACCGCTCTCTAGAAGTGTGGCCTTGGATGTGTCACTTAACCTTTCTGGGTCTCAGCTTCTCTCCCTGTAAAATGGGGGAATATCTTTCTCCTAGAGTGGCTGGGAGGGTTGTGGCATGCCACGTGCCTGCTGGTACGCAGAGGGCCTTACAGAAGCTCCCCTGGCTGTTTCTCCCCTGCTCCCTCCTGCCGGGATAAGGGTGGGCTGGAGGCCATCTGCTGCTGTATCTTGAGGGCTGAGCTGTCCTGGATTCGGGATCATCTGTGCACGGGGCCCTTGGTTGTCAGAGAGCTTTTCCAGCCTTTCCTGTCTGCACCCTGGGAGGTAGGCAGAGCCCATAGCAGTTCCATTTTACAGGGGAAGAAATCGAGGCTTACCTGGTTTACTGACTTGAGCTTGGAGTCACACAGGTAGTAACTGGCAAGGCCAGGACATAAGCCTAGGTCACCTGGCTGCACTTGACCCCCAGAGCCAGGAGTTAGCTATAGCCCTTTGCCTCCTGGCAGGCTCCCGCCACTGCCCCTCACTGTGGGCTGGAACCAATGGGGGTGCTGTCTACGCCTTCGCCCTGCGTGTGCCCCCCGCTGAGCGGAGAATGGATGAGCTGGTGCGGGCAGAGCAGGGTGAGTACTGAGCAGAGAGAGAGTGGAAGGTGCTTGTCTGCCTATGTGGGGATGGGAGGGTGTCTCCAGCCTCGCCCTCCCTCTGCCCGACCGCCCAACCACTAGCCTTCCTCCTTCCCTGTAGCCAAGGAGATCCAGCTAATGCACCGAGCGCCCATAGTGGGCATCCTGGTGCTGGATGGACACAGCGTGCCCCTTCCTGAGCCCCTGGAAGTGGCGCATGACCTGTCGAAGAGCCCAGACATGCAGGGAAGCCACCAACTGCTTGTTGTGTCAGAGGAGCAGTTCAAGGTGCTGTGCGGGTAGAGGCAGGGTCCCCCAGCAATCCCTGGGACATGGGGAGCGGGGCTCAGGCCATGAGCACAAATGACAGTGGCTGGGACTCACTGAAAGTTGTATATGCAGTTGGTGTGTGAGGGGCTGCAGGGACAGAGGAAGGGAGAGGGTTCTTGGTGGAGTCCCTGTGCCCCTGGTCAGTGGTGGGGACACCGAAGCAGGAACTGTGTCTGTGGGAGGGACAGAAAACGCAGACATGGAAATAAGTGGCCCTGGTGTCCTCACAGCCCAAGTGTACTGGCTACATGTCTGAGTGCTGGGGGGGCACCGAGACTGAACAGGCTTTGCTGGGTAGCTGAGCGGCGTGCGGTGGAGGGCAGGGCCCAGCGGCAGCACCAGACAGGGACATGAGGAGTCCTTTCTGGCTGGATGAAGCCCTGCAAACTGTGGTCGGGCCATGGTCTGACTGGCCGCCCTGTGCCCCCAGGTGTTCACGCTGCCCAAGGTGAGTGCTAAGCTGAAGCTGAAGCTGACCGCCCTGGAGGGCTCGCGGGTGCGGCGGGTCAGCGTGGCCCACTTCGGCAGCTGTCGAGTGGAGGACTACGGGGAGCATCACCTGGCCGTCCTCACCAACCTGGGTGACGTCCAGGTGGTCTCAGTGCCCCTGCTCAAGCCCCAGGTGCGTTACAGCTGCATCCGCCGGGAGGACGTCAGTGGCATCGCCTCCTGCGTCTTCACCAAATATGGCCAAGGTGTGCAGGTGGCAGGCGTGTCCGGGACTTCTGCGAGCGGGGCTGGGTGTGGGGCTCCCACTGTGCTGCCAGGGGCTGCTGGGGAGGGTGGCCAGGGCTGTTGCAGCCAAGGCCAGACTCCTTAGGTGGAGAATTTCGAGGGAGACCCTGGCCCCTAACCCCCGAGGAGGGAAGCCCCGAGGGCAGCTGTGGGACTTGGGAGACCCGGGCTGGCCTCACCTACCAGGCTTCTCCTTCACCCCCCAGGCTTCTACCTGATCTCACCTTCGGAGTTTGAGCGCTTCTCTCTCTCCACCAAGTGGCTGGTTGAGCCCCGGTGTCTGGTGGACTCAGCAGAAACCAAGAACCACAGCTGCCCCCGCAATAGATCTGGCCCTGAGAAGGCCTTGGGCAGGGCCAGGTGGGTGAAAGGGCGAGTGACCTTTGCCCCTGCCCCTCCGCCCCCACCCCCACTCTTTTTGAGGCGCACACTGGGGCCTGGCCAGAGTCCCCTTCCCCTGTGAGCTCAGCCCACCCTCCCAGCCCTGGCTCTGCCCCCCTTCCTGTGCCCCTCCCTCTGTGCAAACTGCCGTCCAGGGCAGGGCTTGGTTTACCTCCAGTGGGCCCCCTGCCCAGGGCAGGCTAGGTCAGTTCACATACCTCTTGGGACCAGGGCTTTTCGACCTGGAATGGGGAGCCCAGTGGCCCCTGATCCTCACTATCTCTCTCCCTACAGGAACTCAGGGAGCCAGAGCGATGGAGAGGGTAAGACAGGCCTCTCTGGGGCCAGGGGCATGTGGGGGCACAGGCCTTGTGAGCACATCTGCACCACACCTGGGCCCAGACCTGGAGCTGGAAGGGAGGGAACGGGACCCCAGGTGAGCAGATGATGTTCAGGCTAGGAATAGAAACAGCATCTCTGGGGCTGGCCCCATGGCCGAGTGGTTAAGTTCGCGTGCCCCGCTTTGGCGGCCCAGGGTTTTACCAGTTCAGATCCTGGGTGTGGACATGGCACCGCTCATTAGGCCACACTGAGGCGGTATCCCACATGCCACAACTGGAAGGACCCACAACTAAAATATATAACTATGTACTGGGGGGATTTGGGGGGAAAAAAGCAGAGAAAAAAAAGAAACAGCATCCCTTCCAGTCCTTGGCTCTGGGCTCCAGCACCCCCACCCCAGGAAGGAGGGAGCTGGGGCAAGGAGTGCCCAAGGTTCGCCTGACCTGGTCTCTGCCCTCCAGAGAGAAGGCCCAGCCCCGTGATGGAGCACGCTCTGCTCAATGACGAGAGTGAGTCTGGGTTGGAGTTGGTGGGCTGGCACGAGGGATGTTCCGGGGGGAGGCTTACAAGGCCAGGGTGAAACTGAGGGCCATTTCCCTGAGGGAGGCAGACCTGTCCAGCACCCCATAAATAAAAGGGGGAGACAGGCTTGTGTCTGGCCCGGCCCCTGATGGCCTCACCAGACCTCTGTTCCCCACCCCTGCCCTGCAGGGGTCCTGAAGGAGATCCAGAGCACGCTGGAGGGAGACCGAGGGTGAGTTACTGTTCGAGCTTGCAGGGGTGGACCCCAAGGTGCCAGGAAAGCTCTGAGGATGAGGCTCATTGTCTGGTCACCCCAAGTCCCCGTGGTAGGTGACTGCCCTGTCTTTGCCCATGTAGGAGCTATGGTGATTGGCGTTCTCAGCGAGTGGCCGTGAGGTACAGCCTCAGCAATGGGGGAGGTAAGGGCTCTGGGCACTACTGCAGGGTTGGGGCGGATGGGAGGGTGTGCTCCTGGGGAGGGATAGGAGGAAAAGGCCCCGTCCCCACCCCTCAGGGCCCTGCTGACGTTTGGGTCCATCCCAGCCCTGACACAGGCCCTGGGTTGTCCTGAAAACGTCCATGTCTGGGCTCAGGGTGGGTGACTGAGACCCTTGCCCTGCCCAGCATGCTCCTGATCTGCTGTCTCTCTCTCTCTTTCTGCAGCGGAGTGAGCGGGACGCGCATCCAGGCTGCGCGATGAACACACTACTGAGGGCTCTTCCTCGGGGCACTGCCCCACCTGGAGAGACCTGTGCACTGGGCTGTACCAGGGGCTGGGGCGCCCCCGGGTTCACCCTGCTGCTGCTCCAGGCCTTGGGAGAGGAGCGACTCCAGGCCCTGGGGCTGCCCTCCCTGGGCCTCGTCTGTCTTGATCCTTTTGTCAATGTTGCACAGTTTTTATTCCCTCTCCCCTTTTTGTAGTGGGCTGGGTTTTAAATTATGAATTTTAACTGCCTCTGGGTGAAAAAGAGTTTTTAATAAACACCTTATTACCTCTTCACTGGACTAATCCAATGACTTTAATTTTTTAATTGTGCAGAAATTTTCCACGTAAGTGGAAATGATCATAAGGCGGTTTCCTCTGCTTGCCAGGGGATAGATCATAAAGGGTCCATCCCCTGGGCCAGGCTGGTGCTCAGGAGAATCCGTTTTTTAAGCCATTTCAATCAGAGCAGACTGTGCTTGGTTGTATCTGAACACTGTTTTGCCTTCTCTCTTTGGGAATAAATGGCAAGAGTTAACCACTTTGAGTCTGTCTGACTGCATCTCTGGGCCCGAGACAGGGAGGCCCCTGGCTGGCCTTTCCTGCTGTCAGGCGGGGAAACACCCACAGTATCTCAGACCTGGTGGCTTCTTCCAGACTTCAAGGAAGGACTGTGGGGTACTGCTGAGGTGGGGGGCACTGCCCGGAGGTAAAAGATCTTACCCCTAGATGAATGGGCCTGATCAGACAGCTCTTGAGGTCTCTATAAGGCAGAGGTTGATTCTGCTGCAGCCCAATCTATTCACCAGTCCTTGTTGAGCACCTACTGTATGCCAGGTGGTTGAGGGTCAGAGGAGGCCAAGACAATGTGGTCCCTGCCCTTGGGCTCACAGTCCTTCCAAGTGCAGGAAGTGTTAGGATGGAGAAATCCGGGGGCTAGTGAGAAATGCGCCTGGGGAGGTGATGTTCGTTAGGCTGTGACAGGAGAGATGACCAAGAGTTGGGTGGGCAGGAGGCGTGGTGGGCAGGGCAGGCTGTTCTGTACAGAGGACAGAGGGGACAACAGCTTTTGAGGAACCGGTCTGCTTGCCATGGGAAGGAGTGAAGAGCTGAAGGTGGTTGGCAGGAACTGTGCTGGAAATGAGGTCTCCGAGTGGCTGGGGCCAGACTGGGAGCCCCTGGAGCCTCTCGAGGGCAAGGACACTGCCATATGCACAGGAGCCCACCCTGGCCTTAGTAGGGAAAGGGCCTGCTGGAAGGACACCAACTAACTCACGGAGCAGAAGAGGAGCCAAGGCCCAGTCCCGGGATGGACGCACTGTGGGAGCATCTGACCACTCGCCCTCCACTGAGCATGGCCAGCTCAAGAGTCTCTGGATTTTGGAAGTTGGGCCACTTGAGCATCTCTTGCTTCTCCTTAGAGGGGGGTGCTTACTGAGACGGGAGCCCCAGGAACCACGAGGAATGGGGATGAACAGTTACGCAAGGGGAAGAGGAATGCCGTCCCTGGAAGAAGTGGAGGAGGTGCTGGAAGACAAAGCCCGGGGCGGGGGCGGGGATGGGGATGCTGCACACCCTGCAAGTTTACCATCTGGACTTCGTCCCGAGGCAGTGGAAGCATCTGAAGGGCTTTGAGCAGGACGTTCCATGATGAGATTCATTCCTCTAAGGACCACTGTACTTTAATCCCAGCAAGCTCCGCTCATGTGACCTCAGGCTCTGCATCTGTTCCTTCTGGGAAATGAGGCACTAACCGTATTCCCTCGTGATCTGTTGTGAGGTTCATAGGAGTCCACAAGGTTAAGGGGTTAATGATGGGGGTGACTCTCTGTCAAGGTCAGGGAGAACATGTTAGAGTCCCATGCACAGGATGTCTTTTATTTTTTGTCGTAAAAGAAATTAAGCTTTACTATTTATACCTTGAGCTGGCACTGGAGTCCTCAGTCTCTGGGTCAGAGGATCATGCACCAAAACTGACAAGGAGGGAGTGGGACCCTCACACCTGGGAGAGCTGGACAGCCCCCCAACCCCAGCCTATGGAAACGCGTATGGTTTTTTGACGGCCAGTTTAGGAGGACCTACAGCTTGTTTTATCCAGTTAGCTAAATTAAGCCATACAAATGGACAAGTGACATGAAGTTTGCTGCCAAGAAACCAAGAATTGAAGGTAATGGCAATAATGCAAACACAAGAAAATCAGAAGAAAATGGCAGAGCCAGCACTTCCATGGCTCAGAGGAGCTCTGTGGCTGCAGCAGTGATCTGGCTAATCAGATTGAACAAAAAGTCAACAACCACACACACACAGACGCGCGCGCACATACCTAAAAGCATCAAAAAGACTCTTGGGAAATGGACTGACATCTGCGCTCGTTAAGGACGGGCTTTGCCTTGAGTGCACTGCGCTTCAAAGCGTTAGCTAATGTTGATGGTTCGAATAGTTCAGTTCTAAGAAAACATTCTCATATTGGGAGTGTGAGATCAACAGTTTTTACTAATAGGAGTGCACAGATGGAAGGGCGTGGCACTCTCTAGAAAGTGGCTTAACTTTCCGGAAGCTGGGCTGGCACGGAGAGAGGAGGTGGGGTCCTTGCAGCAGCAGCCCAGAAGAGGTGACGGTGGTGGGGAAATGGAGGTACTGAGAGGTGGAGCTGACAAAGATGGCTGCCAGGCGGAGAAAGGGAGCGAGTCAGGGAGGTCACTGCTGATTCCAAGGGCCTCGGAGAGGTGCTACAGGCAGCTGGACATGTGGTCTGGAGACTTAGATCTGAGGGTCTACGACATCCAGAGGCGGGAGATTGGTGTTCACTTAGACTTGGAAGTCTGGCAGATCCAGCTCGCCAACACCAGCTTTGCCTGTGACTGCCTGTGTGACCTTGGGTAGATGACCTCACCCCTGTGCCTTGGTTTACTTGTCTGTAAAATGTCGCATAATAATAGGGCCTGCCTCAGAGGGTTGTAAGGATTTATTGAGAGTGTAAAGTCACACAGCACCTGGCTCCTGGCAACCAAGCGAAGGAGGCGAAAGTTACTGTGGATGGTGAGTGAGGCCAGGAGGAGGAGATGGCTCGGGAAGGGGGAGTGTGGAGTGGAGTCAGAAGAGGGCTCGCCACGGACCCTAGGAGAAGTTCACAGTATTTGTGAGCAAAGCAGGTGAAGGGATGAGGGAAAAAGAGGAGGCAGAGGGGAGAACCAGGGTTGGATGGGGGGCCCTCTCTCCTAGTGTCAGGTTTGTCCCAGGAGTTCCCAAGAGCTTGTTGGAGGTCACACAGCCAGGAGGTGGGAGGGGGAACCAAAGCCAGTTCCAAAGCCAGTTCCCAGGAGAAGCACCATGCAGCAGAATAGCTGGTACTAAGGGTCATGGGACCTGGGTTTGGTCCCCAGTTCCTCACTTACTGGAAGTGTGTCCTTAAGCCACTTACCCTCTCTGAGCCACTTCCCCATCTATGAAATGGGATCATATCCCCTTCCTAGGGTTTGGGGGGGGTATAACGAAATGACACTTGGGAAGGGAACTGAGGCTCAGGGGTCAGAAGCTTGCCATACCCACCCAGCTGAGGGAGATACAAGAGCGGGCCTGAATCAACAGAAAGGAGAAGAGAGCACCAGAGAAGGCAGAAGACTGGCGAGGGTCACAGAGCTCACAGGACACGTCGTGATGGGTCAGAGAAACCCAAGTTCTGTTTGTAGCTGATGGCAGCTCCTCACATGGGTTCTCCAGCAGGCCTTGGGAACCAGATTGCCTGGTTGGCCTCCCGGCCCTGACACTCTCTGCTACGCTCAGCTATGTGCCTCAGTTGTATCATCCATAAAATGAGAATCCTAATAGCACCCACCTCCTATCCTCCTCTGTTTTGTTAAGGAAGATTGGCCCTGAGCTAACATCCATGCCCATCTTCCTCTACTTTATATGTGGGATGCCTGCCACAGCATGGCTCGACAAGCAGTGCTAGGTATGCACCCGGGATCCAAACCAGTGAACCCCAGGCCGCCGAAGCAGAACACGTGAACTTAACCACTATGCCATCAGGCTGGCCTCAGCACCAACCTCCTAGAGTGCTTTCAAGGATTAAATGAATTCATAGTAAAGTGTTTAGAACAATGCCTGGCATATAATAAGCCCTGAAAGGTTTGCTATTTATTGTTATTAGTTATTATTAGTCCAGGGCAAAAGAGTGAGTTCTTTCTCTCTTTTTTTTTTTTTTTTTGAGAAAGATTAGTCCTGAGCTAACTACTGCCAATCCTCCTCTTTTTGCTGAGGAAGATTGGCCCTGAGCTAACATCCATGCCCATCTTCCTCTACGTTATACGTGGGATGCCTACCACAGCATGGCTTTTGCCAAGAGGTGCCATGTCCTCACCCGGGATGCAAACTGGCAAACCCCAGGCCGCCGAGAAGCGGAACTTGTGAACTTAACCACTGCGCCACCAGGCCGGCCCCTCTGTGATACCTTTTTAAATATAAAATGCATACAGGATAGCACAAGTCACAGGAGTACAACCCCACAAATCTCCACACACCGAACAAACAGCATCACCCACACCCTGGAGCCTCACTTGTGACCCTCCAATCACCCCCACCCCCACCCCAGGCACCACTCTCCAGGTCAGTTTACTTCTTTTTGTACTTTATATAAATAGAATTGTACAGTGATCCTATAACTCTTCCATGCCTGGCTTCTTTCACTCACCACTGTTTGTGAGATGACCCCTGTACGTTGCTGGCAGTTGTAGATGGTTCTCAATGTTGTGTAATAACCCACTGTATGAAAACGTTGCTCCACGTTCTGACTTATGCAGGGGAAATGAGCCCTCATCACCCTTTGCCTCCCTAAGTATTGGTGCTGGGGAAGCACAGAAGACAGACTTTCACAGTAAAAGTTATCCGTTTCGTGAGTTACATGGTAACTGATGTTACCCGGGAGCCTGCGTCCTTTTGGGACAGCTGCTTCCTTCTCTAGAAGGCTGCCTCCTTGAGAATGCAGACCGCAAAGGTAAGTCACTTTCAACTCATCACTCAAACCAGGCCTCTGGGCTGCGAGTGCCCTCCTGGGTCACCTGAGTGCATGCGGCAGCTCCACCCAGGTGTGAGGCTGGCTCCAGAAGATGTGCAGAGAGGTGGGTGTAAGGCAGGTGTGGGCCAACTGGAAAGCGTTCCAAGGAAAATGCCACAATCTGGAATGTTACCCCCCGCCGTTCTGGTTCTGGGTGGGGCTGCTGAGGAGAGGCCAGACTGATGGGGTCAGCAGGGGCACAGGAGTGCTGGTGGGACAGGACACAGGCCCTGGCTGGATATCATTTGGCTCCATCTTGGGTGCCGCAGAGCCTGCCTGCAGCAGCTGCCTTTCCCTGGGACCCTTCAAATGGGCTCATGAATCCTGCCTGCATTTCACTATAGTATAACCATCAAGAAACAGATCCACACCCAACAGAAAGGGGGGAAAAGAATGAGAAAATAGAGATCTCAGAAAACAAATGGCTATGGGGCGGGGGGGGAGTTGCTTATTTTTACAGAGAAATGAACTTAAACAGCATGGAGATTTTATTTGTCATGTGTCAGAGCGGCAAAAATATTCAGTAACACCATCCTTTAGTGCTACGTGGAAATGGGTGGTGGGAGTGTAAATTGGTACAACCTTCATGGAGGAAAATTTGGAAATCTTCGGATTACAAATGTACATACCCTATGGTCCAGCAATTCTACTTCTAGGAAATGATTCTACTTGGACACGGGTGAAATGACAGTCCAGTGTTGTTTGTGACTGGAACAAAAGATGGAGTGAAGGCAGCATCTGCTTCAGATATAAAAAATGTGTCAATAAAGAATTGGTTAAACAATGGCACATTCATTTGCTGGAATACTACGCAGTTGTGAAAAAAAGAAAGAAAATTAAGATCTTTATGTTCTAGGATGAAATCTCCAAGTGAATCTGTTAAGTTCAAAACACAAAGTGAAAAACCATGAACCAGATAAGCTTCCATCTGGGCTCAAAGGGGAAAATCAAATATTTGCTGCTTTTCTCTGCATGGATTGTTCTGGAAGGAAATACAAGAAATGGGTAAGCTCAGGGAAAACTGAGTGGCTGAAGAACAGGAATGGGAGACTTTTATCTTGTGGATTTTGAACTCTGTGAATGTATTATCTGCTCAAAAATCAAATATTTAAACAACACACACATGGAGCAATCAGGGATTTATGGGGTCTGGTTATTTTCCACGACTCAAAGAGGGTCCAGGGCATTTGTCTCACATCAGTTCAAGGTGAACACGTAGGTTTTATGCAGTTTTCTTTAAATTATATTTCACAACCTAAAAGATCAACAACAAGGACTAACAAAGCTCACGGAGAGCTTGCTGTGGACCCGGGTCAGCCGGGTGCCAGCCTCCTGGGGCAATCCAGGGGCTAAGTGAGGAGGGAGGGTGCCCCCTAGAGCCCCCAGGAGGAGAACAGCCCAGACAGGTTCTCTCAGCGCCCCCTCACCCACTGCTGGGCAAGCAGTGCGGCGGGAGCAGAGCGTGGCCCCGTTTGGCGCGGTGCCAGGGCGGCCCGGCTGGCAGCGACTCCCGAGCGGCACGGTTGCCCTGTCCACGGCCTTTGTCCGCAGCTGCAGCGTCTCCTCTTTCCTGGGCGGCCTCCGCTCCATTGTTGGCCGAGGGGATCAGGAACCGGGGCCGCCTGCATTATTGATGCCCGCGCAGAAGGCGGGAGACGCTGGCGGTAGATTGAGCCCGAAGCCCCCGCCAGGGCAGAAGCAGTGAGGTGCGCAGCCCAGGGCTGTGGGCGCCCGCGGGCAGCCAGATCCTGGGGGAGGAAAGAACGGAGGGGTCGGGAAGCCCCTCTTCAGTGGGCCCGCTATGGGCAGGAGCAAGGGCAAGGCCCCCCAGCGCCCGGAGGCACCCGGGAGGCCGGCCTCGGGGGAGCAGGAGTCCGGGTCGGCCAGCGCGGACTGCGCGCCCAGCCAGGAGCGCCGACAGGGCCGCGGCAAGGCCCGCGGCGCGAGACGGGTCCTGGAGCCCGCCACCGCGGGAGGCCAGGGGACCCCCGATCGCAGGAAGCCCACCGCAGAGGGGAACGGCGGCTGCACACGGCCAGGGACTGGGCCGCCCATGGAGGGTCAGGAGAGAGGAGGCAGCGCGCGGCGTCGGGGACGCGGGCCTAAGGACAGCCGCGAGCCCGGGGACAGCCGTGCGGGGCGGGGGGCGGAGGGGAGTCTTCCCCGAGGAGAGCAGACGGGCGAGCGCGGCCGCTGCAGGAGGAGAGGAAAAGCGCGGGGACCCTCGGCTCGCCGGGGCGGCGGAGAGACCCGAAGCCTCGGTGGGGACACGTCGGGCGGAGACGGGGGCAGCTCCTGCCCGGACAGCGAAGCCCCCGAGGCCCGGGAAAGCGGCAGTCAGAGCGGCGGGGCCCGGGAGCTGCGGCCCAAGTCGGAGCAAACGGACACGGGCTCCGGAGGCACCCAAACCGGGCCGGAGTCAGCGCTGGAGCTGGGCGAGCGCCTGAGCAGCGACGGCCCGAGCGGCAACGGCAGGGGTAGCGACGAGCCCCCCGCCGAGCCCCGGAGCCAGGAAGGGTCGTCGGGGCCGGGGCCCCAGGGAGCAACCGAGGATTCCGGGACAGACACGGACTCGACTCTGGAGGGGGCCGGCCCTGGACGGGAGCCACGGGCAGCCCCAGGAACGGCGAGCCGGGCCACGGAGGCTGAGCCGGACCGAAAAGCCGCGGCCTCCAGCCCCCGCGAGGGCAGCCGCGCGCGCGCCCCCTGGAGCTGGCGGGCTTCTCGGGACTCCAGGTCGGCCCGGGACGCGAGAGACAACAGGACGCAGGCGGAGACTGAGCCGCGGGGCGCCGGGCCCGGGAGAACCGAGGTCTCGACTGCCCGGGCTCGGTGCCGCCAGGTCGGAAAGGTGGTGGGGAAGGTGCAAGTGGCGGCGGGGGAGAGCGAAGCGGGGGCTTCAGGGAGAGACCGGCCGGGGGACTCAGCGCCGCTGGTGGCCCTCGTGGCGCTCCGCAGCCTCCGCGCGAGGTCCCCGCCAGGCCCCGCTCCCCAGGCCGCAGGTCCCCGTCGCGCCGACCTCAAGTGGCGGTTCCTGCGCGTGGCCCGGGCCCTGGGCCTCCTGCGGTGGCTGCAGCGGAGGCTCCGGCGGGTGGCAGGCGAGGGGCGGGGAGCCCGGCAGGGGGCGGGCGAGGGGCGGGGGGCGGGGCCGGCGGAGGGCGAGGGGCGGGGCCGCGGGCCGGGGCTGCGGCGCCGTCTAGCGCTGCGCCTGGCGGGCGTAGCTGGGCTAGGGCGACCGCCGAGGGCTCCCCCTGGCGACGGCCCGAGCTCCCCTCAGGTTGCGGAGACCCCAGGCCCCGACGAGCCTTCTGAGGACCAGGACCCGACTCCCGATCCCAAGTTCGCGGTTGTGTTCCCCAGAATTCACAGGGCGGGGAGGGCATCGAGCAGCCGGATTTCGGAGGAAGCGTCCGCGGACGCCCCCTCCGGGGAGGGGCGCGTTTGGGCCTGTGCAGAGGCTTCATGGGACAGTGAGGGACGCAGGGCCAGTGGAGAAGAGGCGGACGGACTCCGCCGCGGCTCTCTTCTCGGCGTGACTCCCCCCGCTGAGTCCCCACTCGACGACAGCGGCTCCAGCAGCGAAGCGGAGCCCGAGACCTTGGAAGCCGAGGCTCCGGTGCACTGGGCGCAGGGCTCCGAACCCCGCGAGGACCCTGGTCCTGGCACCGCCGCACTGCTGCCCCGACTCGCCTTGGAGACCCGCCTGCGGCGGGAGAGGGGCCCGGACGCCGGCGGGTCCCCGAGGGAGCGGTGGGAGCCCGAGGATGAGGCCGAGGAGGCGCTGGAGAGGGACCTGGAGCTGAGCCTCGGGCCGGGCCTGGAGGCGCCGCCCTCCCCGGGTGCCGAGGGCAGGAGCCTCGGGGCCGGCCTGGAAGACACCGAGGACCTGGCCCGACTGCGGTGAGCAGTCCCAAATCCGCCGTGCCTGGGCACACAGTTCCTCATAGCCCACTTGACCCCCGTTTTTATTAATTGTGTCCTTAGAAGGGATTTTGCCTCACAAAACGTCGTCTGGCTGGGAGGGACAGCTGAGGGGTGAAAGTCAGTGCGCCCGCCTGGGACTTCCTTCCCTAACTGGCACAAAGCTTCCCTCAGGGTCAGCGGCCCGGTCCTGCTTGTGGCCCCCATGGAGGGGATAAGTTATGTAGCAGCTGGGCCGCCGTGAGCAGCAGCTCAGAGAGGGTGCACGACTTGCCCAAAGTGTCTCTGCAGCCAGTGGAATCGCTAACCCAGGATCTCCTTCTGCCCCAACTCCCTGCTCCTCCCCCCTGCTGTCCCCACAGACCGATGTGTGACAGCTCCGTGCTGCTGTGCCTCAAGAAGAGGTTTCACCTGGGCCGAATCTATGTACGGGGGCGCCAGGGAGGGGATAGCGGGCTGGGATGCCCTTTCCCCTGGGGACAGAGGGCCCTCTGGCACCCCTGGAGCTTCTCTTGCGTCTCCTCCCTGGGCTGGGTGCTGCGCCCTCTCTGGGGAGCTGCAGTGGGGCCAGGGGCAGGGCCTGCTCCCTCCATGTTCTGATGAGAGTTTGTGCTTTCTTCCTCAGACCTTTGGGGGACCCCTCCTCCTTGCTCTGAACCCCCACAGGCCCCTGCCTCTCTTCTCTCCTGAGGTCCTGGCCAGCTACCGCCCCAGGAAGGCCCCCAACACCACCCCGTACGTGCCTTGCCCCACCAACCCTCTGCTTACCTCCCTGGGCGGCTAAGCCCAGCGTGTCCCATTGATTGAGGTCCTGGGGACTGCGGGCGTATCCTGCCTACATCTAGGAGGGCCCCAGATGCCCATCTCTGGCAACCTTCTCATCTGCCCCCTCCTCCTTCTCCAGACACATCTTTGCCATCGTGGCGTCAGCCTATGGCCTGTCTCAGAGCACTGGCCAGGGCACGTGCATTCTTCTCAGGTGAGTGGCTGATCCCACACGCCTCACTGAGGGCAGGGAGTGGGAGGACCTGAGGTCTGCATTTGAAATTGCCCGTCTGGTACATTGCTGGGTGGCAGCTCTGGACTTTGTAAGGGCTGTGTTCCTGGCTGAAGTCACCGTGTGTACTCCTTGACGTGGCATCTCAGGGACTTTTTTCTGTTTGGTCTCCACGCCCTGGATCTATCTTTCTGCATTTTTAGGCGTCTCCTTTAGGGTTGGTATGACTTCCAGGCGGGCACATTCCCACTTCCCGGGCTCAATGGGGTCATCCTATGTGCCCCTTCCTGGTGACCCTGCCAGCACCTCCCTTCTTCAGTGGGCAGAGCGGCTCAGGGAAGACAGAGGCTTCCAAAAAGATTGTGCAGTTCCTAAGCAGCCTGGAGCAGGAGCAGATGAGAGACAGGGGATGTCAGGTGAGGGGCAGCTGGCCATTTCTCAAGGATCCAAGAGGGACCATCCTTCTCTGGGCCAGGAGGGTGGTCTTCAGGCCTCTGGCTTCTCCTTGGGGGCAGCCCCAGGCATTGACTACTGCGGAGGCAGGTGGGGTGGGGCTGACTCTTCCGTGGACCAGCATAGTCCCCAGGCACAGTGTCCTCAGCTGGGACGTCTGATCAGTGGGTACCACTCCTGCTCCCAGGGCTACTTGAATGCCCGTCTCCCATACAGCTGGATGGCGTGCTGCCCCTGCTCAGCAGCTTTGGCCATGCCAAGACAGTCCTCAATGCCAACGCCAGCCGCTTCGGCCAGGTCTTATGCCTCTGCCTGCAGCAGTGAGTGATGGGGTCCGGGTGGGCATAGGGGGCACTCATGATCAGTTCCCCTTACTGAGAACCCGAGGCTGCTGCCCTTGGGCCTAGCTCATGGTGGGTCCCATTCTGAGCAGGCCCCTGGGTTGCATGCACCCTGGGCACCCCCACCCAGACTCCTGTGCCCACAGAGGAGTCGTCGTGGGAGCTTCTGTGTCACATTATCTGCTTGAGACCTCAAGGGTGGTGTTTCAGGTAAGACCCACCCTCCTGCCCACCCCTCTTCCAGCTCCCAGAGTAGGAAAGAGGGAGGGGCCCCTGTAGGGGGCTGTGGCCCTTAAGCTCGCAGGTCTGCCCTGCTCCCCTGGGGCACAGGACCAGGCACTGCTCCCCCTGAGCCAGCCCTTCTCCCCCAAGGCCCAGGCTGAGCGGAGCTTCCATGTTTTTTACGAGCTGCTGGCAGGGCTGGACCCCATGGAACGGGAGCAGCTCTCCCTACAGGGACCAGAGACCTACTACTACATCAACCAGGTGAGGGCACGGCCCACTTGGTGCTGGGCAACAGGGCCTGCCCAGGGAAGGGTCTCGGCGCCGGGGTCTGACAAAGAGCCAGAGTAGAGGGGGGCTGTGGGTGGCCAAGCCCTGCCTCTCACCCCTGCTGGGCTCTGCAGGGCCAGGCCTGCAGGCTCCAGGGCAAGGAAGATGCCCAGGACTTCACAGGACTGGTGAAGGCCCTGCAGGTGCTAGGCTTGCGCCCTGAGGAGTTGACCACAGTCTGGGCCGTGCTGGCCTCCATCCTGCAGCTAGGCAACATCTGCTTCTCCTCTTCAGAGGTGGGCTCCCCGTGCACACTGGATCCGTGGTGGCTTGTTTGCATAATCAGGGCAGCGATAGTGATGCCAAACACTTGTATGTGGGAGGCTGCCAAGCCCTGGGCTTCCCTCAGGGCCTCCCAGCCGCCCTGGAGAGCAGGCAGACCCCCATCGTGTAGGTGAGGGCTGAGACCCGGATCTTCCGTGTCTGTGCCAATGCCGGTGCACTAAGCTGCCACACCTGGCACACCTGGCGCTAACTGAGCAGCTGTTATGCACCTGGCTCTGTGTAAATTACTTCATATCTGTTTTCTGATTCAGTTCTCACAACACTGTAATACAAGGGGTGTTATTTTTCCTTTAACAATAAGACAGTGGAGGCTCAGAGCGGGGAAGAAACTTGTCAGGGCCTGCCCACGAGTGACGCGGGCAAGTCGGGACTCACACTCCAGGCCCTCAGACTCCAGAGCCCACTCTTCCCTGCTCAGATCTATCTTCCTTTGGGTAACAGGGCAGCTTGCCAGGCAAAGCGCGGCCCTGCCCCTGGCCTGGGGGCTGTAGCCGTTCCACAGGCAGAGCTCTCCCTGCTCCTTCCCTTCTCTGTCCAGCGAGAGTCCCAGGAGGTGGCTGCTGTGTCCAGCTGGGCCGAGATCCACACAGCTGCCCGGCTGCTCCGGGTGCCACCCGAGCGCCTGGAGGGGGCTGTCACCAGGAGGGTCATGGTGAGCCTGAGGGCCCTGGGGAGGCAGGGCCCAACCCCGACCCTGACTACCTGCAGCCTTGGTGAGCACCCACCTGACTTACCACATGCATCTCCTCCGCCCTCCAGGAGACGGCCTATGGCCAGGTCTGGAGATCCCTGCCAGTGGAAAGTGCCATTGATGCCAGGTGGCCCTGGGGACAGGAGAGAGCTTAGCTGGGCCTGGCACTCTGCTGCGTGTGGCTCACTCACCATGCCCGCAGGGACGCCCTGGCCAAGGCACTGTATTCGCGGCTCTTCACCTGGCTTCTGAGGAGGACCAATGCAAGACTGGCACCGCCCGGGAAGGGAGGCAGCACGGACACCGTCACTGTCGTGGACGTCTATGGCTTTGAGGTCACCCCTTGGCTGGGGGGCCCAGGACGGGGTGCTCACCTCATCCTGATTATTTCTGGGGAGCCCCACAGCTCAAGATCTCCTGTAGGGGGCGCTCGTGAGCTGTGTGCCCCCCTGGCCATGCTCTGTGTGCGGGGCTGAGCTGGCTCCGGGGGGCTGGGCTGCAGAGGTCGAGAGGAAAGGGAGCAGCCCCTGTCTTTGGGGACTTTGGAGTCTGGCGGAGGAGTCAGGCTGGCCGAAAACCTCGGCGCTCTCCCTCCCATTCACCTCCAGCTGCGGGGAATTGAGAGGGGGTGTGTCCACCACAGGCCATGTTTGTTTCCAAGCAGCGCCTCTACTTCCTTCTCTGGTACCCGGCTGGCTGGACAGCCTGAGGCCATGCGCCTTCCTGGCTTCTCTTTGAGAAGGGCTGGAGCTCGCCGGAGCCTGGCACCAGCTGGTGCTTTCCTCCTGCAGAGAGGCGTTGCTTAACACTACAGATGAGAGCAAGGGCTCTGGATGCTCTCAAGCTCTGGGGTGTGAGTCCTGTCACTCACTAGCTGTGTGACCTAGAGCAAGTTAATTCACCTCTCTGAGGCCCAGTTCCCAACTATAAACCAGGGGTCATAACAGGACCTACTTCATGGGCAGTGAAGCTTAAAAGAGATGGTCCTTGAGAGAGCCAGGCGTTCTGTAGGTGCAGCCATTCTGCTCTCTGTCCAGTCCTGACATCACCTCTGGAGAGTTCTGTCCTGCCTGGCCTTCCAGAGAAGCTCAGGAGCCTCCAAGGCAGTGGGAGCCAGAAGCCCTGGGTGGGGGCAGCCACAGCCTTGCCTCCTGGGCACCAAGAGGAGGGGGCAGGGGGGACTCCCCCAGATGGGCCTGAGTTTTCATAAGTTCTCCACCCCTTTCCAGAAGATCCCACTACCTCAGGGCAGGGTGGAGGGGCCTAGAGCAAGAGGAGGTGGCCCCCACCCTCAATCCCTGGATGGGGACTGTTCACTGTCCCCTGCTTTCTCTTGGTCTCCAGTGTGTCCTTAGTGACCGTCCCTTCTCTGAGGAGGCGACCACGGCAAGTGTGTGTGTGTGCGCATGCACACGCATGCACGTGTGCTCTTGTGTGTGTGTTTTAGAGCATGCCAAAACTCTCTGTACAAAACTACATGAAATGGGGACTCTGCTGGAATTGCTGGTAAAGTACGGGACGGGGGGCGCACAGAGGAAGGAGCCTGTAATTCCTATAGGAGGAATACTGAAGGCTTCTTAGAGGCGGCAGCCTGGAGCCCTGCTTATGAGGATGTGGGATTCTGATAGCCAGCAAGCTAGGTCTTAGGAAAAGTGACCTTCTAGAGCACAGGGTGACTGTGACCAGAGGCCTGGAGGCTCACAGTCATGTGAGGCAGACGGCAGGGGTGTGGGGTGCCAGAGGGAGGCCTGACTGTGGCCGGGGCAGGGCTGAGGCCGTCCGCATGCTGGGCCAGGACCTGTGGACTTGACCCTGTGGGCTGCAGCATCAGCCTTGGGGCACCAGTTCTCCCTGAGTGCTGGGGAGAATGTGGGCAGGCCTGCAGAGGGGCACGAAGGGAACCAGGCCTGTGTGCCGGCCCCCCACACCTGCCCTGTGCCCCCGCCTCGTGTGGATGCCCACCTCACTGCCTGCGTGCCCCCAGGCGCTGCGGGTGAACGGCCTAGAGCAACTGTGCAACAATCTCGCCAGCGAGCGCCTACAGCTCTTCTCCAGCCAGATGCTGCTGGCCCAGGAGGAGGTATGAGGAGCTGGGTGTGGAGGCGGCAGGGGGACACCCAGTTATTTCCCAGAACAGAGACCATCCCTGGGAAGGAAAGGGCACTGCCCTGAGAGCTCTGCCCCAGTGCCCCTTGCGATGGGCCATCTCAGTCCTTCTGAGCCTCAGTTTACTCATCTATAAAAGGGAGGGGCATCCCTGCTCTGGCTCAGATGAAGTCCCCCCTGAACGTGGGTGGGCTCTGTAAACGGCCAAATGCTGGCTGTTCCCAGGAGGAGTGTCGGCGAGAGTTGCTGCCCTGGGTGCCCATCCCCCAGCCTCCGTGGGAGTCCTGCCTGGACCTCCTAGCAGACCAGCCCCACAGCCTCCTGAGTATCCTGGATGCCCAGACATGGCTGTCCCAGGTGAGCCCCCAGTGGCGGGGACAAGGAGTGGGGGCCCTGATGCCCAGGCCGGAGCCAGCAGGGCCTCTCAGGGGAGCGACAAGGTGATGGAGTCCGGAGACCCTGCCCACGGCCTCTCAGCACAGCTTGGGAAGGCAGTGGACACACTGGGTTCAAATCCGTCTCTGGGTGATCTTGAGCATGATGCCTGACCTCTGAGTTTCCTCAAGTCCTCACTGCAGAAGGGGACAATAGTGCCTGAGGGACAGGGTGGTGGGGACTGTGCAGGGCTCATTTGGGGCTTGCGAGGGTCCCTCAAGCCTCTGACCAGTAGACCTCAAGCCGTGGTGTAAATCCTTGATGACTGCCTTCCACCCGCCCCTACCTAAATACCCCCTGATACTGTCCGGACTCTCCCCTACTTTACATTTTATGACACTCATGTCCTTGTGCAATGACAGTGTATATTTATTCATCGACTCTTTTCCCTGAGCTAGACCGAGCTCCATTAGCGCTGGGCCTGGTTGGAATGGTGCACGCCTTATCCACAGCGCCTGGCACATGTTAAGGGTTCATTAAATATTGAATGAATGAATGAGTGAGTGAGTGAGTGAATGTGTATGTGTACAGGAGCTGTGCTAGGGATAAAAAGATGAGCAAACATAGACCCAGTCCCTCCCCTGTCAGAGCCTGCAGTGTAGTGGGAGAGAGCTGTTAATAACACAGACACAGAACCAAACACAAAATCACACCTGTACGGCTTGGTGAGTGTGTACAGGGCCACGAGAGCATGTGGGGCTTGGGCCGTTTCTGGGATCTGAGGTCGTGTAAACTAAATACACCGTCACCCCAGATACAAGATGACCCCCGTTTTCCCATTTAGATGTTGAAAATGAAAGACAAAAGTAATGGTAAAGTAGTCAGATGTGATTATAATAGTTCACTGAAGGCTGGCCCGGTGGCACAGTGGTTAAGTTTGCGTGCTCTGCTTTGGCAGCCTGTGGTTCATGGGCCCGGATCCCAGGCATGGACCTACACGCCTACACACCGCTCATCAAGCCATGCTGTGGTGGCATCTCACATAAAATAGAGGAAGACTGGCACAGATGTTGGCTCAGCGACAATCTTCCTCAAGCAAAAAGAGTAAGATTGGCAACAGATGTTAGCTCAGAGCCAATCTTCCTCACCAAAAAAAAAAATCAATATAATATTAATGTAAGAAGTATCAATATAGATTAGATATTAATATAACAACACATTATGTTATATTAATATATAACATTTGTTTATTAATAATCATACATATTTGAAATCTCTTATTAGATGATAGCATGTTAATTCTTAAATGATCTCTTTTCCCAGTTCACACTTCATAAAGGTTTATTAAAGCTTGTCACAGTCATCTTTGACGTCTCAGGGCCACTTTTGGAATCATGCAGCCTGATTTTCCAGGACTCACGGGTATCATTAGGTCTCCATTATTTGAAACAGCACTTTTTGAGTCCGTGTTGGGTGTTGACCCTGGAAGTGTGACCCCAAGCCACAAGTTCCCATTTATAGGACATTAAGGCAGGTGTTTCCCCATGCATTTGTTGTTATATGTTCCTTAGCTCCATAAAATAACCTCTTAGCAGGCGGCTTTTTCAAAGTAACTTTGAAAGACTTGTTTAAAACCACTGCAATGGTGAGGCCATACTCCCTGTCTTAAAGTCCCCCGGCCCCATTTCTTTTAAATAATTGTATCGAGTGTCCTCCATAAGCCGCCGAGTCTCGTGTCGCCTGAGGCGGTTTCTGTGTGAGAGGCTCCTGTGTCTCTGAGGAAGCCCTGAGAGGTGGCATTTGGTCGCTGATAAGAGTCCTGGGAGAGCGCGCCCTCCATGAGGACTCAGAGCTGGCGCGCCTCTTCCTGGCCGAGGAGCGAAACCGGCGCTCACCTTGTGTTCAGAGGCTGCGGGACCCGGGCCAGGGGGTGGAAGCACAGTCCAAGGGGGGAACAGCACGTGCCAAGGCCTCACGGAAGCCGGTCCTTCTCACCAGGCCACGGATCACACCTTCCTCCAGAAGTGCCACTACCACCATGGTGGTCACCCGTGCTACGCCAAGCCCCAGCTGCCCCTTCCTATCTTCACTGTGCGGCATTACGCAGGGACCGTCACCTACCAGGTATCAGGGTGAATCAGGGTTGAACTCAAGGGTGAAGCAGTGAGGGCATTGTGACGCTGGTGTCCCCTCCCAGAGCTGAGTCACCTGATAGGTGAGAGGAGTAAGTGAGGTGGGTACCTTCCAAGGCTTGGCCATCTGTCCCTACCTGGGCCCTCGGCACCACCTAGTTCTGAGCATCATTTATCAAGTTCTGGGTGAGAATTATGGGGTGGGAGGAGTCGAGGCCTTGGGACCCTCTAGACCAAGACGGGCAGAGCATACGCCTGGGATCCGGCTCTGATAACCGCAGGCAGTCTGCTGCTTCTAGCTTCCATTTCCTCATCTGTAAAGTGGGGATGGAAATCTGTCCTATGGCGTTGTCGTGAGGATCAACACAGTCACACGGAGGTGGCTGCACAGATGCATGGCACGTGCTAGGTGCGCACTGAAGGGACTTTCCTTTCCCCCTTCTGAGTTTCACAGCAACTGCACACGTACCCAGGAGGAGAGCTCCTGAGGGGAGGGGGCCTGGTATAAAGAGTAGGACCATGCGACTGGTTTGAGGTGGGGCAAGTCAGGTCAGGCTTCCTGGAGGAGGTGATGTGCTCTGGTTGTAGAAGAAAAAATACCAACTACCCGTGAGTTACCCAAACAAGAAACACAAGGAGTATATGTCAACTATACCTCAAGAAAAACAAAAACAAAAAATCACATCTAAAGAAAAGAAACACAAGGAGATTGAATAAAGAAAACTATGAGACTGTATCAAAGGTCACAAAGGACAGCTTAAAAATGGTGGGACAAACCAAGTTCCTGCTGGGAACCCTAATACTGTTCATGCTTTCCTAGTTAATCTGGAAAAGTAATACAATTCCAGACAACACCCCAATGGCGTTTTTATGCGAGGAGGAGGAGGAATGAGTTTTGATAAAATTATTCTGAAGTCCTATCTGGAAAATAAATGCATGAGAATAGCCAACAAAATATTGAAAAGCAAAAGATGCTGGAGGAATTTGTTCTACAAGGTGTTAAAACATTTTAAAGCCCTAGTAATTAAAAAAGTGTATTGATAAGGAACGGATCCATCAGCGGAACAGAACTGAATAGTAATAACAGGCCCAGGATGTATAAAGGAACTGGACACACGACCAAGGTGGCCTTTGGAAAAAATGTGGTAAAATACACACCATGTAAAATTTACCACTTTGACCGTTTTTTAGTGTACAATTCAGGGGCTTTAAGTCCGTTTACAATGTTCTGTAACCATCATCACTATCCGTTTCCAGAACTTTGTCATCATCCCCAAGAGAAACTCTGTTCCCGTTGAACACTCACTCCCCATGCCCCTCCCCCAGCCCCCGGGAATATCTGATCCGCTTTCTGTCTCTGTTAATTTGCTTATTCTAGGTGTCTCATAGAAGTGGAATCATAACACACACACACACACACAATCTTTTTGTCTGACTTGTTGCACTGAGCATAATGTTCCCAAGGTTCGTCCATGTAGCACATAGCAAAATAGGCCACGTTGGTTATCCATTTATCAGTTGATAGACACTTGGGTTTTTCTCCCTTTTGGGGTCCTGTGAATAACACTGCTGTGAACGTGGGTGTATGAGTGTCTGTTCAAGCTCTGCCTCCAGTTCTTTTGGGTCTGTAGCTGGGAGTGGAATTGCTGGGCCACGTGGTAATTCTATGTTTAACTTTTTGAGGAGCCACCACACGGTTTTTCTCAGCGGCTGCACCATTTTATATTCCCACCAGCAATGTACGAGGGTTCCAGTTTCTCTGCATCCTTGCCGATACTGGCTATTTTCCGTCTTTTTAAATTCTAGCCAGCCTAGTGAGTGTGAACTATCTCATTGTGGTTTTGATTTGCATTCCCTAATGACTAATAATGCTGAGAATCTTTTCATATGATTCTTGGTCATTTGTGTATCTTCACTGGAAAAATGTCTATTCAAGTCCTTTGACCATTTTTGAATTGAGCTGTTTGGTTTGTTTTTGTTGAGTTGTAGGAATTCTTGGAACAATCTGGATATTAATCCCTTATCTGATATGTGATATTTTCTCCCATTCTGTGGGTTGTCTTTCCACTCTCCTAATAGTGTCTTTTGACGCACAAAAGCTTTTAATTTTGATGAAATCCAATTTGCCTATTTTTCCTTTTGTTGCCTGTGCTTTTGGGATCACATTTAGGAAATCACTTCCAAGTCCAACGTCATGAAGCTTTCTCCCTATATTTTCTTCTGAGTTTTACAGTTTCAGGTCTTACATTTCGGTCTTTGATTCATTCATTTTGAGTTCATTTTTATATAGGGTGTGAGACTAGAGTCCAACTTCATTCTTTTGCATGTGGATTTCTAGTTTTCCCGGAATAATTAGTCGAAGAGACACAGGTGGACTTTTAACTCAGAGGGGAGAGGCTGGCTTATTGGACAAAGGCACCAGCGTCCACACGCAGCCGTCTCTCCTTGGCTTCCCCTCCCCTCCCCACATTGTCTCTTGCAGGTTCACAAGTTTTTAAACAGGAACCGGGATCATCTTGACCCTGCCGTGGTGGAAATGCTTGCCCAGAGCAGCCTCCAGGTGCTCCTGCTAGCCCTCTCAGGCCCCGCCCCTCTACACTCCGTTCCCCCATTCTGCCCTTGCCTGGGCACTTCTGCCCAAGGGTCTCGCCCGCAAGCTCCTGGCACCTTGGGCCGTGGGCTGAGCTTGCCAGGGTCTGGACGCTGTGAGCAGGCCCACCTGGCTCCCCGGCCAGCTCAGCCCGCTCTCGCCCCACAGCTGGTGGGCAGCCTGTTCCAGGAAGCAGAGCCCCCATCTGGGGGAGGTCGAGGCAAACCCACGCTGGCCTCTCGCTTTCAGCATTCCCTGGGGGACCTCATGGCCCAGCTAGGCAGGTGAGAACAGTGTCCCCCAAACCTGACCACAGGGAGTTGAATGGGCGGCCAGTCTGTGCCCAAGTGACCCCCCTTCCACCCATCAGGAGCCATATCTATCTCATCCAATGCCTCAACCCCAACCCCGGAAAGGTGAGCTCACCCAGCACCTGGCCCCAGAGCCCTCCCACCCCTGCCCTGCCCTGCCCTTCTCAGTCCCCAGCTCCTTGTGCCCTGCGCGGAATTCCCCACAGCTTTAAGCCCCTGACTCCAGCTCTCATGGGCTCTGTCCCATGGCCGCAGCATCCAGGCCTCTTTGATGTGGGACATGTGGCAGAGCAGCTGCGCCAGGCAGGCATCCTGGAGGCTGTGTGTGCCCGCAGTGCCAACTTCCCTGTGCGCGTGCCCTTCCAGGCCTTCCTGGCCAGGTAGGACCTCAGGATGGGGCAGCCAAGGGCCCAGGCACCTCGGGGACAGGACTCACAAGGAAGGCCCCCTGCAGTGACCGACAGACCTGGGGTTCCTTCAGGGTGGAGGCGGACCCACTTTCCCAGGGACCCTGGGCCCGGCATCCAGCCCTCCTTCCCTTCATTCTCTCTGTCTCTCCTTCTCTCCCCGCATCCCTCTCTCCTTTGACTATTCATTATCCCTCTACCCCTCCATGCCACTGTTCGTCTGCCCCTCCGCCATGCAGCAAAACTCTCCTGGGTGCCTGGCACACAGTAGGTGCTTTCCAACTCATGGTTGAACTTAGAGACTGAGTAGACACCATGGGGCTCAGGATGTTAAACAAGCATGCAGGGAGGTCCTCGCTGTGCTTGTTCCAACCTCGGCTCTGTCCGTGGGGCAGGTTCCGGGCCCTGGGGACAGAGGGGCAGGGAGAACCCTCTGACCGGGAGAGGTGTGGTGCCATCCTGAGCCAGGTGCTAGGGGCTAAGTCACCCCTCTGTCACCTTGGAGCCACCCAGGTGGGTGTGTGTGTGCAGGGGGACAGGCAGGGCTGGAAAGGGAGAGGAGCATTCTGGGACAAACAGGGACCAACTCAGGATTTGGTGGTTCTTCTGGGTGATGGGGAGATAGAAAGGGGCAGGGCAGCATGTGTCCCGGGCATCCTGGGAGAATAGACTGTCTGGCTAGAAGGGAGGAGGCTGAGGGCTCAGGAGAAGAGCAGGGTGGGCCCTGGCCCCCTGGCACTCACGCCTGGCCTTCCTGCAGCCCTCCCCTCTGCCCCCAGGTCCTGCTGCAGGAGCCGGGCTGGCAGCAGCTGCAGCAGCACTGGGCCCAGCGGCGCTCGCAGATGCTGCTCACCCTGCACCGAGGCCTCCTCACCTGCATCTCCCACCAGCGCCTCCGCCTCCTGCCACGGATGCAGGCTCGTGTGCATGGGCTCCAGGCCAGGTCTGCAGGGGTAGGGTGAGGCCGTGGGCCTCCTCAAGGTGGTCGGGGAGATGTAGGGTCTCAAAGCAAGTCTGCCTGCACCAGTGCCACCCCATCAGCACTGGACTCTCCTTGATGGCATCCCCGCCCGTGCCCATGCAGTCTCTGTTCGAATACCCCCAGTCATAAGAAGCTCATTACCTGTTGCGACCGCCCGCACCTGTAGTCTTGACTCCTTGAGAGTTCTCTTTTCTAGTCTGTTCTTCACTCTGCAGCAAGAAGGATCTTGTAAAAGCATGAATCAGGTTGAGTGAGGCCCTGCCTGCCTGTCCAGCCTCAGTTTAGGCCAGACTTTGACACTCCCGGCTCTTTGGACTCGCTCCTATAAGGCTTCCCTCCCCCTTCTCACCTAGCTCCCTCCCTCCCAGTCACGCTCACAGTCTGTCTTCACTCACTCACCCGACAGCTGTTTGTCGACCTTCTTCTCCGTCTGTCCTGGGCCAGACGCTGTGACACGGGATGAAGGCCGAGACGGTGCCTCCCGGACTAGCTGGGGAGTCACGTGCAGACAGTAGACCAGCTGCCAGTCACCCCAAAGGTGATTGCTGAAGCGCTGAGAACAGAGTGAGGGAGTGCCCTGGACACCAGGGAAGCTTCTGGAGAGGGGGCACCCGCCACCACTATCTATTTCTAAAACATTTCCGTCACCAACGGAAACTCTGTCCCCATTAAGCAATAATCCCCAGCCTCCCTCCCCCCAGCCCCTGGTAACCTCCAGTCTACTTTCTGTGTCTGCGAAGTTGCCTGTTCTAGATACTTCACGTAAGTGGACTCATATAGTATTTTTTTACGTCTGGCTTATTGCACTAAGCATAATGTTTTCTTTCTTTCTTTCTTTCTTTTTTGTGGAAGATTAGCTCTGAGCTAACATCTGCTGCCAATCCTCCTCTTTTTTGCTGAGGAAGATTGGCCCTGAGCTAACACCCGTGCCCATCTTCCTCTACTTTATATGTGGGACGCCTACCACAGCATGGCTTGATAAGTGGTGCATAGGTCCACACCCAGGATCTGCACCAACAAACCCCAGCCGCCAAAGCAGAATGTGCGAACTTAACCATTGTGCCACCGGGCTGGCTCCAAGCATAATGTTTTCAAGGTTCATCCTTGTCATAGCACGTATTAGAACTTCATTTCTTTTTTAAGGCTGAATAATGTTCCATTGTATAGATAGACCACATTTTGTTCATCCATTCGTCCATCAATGTACATCTGGGTTGTTTCCACTTTTTGGGTCCTGTGAATAACGCTGCTGTGAACATGGGTGTACAAACGTCTGTTCAGGTCCCTGCTTCCAGTTCTTTTGGGTCTGTAGCTGGGAGTGGAATTGCTGGGCCATATGGTAATTCTATGTTTAGGTTTTTGAGGAGCCACTGAACTGTTTTTCTCAGTGGCTGTACCATTTTACATTCCCACCAGCAATGTACAAGGGTTCCAATTTCTCTACATCCTTGCTGATACTTATTTCCCATTTTAAAAAATTCTAGCCATCCCAGCGGGTGTGAAGTGGTCTCATTGCAATTGCCTTTCTTATGGTTGAAAACTTCTGTTTCCTTTCCAGTGAACTATTTGCTCCTAATATTTGTCCATTTTTAAAAAATTATTTTACTGAGGTCATATTGGCTTATAGCATTGTATAATTTCAGGTGTACATTATTATGTATCAGTTTGTGTATAGACTGCATCGTGCTCACCACCAATAGTCTAGTTTTTATATGTCACCATATATATGTGCCCCTTTACCCCTTTCACCCATCTCCCACCCCCTTCCCCTCTGGTAACCACGAATCTGTTCTCCTTATCCATGTGTTTATCTTCCACATATGAGTGAAAACATACAGCATTTGTCTTCCTCTGTCTGGCTTATTTCACTTAACATAATACCCTCAAGGTCCATCCATGTCATTGAAAATGACGTGATTTTGGCTTTTTTATGGCTGAGTAGTATTCCATTGTGTATAAGTATATAGATCACATCTTTATCCATTCATCTGTTGATGGGCACTTGGGTTGGCTCCATGTCTTGGCTTTTGTGAATAATGCTGCAATGAACATAGGGGTGCATAAATCTCTTTGAATTGTTGATTTCATGTTCTTTGGGTAAATACCCAGTAGTGGGATAGCTGGATCATATGGTATTTCTATTTTTAAGTTTTTGAGAAATCTCCATACTGTTTTCCATAGTAGCTGCACCAGTTTTCATTCCCACAAGCAGTGTATGAGGGTTCCCTTTTCTCCACATCCTCTCCAGCACTTATTACTTTTTGTCTTGGCAATTATGGCCATTCTGATGGGTGTGAGGCAATATCTCATTGTAGTTTTGGTTTGCATTTCCCTAATAATTAGTGACGTTGAACATCTTTTTGTGTGTCTGTTGGCCATCTGTATATCTTCTTTGGAAAAATGTCTGTTCATGTCCTCTGCCCATTTCTTCATCGAGTTGTTTGTCTTTTTGTTGTTGAGTTGTGTGAGTTCTTTATATATTTTAGAAATTAACCCTATGTTGGATATATGATTTACAAATATTTTCTCCCAGTTGTTGAGTTGCCTTTTCATTTTGTTCATGGTTTCCTTTGCCTTGCAGAAGCTTTTTAGTCTGATGTAGTCCCATTTGTTTATGTTTTCTTTTGTTTCCCTTTCCTGAGTAGACATGATATTCAAAAAGGTACCGCTAAGACTGATGTGAAAGAGTCTACTGCCTATATTTTCTTCTAGGAGTATTATGGTTTCAGGTCTTACATTCGAGTCTTTAATCCATTTTGAGTTAATTTTTTTAAAAAGATTTTATTTTTCCTTTTTCTCCCCAAAGCCCCCCGGTACATAGTTGTGTACTTTTAGCTGTGGGTCCTTCTAGCTGTGGCATGTGGGACACCACCTCAGCATGGCCTGACAAGCAGCACCATATCTGCGTCCAGGATTCGAACCAGCAAAACCTGGGGCTGCCAAAGTGGAGCGCGCTAACTTAACCACTCAGCCACGGGGCCAGCCCCCTCTTCCTGCTTCTTAATTGGGTTGTTTGTCTTGTTGTTGAGCTGTAGGAGTTCTTTATATGTTCTGGATTTTTTTTTTTTTTGAGGGAGATTAGCCTGAGCTAACATCTGCTGCCAATCCTCCTCTCTCTCTCTCTCTTTTTTTTTTTTGCTGAGGAAGACTGGCCCTGAGCTAACATCCGTGCCCATCTTCCTCTACTTTATATGTGGGCCACATATACGCTACCACAGCATGGCTTGCCAAGTGGTGCCATGTCCGCACCCAGGATCTGAACTGGCAAACCCTGGGCCGCCAAAGCAGAACATTCAAACTTAACCTCTGCGCCACTGGGCTGGCCCCTGTTCTGGATATTATTTGTCAAATATGTGATTTGCAAATGGTCTCCCATTCTATGAGTTGTCTTTTCACTCTCTTGATAGTGTTCTTTGATGCACAAGAGCTGTAGATTTATTTTTAAGTGTTTATCCTGCTCAGGGCTCCTTCATTGAGGAGTCTGGTCTTTCCTATGTCTGAAAAATCCTCAAAGACATTATCTCTTCCAGGATCTCCTATTAGATTTCAAGTGATGTCATTTTTTTCATTTTCAGAAGTTCTACCTCTTAAATAATAAATATGCCAGACTCAATTCTAAACATATCTGTTGATTCATTTAATCTTCTCATGGGGCAAGTATTACGAAAATCCTCATTTTACAGAAGATGAAAGTAAAACACAGAGAGGTAAAGTAACTTATGCAGAGCACAGTGACTAGATAGCAGGGGAGTGAACCCAGGCGGTCGGCTCCCGAGTCTACGATCTTGATCCCCTCTGCCAAACAGCTCCTCAGTTAACTTGCTCTTCTTTCAAAGTGGCCTGGCCTCTCCTGTTGCTTCTGTTAAGCGCTCGGGGCTTCACTGGCCCCGGTCAGCCTTTACATTCATGTCTTGGCTTGGAGGATTCGGGTACCGGGTGTAAGTTTGGACTCCTCGCCACCCCCTCCCCGGCCTCCAGGAAGCGGTACCTCCTGCGGCGGGCAGCTCTGGGACAGCTGCACACCATCCTGCTGGTGGCCCGGCCCCTGCTCTGGAGACGGCGGAGACTGCAGGTGAAGCATTGAGGGAGGGGGGCTGCACGGGACAGCTCAGGGTAGAAGCCAGGCAGCCTTGCTGTCCAAGTTGGCCGAATCCCGACAGTGTCCACCCTGCTAGCCTAACCGCACAAGGACTGAGCCCTCAGAGACCATTGCGGGTCAAGCTCCTCCCATTTCTCTCTGCCTGGCCAGGGTAGGCTTTGCTGTCGTTCATCCTGCCCACACCCCATGGCCTGACTCCACCCTCCCCATCTGAGGTGTCTTCCCATCCCTTCCAGCCCTTCCTTGGGGCCCGGCTGCTCCCCTCTCCCTGATGACTTCAATTTGAGGGCCATAAAGCAGCTCAAAGGTCTGTGCCCATGTATTGCTCACGTACTGCTCCTGTCTCTGGCCCCTCCCTGGCTGGACTTTGTCCCCTGGGACCTTGTCCTTCTTTTCCTCCTGCCCTCTTCCCGGTACCCTGACAGACGAGCAGTGACATCCACATCGCTAAGGCTGGTGAGGGCTCTGGAGGGCTGGGGCAGGCTGCTGGCCCCTCTGGGTCTGCATCTGTTCCTCTGGTGGTGGCAGGGCCTCCCGGGGAGAGGATGGGGCAGCTGAACTGCCAAGCTGAGGAGGAGCCACTAGGAGGCTCGTGGTGACCCCTCACAGGGACATCAGCTCTGTCTGCATCTCCCCAACAGCTTGGGCATTGGTGTGGCTGGCACGGCGGCAGGGCCTCCGAGAAAGTGCCAAGCATGGTAGGTGGCTTGAAAGCTGGAGGGTGTCTGCTGGGGTATGAACTTGCTGAACTTAGCGTGGCTTGAGGGCGAGCGTGGGGTCCTCTGGTGCCGCCAGGGGTCCTGTCTCTCAGGGGCATCCGGTGTGACCCCTAAGAGAAGGCCTGGGGTGCCCTTAATTTCCCTCTGAGGGCTCCTGGGACCTGGTGTGTTTGAGTGTCCAGGATGAGAATCCTTGGTCTTTGGAGGGGAAGTTTATAGTCCCGGGGCTGTGGAGGGACACTGGGTCCCTGAGCCCCCTCCCTTAGTAACTGATCAATTGCTCCTCTCTACCAGGAGCTGGGGCGCCTGGAGATCCCGGCCGAGCTGGCTGTCATGCTGAAGACAGCGGAAGGTGAGTCTTGATTGGTGTCCCTCTTGTCACCACCCCTCCTCCAGTCCCTCTAATTGCAGTGGGTCTGTCCCTGTGGTCCCCTCTTCTGATGCTCTGGGCTCCCCCGAGCTCCCTGCCCAGCTTCCTGTGCGTTGGGCTGGGGGCTGATGGTGAGGGGTGGAGGCGGTGCCAGAGCCAGGTACCACACCTGGGCGTTTCTGTGCTGCCTCCCGGTGCTGTCCCCAGGCCGCCAGCATGCCGTAGCAGAAAGCATCACCGAGTCCCTGCCCCCGGAAGTCCCTGCCCGGCCCAGCCTGACACTCCCGCTGGACATTGACCAGTTCCCCTTCTCCAGCTTCGTCTCCATCAGCTTTCAGGTGGGCCCCCAGGCATCAGCTCTTCCTGGCTGACCCCTACGGTTCCCAGATGTTACCCCTGTGAGGCAGAAGCTGTGTCTATTCCGCTTTGTCCGCCCTCCCACCTCCCTCTCCTGTCATGGGCTATGGATGCAGCTGCATTGCTCGGAAAACGTCCGTTGAACCTAAATGTCTCACTCTCTAGTGTTACTTAGATCCGTAATGCCGTACCTTTGTTACACCTGTGGCATTGCCCTTCCATTGAAGTCGTGTCGTTGAAGCATGTGTAATGACGCGGCAAACTGTCCGGGCTGCAGTGTTGAATACAAAAGCAGGAATCAAAACTGCACCCAGAGAGTGATCCCAATCTTGTTAATAACAACAACAGGGGCTGGCGATGTGTGTATCTCTGCAAAGAAAGTAAGACTAGAGAGAGAGAGGCTAAAATGTGAACTGTGGTTATATCCGGCAGTGGAATGTTAATGGTAGTTTTTATTCTTCATCCTTTTTCATGTTTTCTGAGTTTTATGCATGCGGGGGCATCAATTTTCTAATCGGAAAGAGCAGTTAAGATGCATTTTTAAGATGGTTTTCTGCACCAGCTCCTCTCCCTCTCCCAGGATTTATGCTCCCATGGGGCTCCCCTCGGGCTATCTCCAGCAAGTCAGCACAGACAGCCCCTGTTCAGGCACTGTGTCACCCTCCTTCCTTGCAGGAGCCATCCTTGCCCAGCCCTGGGCAGCTGCTGGCCAAGCCCCTGACCCGACTGAATGGTGAGAACCCTCAGCATGCCCTGGATATCAACAAAGTGGTGAGTGACACATCGGAGAGGGGGCGGGGCAAGGCAGGCCCGACCCTGGCTCATGGGTGCTGGCTGGGCACAGGGGAAGCCCTGCATGTCCTCCCCTCACCTCGCTTTGCGTCTGCAGATGCTGCGGCTCCTAGGGGATGGGTCCCTGCCACCCTGGCAGGAGCAGATCATGGGTGAATACCTGGTGAGACAGGGGCAACGCCGGCCGGGGCTGCGGGACGAGCTTTTCAGTCAGCTCGTGGCCCAGCTCTGGCACAACCCGGACGAGCAGCAGAGCCAGCGTGGCTGGGCCCTCATGGCCATCCTGCTCAGCGCTTTCCCCCCAATGCCTACCCTGCAGAAGCCACTGCTCAAGTAAGGGGCCTGGCAGATGGGGACATGGTGGGTGGGGTCAGGGGACTGTCCCGCCCCTACAGCAGCCCTGTGCTGTCCCTGCAGATTTGTGTCCGACCAGGCCCCCAGAGGCATGGCAGCTCTGTGCCAGCACAAGCTGCTGGGGGCCCTGGAGCAGATGCAGCTGGCCCCTGAGTCTGCACGGGCCCACCCACCTACCCAGCTGGAGTGGACGGCTGGACGGCGGCGGGGCCGCATGGCGCTGGACGTCTTCACCTTCAATGGTGATGGCCGCCTCCTGCTCAGGCTTCTGTGGGCCCCCAGAGGAGCCAGCCCTGCTCCCTCGCCCTCCTTGGACCCCCTTTCTGCCTCAGCTCCCCTGCTGCAGCCCTCGGTGACCCTGATCTCCCTTCTGTCCTGCTTTTGGTCCCCCTGGGACAGCTGCCCCTTCCCATCAGGGTGGACCCTGTTGTCCCTCACCCCTCCCTCCCACCCCTTGTTATGCAGAGGAGTGCTACTCGGCCGAGGTGGAATCCTGGACCACGGGGGAGCAGCTTGCCGGGTGGATACTGCAGAGCAGGTATGGGGGGCCTGAAATTGGGGGAGTAGGGCCAGCACTGACCATGGGCCCGTCCTCCTCCTGCGTCCTCCTCCTCCCAGCCCACTCTCCCACCAAGTGCCTCCCAGCTGCTCCTGAGGCCCAGGGCCAAAGCCTGCTCCCTGAAGGGGTGAGGGGGGTGAGCTGTGGGCGTAGGGGGCAGGGTCCAGACAGTTAATCCAAGATGGGGAGCAAGAGTAGAGTTTATACTTACAGTCCAGATTCTGATGAAACAGGTCAATAAATAAATGTGAGCATCAGAGCCCACGTAGAAGGAGAGGGTCGTGAGTTGCAAATAAAGGAGAGCTGTCTGAGTGAAGCCAGGCTCCTCACCCAGGTGCCTGTTCCCTTCTGCAGCCTCCTCCCCTTGGACCGTCCTTGGGTGGGGTCCTTGTCCTTTGGGGTCGTTATCTGCCTGGCTGATCACCCCCCTACTGCACACCCTTGTCCCACCCAGAGGCCTGGAGGTGCCACCTCGTGGCTGGTCCGTGTCATTGCACTCCGGGGACTCCTGGCAGGACTTGGCTGGCTGCGACTTCGTGCTGGACCTGATCGGCCAGACGGAAGACCTGGGGGACCCGGCTGGTCCCCACAGCTACCCCATCACTCCCCGCAGCTTGTAGGTGCCTCCCCAGCACCCCTGTCCCCGGCCTGCTCCTGTCCCTGTCCTGTTGTAGAGACCCCCAAAGCTACCCTCTCACATCCAGGGGTTGACAGGTGCTGCCACAGGCCCAGCCCTGACCTAATCCTCCTCCCACCCCGTGGGGACGCCCCCCACAGCGGCTTCTGCACCTTGCCTCAGCCTGGGGACCACCCCAACCAAGGCACACCCTTATCTGGGCCCGCTATCTCCTGCAGAGCTGAGGACATCCCCCCGGCCCCTGGCGTCCAGGCCCCATCACTGCCCCCAGGCCCCCCTCCAGGTCCAGCCCCAACACGGCCCATCAGGAGCCACACAGGTAAGGCCAGAAGTGGGCACTTTGGGGTTGGCAGAGTGCTGGGACTGGGGGTGCAGGAAGCCCCAAGCTCCAGGTGGGTGACATCAACCTTCCTCTGGCCCCACAGATGGGTCCCAGACCTCGGGGAGCCTGGACGGCTTCCTGGACCACCTCTTCGAGCCAGTCCTCTCCGGGGGCAACAGTGTAAGTGTCCTGCACACACCCCGCACCCCATCCCTGCCCCTACCTGACTGCAGTCTCTGCTGCCCCTCCATCTCTCCCAGGGCTCTAGCTCTGACCCTGTGACCTGTGACCTTTGTCCTTTCAGGATCTGGAGCAAGGCTGGGCTCTGAGAGGCCGCATGAAGGGAGGGGGTGCCATGGGGCCCATGCAGCCAGGCAGCTACCCCATGAGTAAGTGTGGGGCCAAGCACCCATCCTGGGTCTTCTCGGCCCAGCAGCATGGGTAGCTGTGGCCTGGGACCCCCCAGGCAGCTGGGGTCAGAGCTCCAGCCAGCACCCTGGTGGCCCTACTCTTCTCTTTGCCTGGGGCTGGGAGGGAGGTGGTCTGTGGGCCCAGGTAAGGACCGACCTGGGAGGGCCCTCTTCCCTCAGTGTACCCAGGGATGGTGCAGATGCCCGGATACCAGCCAGCCATGATGCCTGCACCCATGCCCATGATGCCTGCCATGGGCGTAGTCCCCCCCATGCCAGGTAAGGCTGGGCCAGAGGCACCGGATCTTTCTCAGGGAGGGATTAAAGGAGAGCAAGTCCTGCCAGGGGCCCAGAGGGTACAGTGGGCAGAGGGCTGTAAGCGTGACTGTAGCGCTCACCCACCCTGCCCATCTGCCACACTCGCAGCCATGGTGGTGCCACCACAGCCACAGCCACAGCCCCTGCCTCCCAGCGTGGATGCGAGGCAGCTGGCGGTCCAGCAGCAGAACTTCATCAACCAGCAGGCGCTGATTCTGGTGAGGGTGGGCAGAGGCCACGGGCTGCCTAGCGGGGACAGGTCTGTGGGGCAGGGCCAGGCCAGCTCTTACCTGGCCCACCACCCTCCCCTTCAGGCCCAGCAGATGACCACCCAGGCCATGACCCTGTCCCTGGAGCAGCAGACACAGCAGCGCCGACGCCAACGCCAGGCCCCAGCTCAGGCCCCTGTCCCTGAAGCTGCCTCCCCACCCCCACCCCCACCCCCAGCCATCACCCCCAAGCCCAAGAAGCCCCAGGTCCCCCAGGAGGAGCCAGAGCGAGAACCGGAATCGGTGGATGGCTGCCTGAGAGTGAGCCGAGGCCAGGCAGATGGCAGGGTCTGGGATGGGGGTGGCCGGCTCCATGGCTGCAGGGATGGAGAACACGGGTGGGGAGAGCAGGAAAATGCAGAACAAGTGCTGCCAGGCCCCAGCCCCAGGGATCTGAGGGGGCTCGCTGTGAGAGTGGGGGCTTGTCTGGCAGGGCTGCTGCTTCACTTCCCCTTCCTGCCAGCAGGAGACCTTACAGGAGGCTGAAGACAGGCCCCAGCGGCCCAAGAGCTTCCAGCAGAAACGGGATTATTTCCAGAGGATGGGTGAGGGTGCTTGGGGTGGCAGGCCCCACACAGAAACTTGACGACCACCCTAGCCTGGCCAGGGGATGGTGGGGTGCACTCTACTCCCCTGGGTCAGTGTGACCTGTCCAGGAGCCCTGATGGGCTGGCCAGGTCAAGGGTAACAGATGGGGCCATCTGGGGCGATTACAGGGCAGCAGCAGATCAAGGTGAAGACGGTGAAGCCTCCGGCCAAGGTGCAGATTCCCCAGGGAGAGGAGCAGGAGGAGGAGGAGGAAGAAGAGAGACCGAAAGCAGGTGGTGGGGAGATGAGGGAGGGCCGGGCCCTGCAGATCTGCACAGGGTCTCACATGTTTCCTCTCTTCCTGGTCAGTCCCGTCCCCTCCTCCACCCCCACCCCCACCCCAGGTAGTGAAGAAGCCACTGACACAAGGTGGGGCCAAAGCTACGAAGGAGGCTGAGGCTGAGCCGACCCAGGAGGTGGGGCCTGGCAGTGATCGGCTGGCCCAGGGTAGAGCTGTGGTGCGCAGCTCAGACCCTGCGCCCCAGCGGGCAGAGCCCAGCAGGGAAATCCGAAACATCATCCGCATGTACCAGAGCCGCCCGGGCCCCGTGCCTGAGCCTGTGCAGCCGTCCAGGTGGGCCTCAGGGGGTGACTGGACCGCCTGCTCCCTAGGGAGTCACCCTGTGGACTTGTGACCTCTTCTTTCTCCCAGGAGGCCCCCCAAAAATTTCATGAAGAAAAACAATCCTAAGGACGAGGCTCTGGCTAAGCTGGGGATCAATGGTGCCTACTCATCCCCTGCGGTGAGGTCCTGTCCTGTCCAGGGCATAGCTGCTCCACTTGGGAGTCCAAGGCTCCCGGGTAAACTTGGCGTTGTCCCTAGACACAGCCTGTGTGCATTCTCTGCCTTCCCAGATGCTGCCCCCCAGCCCCGGGAAGGGCCCCCCACCAGCTGTGGCCCCTCGACCCAAGGCGTCGCCACGGCCTGGGTCCTCCACCACCATCAAGGAGAAGCAGGCACCCCTTCGTGAGGTGTTTGGCCCGACCCCACCCACTGCCCAGGCACCCCCACCTCCACCAGCGCCTCCACTGCCTCTGCCCGGGGACCTGGGGACCCCTTCTGCTGAGCCCCGTGGTAAGGAACCCCATGTCCCCGTGCGATGGGCTTTGCTGGGCGGGTGCAGAGTTCCCAACAGTCTCTGGGTGCTCATGGCTAAGGTCAGCTGCTCGGGCTTCCGGACTTTGGAGCTGTGGGTGAGGAGCCCCAGCTTCCGTGTTCCTGCCCAGGGCGGGGCCCGGGCACCCCTGGGGCCTGTCTGGCACGGAGGGACTCACACACAGGGTGTTGCCCTCCAGGCAGACCTGACAGCTCTTTCAGGAATTTAGTGGCCCTGCTGACATGGTCAGGGACAGCAGGAAAAGTCTGAAGGCTGGAAATGGAGGCAGGAGATGGGCCCGTGGGTGGGAGTGGCGCAGCAAAGGTTGAGTAAGCCGGGACCTAGCAGGGCCTTAGGGAGGTGAGGGTATTCTCTCCCTATGCCCCCATCCCTCCGGCTCGGGCAGCTCCTCACCGGATGCTCTTTGGCCCCTCTCTCTGCCAGGCTCGACGGTGCCCATGGGGGACCAGGGGGTCTCCACCCAGCTGCTCGTGCCCTCCGGCAGTGTGTGCTTCTCCTATGCCAGCACCTCCTGGAAGTTGTTCCTTCGCAAGGAGGTGGGCACAAGGGTGGGGCCACAGCCTGACCTCTCTTTAGGCTGGGGAGGGGCCGCAGGCTGTGGGGGATGCAACCTGGGACCCCAGCATCTCCTCCTGACACACAAACACTGGGGGCCACCTCCCCACTACCCACCGCCTCAAGCCTCGTTTTCCATCTGGGCCTGGGAGGCAGAGGTGGGGCGGAAGGTGGGCTTGTGGGGGGGGGGACTCCATTCCCGCCTGCTCTCGCTCCCCCATGCCCTCCTGCAGGTGTTCTACCCCCGGGAGAACTTCAGCCATGCCTACTGCCTCAGGCTTCTCTGTGAGCAGGTGAGAGCCCGGCCCACCTGAGACATGTACAGACAGACTGCCCCTGGGCAGCACTCACAGGGCACTTGCTGTGCGCTTCAAGCCCTGCCTTCATTTATTTAATCCTCACAACATCCCTAAGAGTAAGGACCATTGTTGGCCTATAACAAGGATTAAAAATAAATAAAGTGTATACAGTACAGAACACGGGCTCCAGCATACAGCAGGTGCTCACTGGTGCTTGTTCCCTTGCCACCTCTGGATGTTCCCCCAAATTCTCCAGTAGCCTCCCCTCCTCCCCTAAGCTTTGTTCCTTCAGGGAAGCTCAGCTCAGCTCACGGACGGACAGCTGCCCCACAAGTGCAGGCAGCTGGGGGAGGCAGGTGGGAGCTCTGGGCAGACGTGACCCTGGGCTTGGAGGCCCCACATCCCTCCCTGCTCCACCTACCCCTTGGGGGCTCTCTAGCTTTTCCTCCATGCATGGCTGCTTGTGGTGGGCTCTGGCCTCAGGACCTGGCGGTGACTGCCTAGCTCTGCCCCCAGATCCTGAGGGACACCTTTGCCAAGTCCTGCATCCGAATCTCCCAGGATGAGCGGCGCAAAATGAAACAGCTGCTGGGTATGGTCCAGGGACCCTGAAGTCAGGGAGCTGGAGTGTTAGGGGCTGGGCCTGCCTAGAGGGAGGGAGCAAACTCTGGGGTCCTCCCAGTGAGGGAGCCTGAGAACAGTCTGGCACAGTCGTTCCTGCCCACAGGAGACCTAGAGGTCGGCCTGGAGTCACTTGACACCACTGAGGACAGTGTCAAGAAGCGCATCGTGGTGGCCGCTAGGGACAACTGGGCCAATTACTTCTCACGCATCTTCCCTGTCTCGGTCAGTGAGGCCGGGTATGGGGTACCCCAGTCTGGATCCCAGCGTGCGCAGTGTGGGCCTTCTGCAGCAGTCCCCTGAGAGCTGGAGGTGGGGTGGGCCCCAGTGGAAGGACAAAGAACAGCACTGGCCCTGAGCAGCCCCAGGGCATCCGGGAGCCTGTGTGTGACCCACCCACCTTCTGGGCAGGGTGAGAGTGGCAGCGACATGCAGCTGCTAGGTGTATCCCACCGGGGGCTGAGACTGCTCAAGGTGACCCAGGGCCCCAGCTTCTACCCTGACCAGCTGAAGACTCTCTGCTCATACAGGTGAGCGCAAGCAGAGGAGTAGGGAGGATGGGGTGGAGAGGTGGCCCCTAGCTTATGCCCCCACCCTGTGTGCAGCTTTGCTGAGGTCCTGGGTGTAGAGTGCCCAGACAGCTCTACCCTGGAGTTGTCACTGAAGAGTGAGCAGCTGGTGCTGCACACAGCCCGGGCGAGTGTCATCAAGGCCATGGTTGAGCTGTTCCTGAGGGAGCTCAAGAAGGCAAGCACGGGCTGGGCAGGGGGCCTCCATCCATGTTGCATTGCGCCCTGTCTGGTTTGGCTGGTCTCAGGGCTGTCAGCGAAGCTCCTTCAAGCTGGCTGGGCTGGGGCTGGGAGTTCAGGCTGGGTCCCTGGAACTCTGGGGTGCTGGGTGGGGAGTGAGGCCAAAGTGGGGAGCAGATGGGGTGGGCAGGATGAAGGTCACAGGCAGGCTGGCTGCTTCCTCACCCGCTCACTCGCCTGCCTGCAGGACTCTGGCTACGTCATCGCCTTGCGAAGCTACATCACTGATGACAGCAGCCTCCTCAGCTTCCACCGTGGGGACCTTATCAAACTGTTGCCAGTGGCCACTTTGGAGCCAGGTATCCCCAGGGGCCAGCAGAGTGGCTGGCACAGGGAGGGCAGCACATGGTGGAGCCTCTGAGGGGCAGAGGCCAGGTGGGTGAGTCACTGGCCTTGGATGCCTTCCAGGCTGGCAGTTTGGCTCCACTGGGGGCCGCTCCGGACTCTTTCCTGCCGACATAGTGCAGCCGGCTGCTGCTCCAGACTTTTCCTTCTCGTCGGAGCAGAGGAATGGCCGGCACAAGAGTCAGCTGCAGCACAGAGAGTCAGGACTGTGGGATAGGGCGCCGGAGGTGAGGAAGACGGGAGAGGCGGAGGCGAGGCCTAACTAGGAGTGGAGGAAGGAAGGAAGCTTCATCTGATGCTGCCCCTCTGCCCTCTCCAGCTTTCTTGCCCTTTGTCTCCTCAGCAAGACTGTGGGCTCCCTGTGGGCAGGGGCTGGGCTGTACACCCCTTGTGTGTGCCTCTTGGTATTTAGTTTAATGCTGCCCTAGAAGACGCTCAATAAACAGCTCTTGCCTTTCCTGGCTTCTGGTGGTGTGCTTACTGCGGCTCTCTGCTCTTCTGGAGTTGGGCTGGGTGGAGGCTTGGGCAGGGCCTCCGGACAGGCCAGTGCACACTCTGGTGGCACTAGGTCTCCTGTGCTCCCAGCACCCCGCCTTCCCTCAGAGCCAGGCACACAGTGAAGACTCGGAGGCCACCAGCCTACCCCCCTCTATGGCCTACCTCTCTGTGTTCACGGACTCCCACAACTACACCATGCAAGAATTTGCCCTGCGCTACTTCCGGAAACCCCAGGCCTTGTGAGTGCCCCTGGTCTAGCCCTACACCCGTCTGTCCTCAGTCTGTCTGACGAGGGCCTCCCTGCTCAGAGCCGCCAGGGTGGTACTCTTAACACCCTCCCTACACAGCCTGGGACTGGGGTGGGGGAGCCAAGCAAGCAGGGCTGTCCTCCCCTCTGCCCCCTCAGGCTGCACCAGACAGGTGGAGGTGCTGAGCAGAAGGCCCCGGCCAGCTTGGTGCAGTACACCAAGGTAAGGGGGACAAGTGGGGAGGAGTCAGGCCAGTAGATCTGCCCTCTGGCCCCCAAGGACCCCAGACTCACGGCCCAGCCTCTTTGACCGCAGGCTCCCATCCAGGAATCGCTCATCAACCTCAGTGATGAGGGCATGAACAGGCAGGCTGTGGAAAGCTTCCAGGGTGAGTGGCCACGGCATCCTGGGTCCCCATGTCTGCAGTGCCTTGGACCTAGGCCCCTAGTCACCTTCTCTCCTTGAGTTTGCCAACTCAGGGAAGCTTACTAGTGGTTCCTATACCTCCACGGCCCTCATCCACTTCTACTCACGCCCAGGGGTTGTGGGTTACGTGGAGTCTGTGTTGGGAGGCAACGGTGGGTCCAGCTGGCTCTGTGCTGTGAGTAGCCACGGGTGCCCATGGAATCTCTCTGAGCCCTATTTCCTCATTGGTAGGGCTGAGACTGCCACTCTGCTTGACTCACATGTTTTTTCAAAGCAAGGCATGAGATGGCAGGGGAAGGCCCTGTGTAGTGACAGCATTAGCCAGGGCCAGGCCCCCAGGCTCAGCTCACCACGCTTCCCTTCCTCCCTGCAGCGCTGATGCAATTTATGGGGGACCAGTCTAAGCCGCGGGGCAAGGGTGAGATGGAGCTCCTGTATGAGCTGCTGAAGGTAAGCAACAGCTGTGTGTGCTGGAAGGAAACTGTGAGCCCAGAGGGCCACTTCCCATCCTCCTGCCTGGGCCAGAACGGGGTCCCCCTTTTCTTGGTCACTATTCATTCAAATCATCCAAAAGTATTTATTGAGCACCTACTTGCTGGGGGCATGGCAGTGCGCCAAGCAGGCCACGTCCCCACACAGCTTACAGTCTAGCAGGAGGCAGTAAATCGTGATGTAATGTGTCCAGGGGTAAAAAGTATGGTGGAACGTGATAAAGCAGGGGAAGGGGCTGCCTCAGTGCAGAAGGCTTGGTGACAAGGTGACACTGGAGCGGACATCTGAAGGAAGCCAGGGAGTGAGGCATGTGTGCATCAGGGGCAGCGCGTGCGCAGAGGGGCAGGGGTGGCAGTCCTGTGGAGAGGGTGAACCTCAGCACCAGCAAGGCCAGAGTGGCTGGCACCCAGCGAGCGAGGCAAGAGTGGAGGACGGGGCCCAGGAGGTACAGTGGTCCAGGTCAGGGCAGGCCTTGTAGGCTATTGTCGGGACTCCGATTTTTTGAGAGAGATGGGCAGCCACTAGGGGGCTCTGAAGAGACTTGTCTTACATTGTGCAGGGTCGCTCTGGCTGTTTGTGATTCTGGGGGTGTAAGGGAAAAAGGAGGTTATCGTGATAATCCCAGGTTAGAGATGGTGCTGGCCCAGGCCAGGAGGCAGCAGCAGGGGATTAAGACCCATAGCAGCAGGGTCTGCTCTGAATTGCATGTGGGGTGTGAGAGAGAGCGGCCAAGGATGACACCGCAGCCTTGGCAAGAGCAATGATCATCTTCCACAAGGAAGCCTGAGGGCAGAGTGGGTCTGGGCTGGTGGAGGAATCTGTTTTGGACATGTGAAGTCTGAAGTCCTAAGTGGAGGGCCTGGAGTTCAGGGGAGAAGTCTGGGCTGGAGGGAGGCACCAGGAGTCATCGGCAGATGAGAGCAGCTGAGATCATCAGGGAGCAAGTGTAGACAGAGGCCCAAGGGCACCGCAGCCCTTAGAGGTCAAGGAGATAAGGGGAGCCAGCAGAGGAGACTAAGACAGAGGGACCAGAGACAGAGGAAGACAGGGCTGAGCACGGCCCCGAGGCAGGCGAAGACAGTGACTTAGGGAGCAACCAGTTGTGCAAAGATCTTTGTCAGTTAAGACAAAGATGGAGAGATGACGACTGGGCTGTCACCTTGACTCAGCCCCCAGCCCATGGCTGTTAGCAGAGGATTTCTTCTGACTTCAGATCCCATGCCCTCCTCACTCCACCACACTGCAGCTCGGCATTGCCCTGCCTACCTGCACTTCTTGTCCCCACAGTTGTGCCAGGAGGAGAACCTCAGGGATGAGATTTACTGCCAGGTCATCAAGCAGGTCACAGGACACCCCCGGCCGTGAGTGTGGGGGACTGGTGGGGGAGAGGCAGTGGGCAGCCCAGTGTCGTGGTTTGGCCAGCTCGAAGGCCAGGCTCTCTGCCCTGCAGGGAACACTGTGCTCGAGGCTGGAGCTTCCTCAGCCTCCTCACCGGCTTCTTCCCGCCGTCAACCACTCTGATGCCCTACTTGACCAAGTTTCTACAGGATTCAGGCCTGAGCCAAGGTGCCTGTGGGAGGGGCTTCCAGGCTGGGGTCTCGGCTGCTTGGGGAAGGGTTTGGAGATGCTCATGACCCCAGCCTGGCTCCTCTCTGCAGAGCTGGCCCGGACCAGCCAGGAGCACCTCCAGCGGACAGTTAAATATGGGGGACGGCGGCAACTGCCCTTCCCGGGTGAAATGCAGGCTTTCTTGGTACTGGCGGGTACAGGTGGCTGGGCATTCTAGGACTCCTCTGGGTGGGGGAGCTGGGACCTCTGTCCACTGGGGGACTGACCCTGCAACCTGTCTTGGCAGAAAGGGCACACTGTCCGCCTGGTTCTAATTCACCTGCCTGGGGGTGTGGATTACAAGACCAACATCCAGACTTTCACAGTGAGTGCAGGGCCACCAAGAAGGGGCTGGGGAGAGGCAGGGAAGCCATGGGCATCAGTTCTGGGGACCGCCCCCCTCAGCCTCCCCACCCCCTATCATGGCCCTGTCCTCACGCCTAGGTGGCAGGAGAAGTGCTGGAGGAGCTGTGCGGGCAGATGAGCATCATGGACCCCCAGGAAGTGCAGGAATTTGCCCTCTTCCTCATCAAAGGGGAAGGTGAGCCACCTCGCCTGGGGAGGCTGGACTCAGGGAGGTAGCTTACTGGCCAGGCCTGCTCTTGTGCCCACCGGTCAGGCAGTTCCCATGCTGGGGCTGGCAGGGCTGTGGCGGGGCTGGCCCTGGGCAGGATGTGGACCTGGGCTCCCCATGCAGGTGAGCTGGTGCGGCCCCTGCGGCCCGACGAGTACCTCAACAGCGTGATGGTGGATAAGGACGTGAGCCTGCACAGCCGGCGGCTTGGCTGGGAGACCCAGCTGCACTTCGACAATCCCACCTACATCAGCACCCACTACAGCCAGGTCAGCCCCACCTGGCCCTGGGCTGCTGTGCTGCTGGCGACTTGAGTCCTGGCTGCACCTTGAGGGCGAGTCCCTGCCTGGACGGGGGACCTCCAAGCCTCCCCTCAAGGAGAATGGCTGGTGGGGGCTTTGGGGCACAGCTGCCCCCTTACTGCGCCCCCCTCTCAGGTGCTGCGGGACTACCTGCAGGGGAAGCTGTTGGTCAGTGCACAGGCAGAGGACCTACTGGCCAGGCTGGCCGCCCTACAGCACCTCAGCAGGGCCTTTCAGGATACCCCCTCAGAGTGAGTGTGAGCGCGGCCCCCACGCCTCCTGTCATTCTCCCTCCTGGTGCTGAGGTAGGCCTCAGCACCCACCCCAGGGCCTCAGCCCACCACGCCTCACCCCCTTCTTGAAGGTCAAGGCCACTTGACTTGTAACCTTCATGGCCCTAATTCCATGTAGCCGTGGAGGCTGTATACATCTGTCCTCCCCACCCCAAGCTCAAGGGCAGGGCCCACACCTTATTCATGTGTCTGGATTCCCAGTCTCACCCACAGTAGCCACTGGTTCATTTATTTAGCACCTGCTGTATGCCCAGCCTTGACTAACCAGCTGTGTCTTAGGCAAGACCTGTTGGCTTACTTGCCAAAGACACTGCAATGGCAGGTGAGAAGGGCCACCATAAGGATGCTGATGGGCCAGGAGCTGAGGCGGCTGAAAGGATGCACCTCCCAGGAAGCGCAGACCAGCTTCATCGGTGGGTCTGGGGGAAGCGGGCTGCTGGGGCAGAGGCAGGAGGCCCAGGAGGGAATGGGTGAGGGTAGAGGGGCTGAGTAAGCTTTTCCACCTGCCCTGCCCCTCTCGCCGGACCTGGGGGCCAAATAAGGCAGGGCCCAGGGCCCCAGTGGCCAGAACTCCTGTCCTAGCCCCTCCATCCCCAGAGGCCGTGAGGCAGCTGCCCCTCTTTGGCTACACTGTCTACGTGGTGCTCCGAGTAAGTGAGGTGGCCCTGCCTGGACCTGGCTTCCTGGGGCTGAACCGCCAGCACATCATCCTCATGGACCCCAGCTCCCAGGTGGGCCAGGTTCCTGCCCCAGGGCAGGCCTGGGCACCCTTGGGCCAGTCCTCTCCCACTACCTACACTGACCCGTCCCCTGAGAGGAGCCAAGCTCTGTTGTCTCTGCTGCCCCCAGAAACTGTGCTGCTCTGTTGCCCTGAGGGAACTGCAGCGGATCCACCTGCTGAGCCCACTGGAGGAACAGGGGTCCCCTGGCCTGGAACTCAACTATGGCTCGGCTGACAGCCCTCGGACCATCTGGTTTGAGCTGCCACAGGTGAGTGGCCAGAGCCTCTGACCACCCAGAGAAGGTGACGCATGCCTCACCCAAGCCTGGCATGCCCGGGAACCTGGGCCCAGGCCGATGGCTACTGCTCAGGGGTGGTGTGGGCAGGGGCTGGCCAGGGAGCCCTGTCCTCACATGCCTGTACCTAAGCAGGCCCAGGAGCTGAAGCACACCATCACCTTCCTGATGCACAGCGGCATCGCCTCCGATTAATGGCCGGCCTCACCCAGGAGGAGTGGGGGAGGGGCAGAGAGGAGGAAGGGGCCTCTCCCTGGCCCAAGTCTCACTTGGACAGTCTCCCTTGGGTGCTGTCAGGCCATTTTGGTGTGGACTTCACCACTTGGCTGTTCTGGAACCTACCGCAGCACAGCCCGGCTAGCCCACGTGGAGGCCATGAGGCAGGAGCTGCTACAGTGATGTCAACTGGGAAAGACAGCAGCGAGACTCCCTCATGGTGGGCCTGGGGCGGGGCTGCAGGAACTCAGCTTGGGCATCTGATGTTGCCCAGTCTCAGGGAGATGCCCACCTGGCCCCAGGCCCTGGCTCAAAATCAGCAGGAACCCAGCCTGGGAGAAGCAGCTGCTAAAATAAAACACCTGAGAGAAAAGAGCTGCGTGTGCATGCGTGTGTCAGAATAAACAGGACTTTATTCCTCCGGGAGATGTCTCAGTCCTGCTCGCCTTCCTGACCAGGAGCTGAGTGGGAGCAGGGCCTGGCTGCTGCCCCTCTTCCCACGAACTCTGCACCTGGGGCCAGGCTGGAGCTTGGCCAGGCAAGGGAAGGGGCTGGTGGGCAGAGGACCTGAGCCAGCAGGGCTCTTCCTGAGGAGGCCCCAATGCCTTGGACAGGTAGGCCTCATCTTGGCTTACAACCTGCTAAGTACAAGACATGGAGGGCCCGTTCCTTCTTTCTGTTCCCCTGGCAGCAGCACACCACCCCACACCTTCTCATCTGGAGATCTGGCCCAGAAAACCCAGCCACGAGGGCCAGGAGAGGCAGGGAGGCTAGGAGAAAGAGGACCTTAGGCCATGCAAGCAAAAAGGTAGGCTGACCGCTGGCCTCTGACCTTGATTTGGGAGGTGTCCACGCCCACCTCCAAAGCAAGCTGTGGTCTGAAGGGGGAGGGGCCCTGAGAAAAGACAACGCCCCTGATGGCAGTGGGCCTGCCCACTTTCCCCATTCCTGAGCAAGGCCCAGGTGGCCCAAGGTATAGTCTGGGGGAGGACACTGGCCCTGCTGGGCAGCAGTCCATCATCTCTGTGGGCCACACAGGCCGTGCCAGTCCGCTTCACTCTCGCACCGGGCCCGGCCGTGGAAGAACAGCTTGATGAGGTTCTGGGCCTCTTCCTTCACTACAGATTCAGGGTGGGGAAACATGAGGGCCAGTCTCCTCTCTGAAGAGCCCCACAAGTGCCTCCTGGCCCAGCAACGCAAGCACTCACCGCTCCTTCCAGGAGAGGTCTTCTGAGTCAGCGAGTGTGAGAGGTGGCGGGCAAAGGCTTTAAATAACTCCTAGAGGCAGAGGGCGAAGAGGAGCAGAAAGCACAGACCCCTGCCCTGCTCCTGGAGTGACCCACAGCCATGACCCAAGGGCAAGGCAGACCCAGGGAGGGTGGCAGCTGGGCTCAGGGCTAGCCTGCTTCTGCCCTTCTTTCTCCTGGGGCTCACACTCTCTATACCCCCACCACACCCAAGTGTCCCAGGCTTAGGGGAGGGCAGAGCCTACCCACCCACCCACCCTACCTTGGATGCAAACTTGCCCTCCTTATAGAAGGGGGTCAAGCACTTGACCACAACATTCGCAGCCTCCTTTAGGGAGATGCCAGGAGCTGAAAGCTGGCAGGAGCCCTTGGCCATGGGGTTCAAGGTGTCCTGATTGCTGGCCGAGATGCTGCCCTTGGCCTCAGCTAAGATGGAGGCCTTGGCTGAGGGGCGAGGCCTCTTCTGAGCCTGGCTCTCTGGGTGTTCCTGGGCAGGGCCACAGTAAAGGGTCACTCTTGGGCTCCCTGTCACTGGCCTGTCCTCTCCTTCTGGAGGACCAGGCCATAGCACCTAGTAGCTCCCTCTAGCCCCTGGGATGTGGAGATGATTTTCACCCAACTCCTAACCCAGAGCAGAGTAGATATCACCTGGTTCACAGGCCTCTTCCCTCCCCTGTGGCCTTGTCCTTGTCAGTACCTGCTGGGGCCTGGGCCGCTTGTCCCTCTGTGTCTCCTTTGTGGGGGTGGACTGGTCTTCAGGGGGCCCCTGGTCTCTGAGTGGGCAGGTACTGGCCAGAGGAGAGAGCAGGCATCAGAGCTCCAGGGCCCTTGGCCCAGGCAGCCCAGCAGAGACCATCCTAGGCATGGCCCGAGCTTCAGAGGCACAGTTAGCAAGGAGATTTCCAAACTACCCTGTGCCCATACCTCAACCCCTCCCTGGTGCACTCCTCAGTCTGAGCGGGGACAGCCAGATGTCCCAGGGCTCCATCCTCCTCCCCTGCGCACTTCTCTGGGGCTGTTGGGGGTCCGCGCACCCCCTCACTGGAGGGGCTGGCACCCTCTGCCGGTAGGGCTGACATGAGTGGAGGTGGGCTCTTGGCCCTCTGGCAGAAGAATCGGGTGATGTTCTGAGAATCCTTGAGGGCCGCTGCGGCTAGAAGCTGCTGCTTCTTGTTGACCCGGGCCTTGGCAATGGGACTGCCCCCAGTGGGGCCTTTTGCCTTCTTCTCAGGGGAGGACTCCCCACAAGAGGCACTGCTTCCGGGGGCTTCTCCTCTGGGCCCAGGGAGGGGCTCAGTGCTATCCTCATCCTGGAGGCCACAGGGCCGGCTGGGGGGCTCCTGCTTGCCTCCCCACACAGGCTGGGGGGCTTGCTCTTTGGGCCGCATCTTCTCCATCAGCTCAGTGGCTGTCTGAAATGGGTAGGAGCCTTTGGGGAAACCAGCTCCCACTCGCTTGGGTTTGAGCTGTGAGGAAGAGGAGAGAAGATTCTTGAGGGCCCACCTGGCTGGTCCAGGTGGGCCCACATTGGTGGGGCTCTCAGGAGTGGGGGAGGGAAAAACTGGGCAGGACATCACTTAGGGGTCAGGTTGATGAGAGAGGAGCTGCGGGGGCTGCAGGGGTACAGCTGGCAGAGCAGGGAAGCCTGAGGGCTTGCCCTGGGGTGCCCTAGGGCCAGGACCCAGGTTGGGGGTGGATGCTAGGACGCTGCTCACCGAGTAGACCTGGGAGGCTGGCGGGATGTCGTACTCAGTGGGCTCCGGGTGCTCGACCTGGGCACTGCAGCTCTTGGCACCGCCTCCCACGTCATAGAACTGCCCATCTTTAGAGGCTCTGTGGATCTCAGCCACCTGGGGCAGGGACAGTCAGGCATGCTGTGGCACCCACTAGCTCCTGATAACCCCCAGCCCAGGCTTTCCACAAGTGGGTTTCTGTGGCCTGTGGTTGGAGGCAACTGGACAAGTTCTAGTCCTCACAGGGTTGTCTAGAAGACCTCCAGCTGGCAAAGGATGGAAGTCAGGTTCCCCTGACATAAGTGGCCTCCCGGGTGGGGGGTGGATTCTGCGCTGCCTGCAGCCAGAGGGCCTACAATGTGGAGGGGCTGCCCTCTCCCACGCTCGCCCTTGAGCATGCCCCACCCACTCTTGCCCAGGGCCCACCTTCTTCAGAACGCTGGCCTTGTATAGGTTGGCCACCTTGGCATTTCGGAATGTCTCATGCTCCAGCTCCACGGCCTCGGCCTGGAGGTCAGGTCTGAGAGTGAGAATGAGCATGAGGTGTCAGATGGGCCTGAGCCTTTTACCTTTTGAGCTCCAAGGGAATCAGGGACCCTGGAGATGGCTTCAAGGCCTGGTGGGAATGGCTTTGGGCACCCGGATTGCAACCTGAAATCTCTGGGCACCCTGTGGCTTACTGCCCTTCAGCAGCCACTGGCTGCCTCTCAGTCGTGGCTGAGCCTTCCCGCTGGGGAAACCCGTACCCACTGGGAGTAGGATGGGTCACAATTTGGGAAGGCAGCACCCAAACAAGCTGGGGGGGAGGGACAGGGGTTCCTATGGTCTCTAAAGGAACAGGAGCTTGGGGAGCCCTCCTTGGTCCCCATGACACTCACCCATCAGAGGTACCTGTGGCCTGGCGGTTACTGCTCAGAGCCTCCTCCAGAAGCCCCAGACAGTGCTCACGGGCCTGCACAGGGGAGGGAAGTTGGTCACATGAGCCTCAGGTTGGAGGAGGAGCCTGGGGGGCAGGTGTGAAGAGCCGCCCACCTCTTACCTTCACAGTGAGCCTGGGGATCTTCCTGCTAGAAGCCTCTTTCAGGGGACAGTCCTCATCTGGGGGGTGGAGGAGTGGGTTCTTCCACTCTACCTTCTGCTCTCTGGAGTCCCCAACCCCCCAACAAGGCATCCTCCATCCACACCTCCAGAACACCCCACAAGCCCCCGGGGACATTTCTGTACTGACCTGGGGGTACAAATTCCTCTATCTTGGGGTCTTTGCCCTGGAAGACAACAATAAGGGCCTGTGAGGCATCTGCTTCAAGATAGCTCCCAGTCCAGTGCCAAGGAAGTGGCTGAGACAATGTGAGCCAGGGGCCACCTGGGACCCCGTCAAGCCCCTGCCCCTCACCTTGCGCAGGCTCATCTGCTTCTGGTAGAAGAGATTCCATTCCCGCTTGTGGGCCTCATCTCTGCCCTCGTCCCCACTGCCTCCAGAACCTTCGTCGTACCTAGGGGACAGGCTGGGTGTGAGCAGCTCTGGGCCTGGGCTTTGCCCTCCCACCACGCCTCTGGTGGGGCAGCAAGGTCCCTGATGCCCTGGCAGCTCAGGGCAACACTGAGGGCCTGGCCCACAGGGTAAGGGGTGGACTATGGCATTGTTGCCTCTGGTCTGGCCTTGGCACCAGGGGGAGAATACCAGACTATTTCCAGTGGGTTGGGAGCCCCTGGCTTCACAGCCCCTCACCTGCTGAAGCCCCCATAACCCCTGCGGCCTCCCTCATACAGCTCAGGGTCAAAGCCATTCCCCTGGGAGGGCCCGACGCAGGTCTTGCTGCAACTGCTACTCTGCTCCAAGGCGCTCAGCTGCTTCCGCACAGCTGCAGGGTTCTGGCAGTGGTCACAGCCTTTGGTGCAGGCGGGGGGCGCATCCCCAAAGTACTTGGCAATGGCAGCATGGCGGCACCTGGAACAGGCAGTGTGGCAGAGACAAGGGGTGAGGGACCCAGGCAGGCCAGCATTCGTTCCCGCAATCCCTAAACTCTGGCTGAGCATTGCTGTGACTGCACCATGCTAGGCATCCTCACACACCTCATCCCATGCAGGCTTCACAAGGCATCGCTTGGTTGCCCATTTTACAGATGAGGACAATGAGGTGAAGGAGCTTTCCCAGAGTCATGTAACACATGGGGGTATCCAGAGGAGCCAGGGCATCAACTGCCTTCTGTCCTGCTTCTCTGTAGGTTACTCCTCTGGGCCCCAGCCCTCTGCCCTGCTCTGTCCTCTGGCAGTGGGGTGCCCTGGGAGAAGCATGGACTCTGGGTGCAGATGCTGACTCTGCTGCTGAGGCTGTGTCCTTGGGGAAAGTATTTGACCTCCTGAAGCCTACGCTTGCGGGCCTGCAGAACAGTGCCAGAAGAGCACTGGCCCCGAGGGCAGTGTAGGGCTGAGTGCGATGATGCTCTGAAGTGCTCTGTACCACACCTAGTGCACAGTAAGGCTGTTATTATTACTCTTCACGCTTTGCTGGGGGTGGGAGAGGAAGGGCACAGCAGGAGGTCATCATCCCATACCCCCCAGCCCCAGCCTCAGTACTCTGCCCTGCTTCTCTCTCTTGGTGACCTCTTCCTTGTTGTCCCCAACAAGCAGCTGCCCAGCCCAGTGTACACAGCCCAGGGCCAGGGGGCTGCCCGAGAGCAGGAACCAGGCCGCTCTGAGAGCTGGCACCATATGCTAGTCAGTGGCGAGGGCAGCACGGAGACACAGCCTTGGCTGGAGTCTTCCTCACCGCATCTTCCACTGCCTCCATCCTGCCGCAGCCCCCTTGGGGTGCCGGCCTCCAGCTTTCTCTCCTCTAACCCCCCAGGCTGGGGGTGCAGTCAGTCCTTGGGACAGATGCAGAGGCCCCAAGAGGAACCACAGCTCTATCAGGGTTCTCACAAATGGCCATTCCTGCCACAGGAATGTGGCATGGGGTGGGGGAGCCCAGGAGGAGATGCTGGAGCAGAGGCAAGGCTGTCCAGGCGCCATATGCCAGGGACAGAATAGCTGGTGCCACTGCTCTAACGAGCACACTCCTCTCAACGTGTGCACTGCCTGGGGCTGCAAGAAACATCTAGAGAAGCTGGGACCCCGAGCGGCAGGCTCCAGGAACAAGAGCTGATTGTTGCAAGGCCCCTAGGAAGCACAGTCTGGCTGCCTTGTTTAGTTAAGTGGAGAACGCAGCTCTGAACAGCCTGAGACAGCAAGGAGGCCGAGGCAGCCACCGGAGGGCACTGTTCCCGCCGCTCCTCAAGTCAATGTGTAACACATTCCAGTGCCAGAGTCTGTGCGACCGCACAGTGGCTGCCTGTCGAGCCTCTGGGAGGTTCTGGCATCCAAGTGGTGTGGCCACAAGGCTGGCTTCCTTCGCCCCGCCCTCCCCCAAGCCCTGACTCACTGGAGTTTTGTGCTCACACTCAAAGGGCTCCATTGACAGCTCACAGATGCGGGCTGTGGTCGGCTCCTGCGCTGATCCAGGCACAGCCTGGTCTGCTGGGGTGGCACAACCAGCCAAATGTCAAAGGGCCCCACCAGCCACTGAGCTCTGAAGCCCGTCCCTGATAGCTGGGCCAGGAGTATGGCAATGGCCCCAGCAGGCGCTCTTTGGCAAGAACAAGACCAGCAGAGTCCTCTCTCCTCCCAGAGTCCCAAGGAACAGAAGGCACCGCCCCAGGCAAGCAGGCCAAGCGCAGGCCACTCTCAAGTCACGCAGGACTCCCAAGTTCTTCCCCAAGATGCCTCCCAAGGGGGCTGGCTGCTTGGGTGGTCCAGCAGCTCCCCTACTATTTACTTTCTTTCCAAGGAGAGGCCAGAGGGAGGGACCAGTCAGGGAGTAGCCTGAAGGACAGGTTGGGGTCAGGGAATGTGGGCCCAAAGGCCCTCCTGAGCGTGGGCAGGGAGCCAAAGAGCTGGGAGTGCCCGGGGCCTCCCCCCTCCCTCCCCACTCCACTGCTCAGGTGGAACCTCCCAGGGGTCATCTTCGCCAGGGAACAAGAGAGCCAGGGAACAAGAGAGCCGACCTCCTCTTTCATCAGATCACAGCCCAGGCCCAGCCCACAAGGCTTAACACACACCCGCCAGGAGGGAGAGGAGAGGAAGAGGAGGAGGAAGAGAAGAGAGGCAGCCCGGCCCATGCAGACTCTGGGGCAGGGAGCAGCAGCAGGACAAGTCCCCAGCAGGGACTCCCTCGCCTGGGCTGAGGCACTGGCTCCCCCCTCTTCAGTGGCCATTCCGTGTAACTTGAAACTTGGATCTCTAGGACGACCGACAACAAAAAAGCTGAGGCCGAGACGGCAGCTGGCTATCAGCAGCGAGGAGGAGCTCACTTGCTTGCACTGAGGAGAGGCGCCCAGGGAGCAGCATCAGGTCAGAAAAGAGAAGTCAGGGAAGGAAGGAAGAGGTGGCGGCCAGGGCTGAGGAGAGGCACGTGGAGGCTGCTCGGCTCCCTAGCACCTGCGGTCACCCCCCAACTCCAACACCTGAGCTCCCAGGTGAGTGGTGCAGGCCACAGATGAAGAGGGGACGAAGGGAAGGGAGCAAGAGGGGTCCCCTACCCCAAGAGCAGAGGCCACAATTTACCATGATTGCAGAGAGGAGGGTCACAAGGGATGCACTTGGTCACAGTCTCCAGACAGCCTCCTGTCCAAACCCGGGCTCCCCCTCTTGCTGGGACCCAGCACTGGGGGACACAGCCCGAGGCTGCAGCCCTCCACTGAGGGTGGCTTCCTCCCTGCTTGCTGAGCAGGCAGAGGGGCCCAGAGTGCCGCTTACTCTGCGAGTTTGTTTAAGCTGTTTCCATTCAGGGGGCTTACACGAGGGATTTGACGGTCCCAGCTGGGGAGAGAAGCGTCACCCGCCACTGAGCCTCCCTTTCCCCTGGACACAGGCAGAGCCCTCCCTGTCCCTGCTTTCCCCCAGTCCAGAAGGCTCCGGCAGGGTCTTCCCAAGTCAGTTCTTACCCCCCAGGATGTGGCAGGACCCACAGCAGCTCTGCCCATCTGTGTCAAGAGCCGCTATTTCTTGTGAGGGGCTTGGCCGGCTCACTGCCAGCTGTTCTCAGCTCGGGGCTCTGCCCAGGAGCTCCTCTCTGGGCCCCTTTAGATCCCCACGAGCCCCCAGATTTCCCTGCATGCTGCGCCAGAAAGGCGAGGGCCTGACTCTAAACCCAGGGTGGGAAGAAGGTGACAATGGTGGACTTGAGCCTGGGGGAGGGACTGCCCTGGTATCTGGCCCTCTGGCCCTCTTTGGCAGGGCCCCATGAGTAGAGACTGGCTGCCTACTCCTGCCTCCACGTCCCCACAGCAGGGTTAAAATCTCCCTCCCCCATCCCCCAGATGTTTTCCCCAAAGCAAACAAGCTAGTATCTACTTAGAAAGAAAAAGACGGATCCAGGGAAAAGTGGAACCCAAGGATCAGTCCAAGTGTTCTTGGCTCAGCAGAGGCTGTGGGATTTGGCCTGGGTTGGTGGCTGGGGAGACTGAAATCCTGCGGTGACAGGCAGCGTGTGGCAGAGAGAAGGGGCAGATGCTGGGCTGTGCTGGAGGTAGCGGGTTAGGCCTGGTGAGGGAAGGGCGTGGTGGGGAGCCCATGGCTACCCCTGCCAGCTCTTATCTGTAATATGCCCCAGCAGGTAGGTGGGCATCAGAGTCTCTGTACCCACAGAACAAGGGTGGAAGGGGCCCCCGGAAAACAGTCTCCGAGCTGGGAAAGAAAGGTGATGCTCAGTTTCTGGGGCTTCAGGAACAACCACCAACAGCAGGAAGTGCCTCCCGCCCTTGAAAGCGACAGGGCTGGAGGAGTAAGGACTGCTGAGGGTTCAAGTGCCTACTGCCTACTGCAAGTCAGAGCCAAGGAAGAGAGGGGGTTGCCCTAAGGCTCAGCACAGTACACAGTGGGCATCTCTGCCTTGCTGGTCGAGCCTCTGGACCCCCAAAATCTCCCACAACCATCAGTTATGCCTCATTCTAGCTGTTCCTCAAACAAGACAACGCCCCACAGGGCAAGGGTGGCTGAAACCCACCATGACAAAATAACAGGGGCCCTGAGCCATCAACACACTGCGCTTATCATTCACAAACACAGGCGCCTGCTGCCTGGTACTCTCTATTCTCTTCCCTGTGGGGCGTCTGGAGTTGGAATATCAGTTTTGCAAGGAGGAAGCAGGGACACTTCAGTACCAAGTGGCAGCTGTTTGGCCTGCAAGATGCCTGCCTGCTCTGTCGCAAGGTTCTCTGTGCCAGGAGATGCCACACAATGGGATGTTTTCTAGTCCCTCCAGCTCTGCCAGCTTTCCTCTCTGCCCTGCTCACCATCCCCCCTCCACCCCCCGCGCCCCCCCCCCACCAGCTGCCACTCCAGCCAGGGAGCACCCTCCGAAGGCTCAAAGAAGAGCCATGCGGACAGCCAGGCTGCTCTTCCTTCCAGGGGCTAGGGGAAGCCACCACTAGCTTGGCTGCTTCCAACGAGGAACCACTGAGCCTGGGGTTGGGAAGCTCTCAGGTTTCCCTGGTTCACAGGCAGGAAGTACAGTTTTGGAAGGAGTTTGATGGACCTCAGGATAGAAAGACTGGAAAAATACAGAGAATTACCAGTAGCCCCATTTGGCTTCCCCATCTTCCTCCCTCCAAACCTGGGAAGGTAAAGGGGACGAGAGGCAGCCAGCCCCAGAGTGCCCACTTTCCCAGGCCACAGCTGGGAACACTTAGGCCTCCCCCCAGAGCAAGGGCTGGGACACAAGCCACATGGTCACCTGACGGCTGCTAGTTATATTGGGCACCAGGCGTCAGGCACCCCCTTGGCCTTGCTTTAAATAGCCCACTGAGAAGACCGCCTGGGATCTGCTGCTATGTGCCTCCTTCTCTTAGGAGAACAAGGCCCCTCCAGCTCCCCAAGGTCCTCACTAACGCTCATTCTGCTCAAGCCCAAGCTGGAAATGACAAAATGTCAACTGAAAAGCAAAGGTGGCTCCTCTTCAGCCTTTGGGGCAAAGCAGCCATGTCCAGCAACCCCACTTAGTTCATAGCACAGACGGGACCCAGTGAGCAGACCTGGGTAAGACCCCAGGCTGGGTACGGCTGGCTAGTTCAGGTCCCCAGAGAGGCCCTGGGTACAAAGCTGACTCTGTCTATGTCCGTGGCCTGCCGCTGGTGTGGACTGACACTCCCAGAGTGGAGCCTGGGTCCTCTGGGCACGAATCTGCAGCTTTCTGATTTCCTAATGTCTGCAAGATGGCTGACCTATAGCTGAAGCTTCTGCTCCACACACCTCGCCTTTACTGCACAGCAAATTCAGCCTCGGCCCAACCTTCCTCCTCCCCTCCTGCCCGCTCTGGAGACCGCACCCTCAGACTGACCTGGGGTCTCCACACCCTTCTCGCTCACAGGTGGAGGCGCCCCCTCTGCGAGCCCTCCCGGCTCTCTGGGCGTGGTGGCAGCACAAGTGAGAAAGCTCCCCATGCCCACCGCCCTCTGCCCACTTCCTCTTTTAAGGAGTGTCTCTGATGGCTACATTAGGCAGTGCAGGCACGAGGCCAACCTGGCTGAAAAAGCCAGACCAAGTGTAGACGAAGAGGGAGAAGAAAAAGCAGCCCAGCTCCTGAGCCCGGTGTAAACTCTCCTCCAGGGCTTCGGTCAGCACCGCCACCTCCTCCAGGAATGAGGCCAGCAGGCGGGCTCCCATCCTCCTGGAAACCTGGGGAGTGGGGATGCCCAGGGACCCCAGAACAAGGGAGGGGACCACCTCCTTGTGCAAGTCTACTCCACTGGTCAGCAGAAGGAAGTCTCTTCGGGTGACCAGAGGAGAGGGGTCCTATGTTCAGGAAGGAGTTCGATGAACAAGAGATAGACACACAAGACCCATCCCTTTGGTGACGAGTACCACCTGTGGTTCTCAAAGAGCAGGTGCGGCCCTGGCCTGGTGAGTGATACGCCTGATAAAAGCAGTGCTCCAGACTCAGGAGTGTGGGGTCGGGCTGATAAGGTGGAGCCCACCTGCCTTCAAAGGGCTCTGACCTTCCAGTTCCTGTGCTGAGCCTACTGCACGGGTGGTGCACTCAGTGGGCTGCTCTGGGACTGACTTATCTTGCTGGTAAGGAGCAGGCTGCCAGAGACAGGCCTCCATCGAGAGACAGCGTTGGGCAGTAGGGGGAGCGCTGGCTGGGCCCGTCCTGCTGTGTGACCTCGAAGAAGTCACATACTCTTTCCAGTCTCAGTTTCCCCATATGTAAGAGGAGTCAGGGGTGGATGACCCGTGTCATTCTAGGTTTCTAGCCTCTTAGTACATTTGGAAACTGGGATCCTAATCTGCTTTGCAGAAACGTGCTGACCCTTGGGTAGGGCATGAGGGAAGTTAGAAGACCTAACTCCAAGGAGCCTCCCACTTTTGACAGGAAACCAGTGAATATTCCATGGAGCCATCATGAGCCTGCTACCCCCATCATCACTTAAAATAACAGCTCCCCATCTCCAGCTTGCCCCCTACCACTTCCTTCATTTCACACACCGTAAACATCCTGAGAAGGAAGGACACAGATGAAACTCCCCAAAGGTATTTGGGGAGGGTCAGGTGACAGTATATAGCGGGGTGCAACACCCCGAAAGGCTGCCTCAACTCTCCTGAGCTGGCCAGACCCCACCCAGAGGGGAATCACATGCGCTGGGCACCTCCCTGTGCCAGGCTCTGTGCTGGCTGCTGTTCTGTGCTGCCAGGTGGTTAATCCTCCAACAGCCTTGAAAGATAGACAGCTCATCTTCATGTAAAGAAGAAGGGCCATGTGGACAGCCAGGCTGCTCTTCCTTCCTGGGGCTAGGGGAAGCCACCACTAGCTTGGCTGCTTCCAACAAGGAACCACTGAGCATGGGGTTGGGAGGCTCTCTGGTTTCCCTGGTTCACAGGCAGGAAGTACAGGTTCACAGGCAGGAAGACTCAGAGAAATGAAGTGACTCGTCGATGTAATGAAAGCAGGAAGGGGGCAGGCGGTATTCAAATGCAAGACATTTCAAACAATGTTCTCTGGGGGGCAGCTGACCCATGAGAGCAGTTTCCTTGTGGAGAAGGAGATGCAAAAGGTGCACACCAGTGCCCTCCACGTACTGAAGGACTCTAACGCAGAAGAGGGGTGCAAGTGTCCTAAGCGACCACAGGTGGGACTAATGAGGTCACTAGGAGGTCCCATCTTCTCACAGTCAGAACTGCCCCAAGAAGGAATGGGGTGGGCTGCTGTAGCAGGCAGGAATCCCCACCTCACCCAGAGAGGCTCAGCTAAGGCTGCGCACCACAGGGAGGGCAAGGAGCCAAGGGCAGGGTAGCTCGAGCAGATGACCTTCAAGGCAGCTCTAGGGCAGCTATGCTGTGGCAGCAGCACTGGGAGTGACCGGCTTCACAGACTGCACCATCTCGGGGAGAACCTGCCTGGCTGAGACCAGCGACAAGGCAGTGGTAACTAGAGCCCAAAGTCTGACACAAGCCCCTGGCCACCTCTTAACTGCCCTGGATTAGGGCTGCCTTGGTGAGCAGGTTCAGGCTGGGCTGGTTCCTCTCTGAAGAGGCACTGGCTTCCTCATGCCCACAGTTGAGGAGGAAGGGGAAAGCAACTCTGATGTACAACATGCCCCCACTCCTAGACTCCACCTGGACCTTCACCTTCAGCCTCTTGGGTACCCTAGGGAGGCCTGGAGGGCTGAGCTGCCACAGACCTGGGGCGGGGTGGGGCTGCAGAGGGGACTGTCCTGGTCAGGGCAGGGGGCAGATCCGAGCCAGCAGGGGAGGGGCTGACTAAACCAGCCCTGGGATGCCTGATCCCATCGAGAAGCCTCCTTGGGAAAAAGTGGAGGGACACAGTGTCTTCTCTTCCTCCATACAGGACAGAGAACACCGTGTGAGTAAAGAAATTGGGCTGGTGGGAGAGGTGGGGGGCCCTGGGGCTGACCTTGGCCAGAAGGCCCCATGAGCCTGCTCTTAGGAGAACCTGATCCTTCTGCCCCCACATACGACAAAAGGCAAGAGCACTGGGCTGGAGTCCTGAAGCCCAGTCTCCCTGCCAGGGAACCCAGGGGAGGCACCCAAAGTCCTGAATGACACACGGGCCACCAGGGAAGCTGCACCAATCCAAGGCACCCGGGCAAAACCTAGGAGTGGTGTCTGAGACAAAGGAATGTAACAGTGAAGTCACCGCACCTCACAGTCAGAAACCTTGGCTAACCTTGGCCAGGTGGCAGACCCCTCCTGTGTCCACTTCTGCCGAGCTGCCCCCACAGTAGGGCCTCAGGCTCACTGTCATCACCACCTTCCCTCACCCTGAGCAGTGCCAGCTATGTGGGGGCTGAGGGCCACCACTGGGCAGAGGGGCCCTACCAGCTCCCTTCCTCCCTTGTGAGCCACCAGGGGTGTGATGGGTGAGACCTGACAAACTCGTTCAACGGGTTGCGGGTGGGTGAGAGGGTGGATTCTCTGAAGCCAGCCCCATGGGGACTCCACGTCCTCTCTCTGCTCAGAGCAGCCCGACAGGAACCTGGCGCAGCATGGCAGCCACCAACTTTGCGCAGGAGATACACTCCATGGGTGAGAGGCTGCTGCTCAAGCTGCAGAGGCTGCCCCAGGCCGAGCCCGTGGAGATCGTGGCCTTCTCAGTCCTCCTCCTTTTCACAGGTAAGGTGGGGCTCTCAGAGTCTCCTGAGTGCCCATGGCTCTTCCTGGCATCCAGGAGAGACGAGACCCTGATGCAAGAGGGCTGGCAGAGGTAGCTGGGTGTCCCCCAGGCAGGAGGAGGAGGACTCATCCCTCGGGGGAAGCCAAGGAGTTTCCCCCAATCCTCTGACATGCTGCTCGAGTGATGGGGTGGCGCTGGGAACCAGGACCCAGAGGCATCTCCAGCATCCCAACCCAGGGATGAAGGAAGCAAAGCTCTGGGCAGCAGAGGAGGCACCACCGGGAGGTCAGAGCCCTGGTGGCTGGCATGAGGACAATCAACACCTCTTGTCAGACTCTCGGGTATTTCTGACCGCAAAGCCAGACCTTTGGGCAAAGGTCCTCCACACCTCCAGAGGGGCTTCTTCAGAAGTTGGGTGGGTGTTCTCGCTCCTCCCCCACCGCTGAGTTTCCTGTGCTGTCTGCTTCTCTCTGCCAATCCTCCAGCCACTGTTCTGGTGATGCTGCTGATCGCCTGCAGCTGCTGCTGCACTCACTGCTGCTGCCCAGAGCAGAGGGGCAGGAAAGTCCAAGTGAGGCCCATGTCCCCACCGTGAGGGACATAGATGACCGAGGAGACACTAGAGAGGAGACTGCCAAAGTCACAGCCCAGGGAGCAGCCTGGCCCTGCAGCCCTCACCCTTGACGACAGAGATCGATCACCCCAGCTCTGGCCCTGCCCAGGAACCCAGACACTGACACCTGGAGCCTCATCAAGGAAATAAGGTCTGTTTCGGCCACAAAACTCTCTCATCTCTCAGTGAACACTGGGTCCCGAGGAGGAGTCGACTGTTGCAAAGACTGAGTAAGCCACTGGGAATTCTTTGCCTGCCTGCACTTTCTAACAAAACATGGAAGTGGGGTCCCCATACCTGGGTGGAGAACAGCCCACACCTGTGAGGAGCTGGCCCTCGGGGCTCCCACACCAAAGAGGAGCAGGCCAATCAGAGGGACTTTGTGCAATGGTGACTGGAGCCCAAGCTCCCTGCCAGAGAGGGGGCATGTCAGTATTCTGTTACAGTATTGGTCTGTTTGTTTCCCAGTAAAAGCTTTTGGATTATGTGTTTCTGTGGCACAGACTCCCTGGGCTGGGCTCTGTGCATTGGGAGGGCAATGTGCCAGAATTCCAGGGGCGTGGCCACCGACTGTCCTTTCCAGGCCTCTGCTCTCCCCGTGCCCAGGAAAGCTGGAAAAACACGCAGGCAGGAATGCCATTCAGGAGGGAATGCCACAGAACAGGGGAGGCATGCAGTGAACTTCCTGTCGAGCACTAGATACTAACAAACTCTGGCTCCCAGATGCCCACTCTGCAGTGAGGAGGCAGGTGCTGGGCTTGGGAACACCCCTTAACAGTTTCCACTCCCATTATCTGTAGCCTGCACACTCCACACTAGCAGGCTCAGGCCACCGGGTCTTCTCAAACTTCTGGAGTAAGAGAAGAGAGGTCAGGCCCCTAGTATCGTCCCTAACCTGCATCCTGACCCCTTCGCCCTTTCCGCCTTTGTGTGCCAGACTGTCCAGGTGCAAATCCTCGCCCTGCCACTCATCAGCTGTGCGAACGCAGGTTAGTGACTCCACCTCACCTCACTGAGCCATGTTTCCTCCCCTGTGAGGTGGGGCTCATCCTGGTAACTGCCTCCTGGGGTAGGCTTGTGAGGATAAACTAGGATGACCTCCATCCAGCACAGTGCTGGGCATACCCATGAGCTCTGTAGATATAAACTGTCATCATTATTTGCCCTTCTACACAAGGGACTGACCCAGAGCAACACGGACCCATTTTAAGGACTGGTCCTGCTGAAATGTGAGACCTCCCTGCCTCTCTCCCTTCAGTTTATTTTCTCTTCCAGAGAACTTTCCAGGTAGAGCTACCACCCCAGGAATGAGGGTAGGGGAGGCAGGAGGCTCCCGTGGTCCCTCCCCCTTCTTTCCCACTGGTCCCCCAGAGCCATAAAGAGGTTTGCATTTTTTGTGGATTAAGAGAACAGTTTAGTGGCTACCAGGGGAAAGGTGGGGTGGGGGGTGGGCACAAAGGGTGAAGTGGTGCACCTACAACATGACTGACAAACATTAATGTACAACTGAAATTTCACAAGATTGTAACCTATCATTAACTCAATAAAAAAAAAAAGAGGTTTGCATTTTTTACATGCCTCTGTCATCCTGGCCTGCGCAGCCTGGGGGCAGAGCACCGGCTACCCCAGAAAACAGGGAGTGGAGAGGGGATGATGGCCCCTGCTACTCCCCCCAGCTCCAGCTGGTAGCCAGGAGGGAGAGGCTCTTCGTTCTTGGGCTGGTTTCACTTCTTGGTGTCCACGGACTTGTCTGACAGGTTTGGTTTGGGTTGAAGACCCAGAGAAGTGCTTTCACACAAAAGAAAAGAAATTCAAGAATCTGCCTGTACCCTCCGCTCCACCACCACAAAAGAATGGGTTTCAGAATAATAATGATGACAATAATCACAGTAATAATAATGAAGATGGTGACGACGATAAAGATAGCTAAAATTCACTGTGGGCTTATGCGTGCTCAGGCATTGTTTGAAGCATTTTGATAGCAGATAAATTCATTTAATTATCACAACAACCTCAATGCTGCAGATCCCATTATTATCCCCATTTTAGAGATGAGCAAAATGAGCCTTAGCTGACACTAGGTAACTTACCTAAGTTCAACCAGCTCAAAAGTGGCAGAGCCAGCCTCTGGGCCCAGCCTGTGCACTCCAGAGCTCCTGCTCACCACACCCAGGGCCCCAGGCCTCCCAGGTGCAGGACAGATAAGGCTCTGATTCCATTATCTTCCATCAGCCAACCCCAGATCCCAAACAGCCACACCCCAAACTCTATCTCAAAATAACCTTCCTAGGAGTGGGTGGGGCCCAAGAGGTAAGAGCTGGGGTGAGGCCCAACTAGGTCTCCCTCCCAGAGGAACAACGGAGGGAGGTGGGAGGGACCGGATGGGAAGCGCTGCTCTTTTCAGTCCCAGCGCCCCAGGAAGCCCTCAGTTCAGGAGGTGCTCCAACAGGGCAGCAGCCCAATTCCCAGCGGACCTTTCCTTAAGCAAGTTTTCATCAGCATCAAGAATGTCCCTTCCTCGGGGTGGCTGAGGCTGAGCCTCTTTGCTAGAAAAGATTCTGGCTCCCTGGTCCAGCTGCCAAGAGGTAGGGACACGGGCAGCCCTCAACACCGACAGGCTGACTGGCCGAGTCATTCACATTTTCCTCCTCCAGCCCAGGCAGTATCTAACTGCTGAGTCCAAATAAGATGCTGTCCCTGCCCTCAGAAGGCTTACTCCTTCCCACTCCATGGTAAATTGGCACACACTGAGCCCCATCACCAATGGCTCTTCCCAGCTTTCGGGCCAAGTCCTGAGCAGGCTTCAACTCTACTCAGCTTAACAAACCAGATCTGCTCTAGGATGACAGCAGCTTGGTAAACTCGGGGCATGGGTCTTCTCTGGGGAAGATGGGCATGGAGAGGAGGCAGTAATTCCCCCTGTGGTAAAGAATAAACAGAGAGGTACAGCAAGATGCTGGTGGCCATGGAAGGTGTGGCCGACAGGCTGTCCGAGCCTCAGAGACCATCTGGCTGACTCTGGCTGCCATGCCACCCTGGACCAAGCTACCATCAACGTTTGCCTGTGGTCACTGTAGCAGCGTCCAAGCCAGTCTCTGAGCTGATCTTACCAGCCTCTTCGTGCCTCCCAGCCTGTGGCCTCGGCTCCACCACATAGTGGTCTCTCAGTTCCTCAAAAGGGTTTCACTCTACTCTTAAGATCTGTGCGTTTTACGTCTGTATGTCAAGCCTTATCAGAAACTACAGCAAGGCTACCGGAGCAAGAATCTCATAGCAAAACTTGGCAGAGAGCATACAAAAGAGTCTTCTCAAACATTAACATTTCAAAGCAACCTACAATAAAAATCTTCATGATGACATATTTGCTTATGGGTAATACTCATTCCAGACCATAAAAAACTGAGGACAAATTAATTTTGTCCTTAAAAACAGTTTTCTCACTCTCCTAGGGACTTGCTGCCTGCCAAACACTGTCCCCTAATGCCCTTACATGGTCTTCACGTCTCAACTTCAACACCACCCCTCACAGGGGAATCCCCTCAGCCCCCAGGCCAGGATATGCCACAGGTACCAACAGCATTCCCTCCCACTTCCCTCCACATGCTCTTCATGGTGATCATTTCAGTAGAATTTTCTGATTGGGGCCAGCGGTTAATTGAAAAAGTCGGTTAAAATAACTTTTGTGTATATGACATACATTCTCTACGCATCTCATTTTAAATGGAAACACACTCATGCACATTCCTTGACCAATCTTTTTTTTTTTTAAATTGAGTTAATGATAGGTTACAATCTTGTGAAATTTCAGTTGTACATTAATGTTTGTCAGTCATGTTGTAGGTGCACCACGTCACCCTTTGTGCCCACCCCCCACCCCACCTTTCCCCTGGTATCCACTAAACTGTTCTTAGTCCATAATTTTAAATTCCTCATATGAGTGGAGTCATACACAGATTATCCTTCTCTCGCTGGCTTATTTCACTTAACATAATTCCCTCAAGGTCCATCCAAGTTATTGCAAATCCTTGGCCAATCTTTTTGACGTCACGCCAGGGTCTTTTCTCTGTGTCGGTTTATTGACCAGAGCTCCTACATTATCTATTGACTAAATTTTACGTTTCTTTAAAGCTGAATAAGAACTTAAATATATCTGCAAAGAAATCTGAGTGTGAAATCCTTCTGGATTTTTACAAAATGTTTACAGTTGTCTTGTCCACATCTATTGTGACAGGATTATCATTTGAGTCATTCCGAAGTCATTCCAAAGTGGTCAAATACATGTTTATAAAAACAACTCTCTTGCTGCACTCACTCTGAGATACAGCTCAAAGCCTCAGAGCTCAGAGTGTGGCGCAGGTGAACAGCTGGGTTCAAACCCCGACGCAGTTACTTCCTAGCTGTATGACCTTTGGTAAGTTACTTAACTTCCGCGCCTGTTGCCTAGCTGTAAAATTGGGGTTTCGGCTATTACTGCTGTTTCATTTTTTATGTAATGTTAAGTGCAAGTATGTAATTACAACAAGTACAACTGCCACAAACAGGTTTGGGAACAAACAGCTGACTCTTGATAAGCATCCAACTTCACTGATGAAGCGGAAGTACAAGGGTATATTAGAGACCAGCCCACTGGCTGGGAGCATTTAGCAGGCCAAGTATTAGTCAGTGTGTTTTACAGAAGGAACTGGGAAGCATCAGGTAAGCCAGGGGTCAATTAAGCCCATGATAGTTAAGAAGGACTTTACTGGCTTGCTCATCATCTGTCTCCAACCCTGGCTGCACATTAGAATCGCCTGGCATGTTACAAAGCACAGGGCTCCGATATGCCCAGAGACGGACGCAAGTGATATGAGGTGGAGCTTGGACACAGGCACTTAGAAAAGCTCCTAGATGATTCTACAAAGAAGGCTGAAGACCGGCACACCAGAATGTAAGCTCTGGGAGGGCAGGGCCTGCCCTCTTGGGTTCACTACTGCTCTCTTGGTTCACCACTGGACACGCAGCACCTCACGCAGTTCCCAGCCACAGCAGGCACTCGCATCCTATCTTTTAAAGGAGCAATGGTGGCCACTAGGTTTCAAATGCCAGGACACACAGGCTCCATTCCCACTTCCTAGCTGCCCTATCAACCAGTGGGTAGGAACCAAGCACACGAAGCAGCTGAGGCTGTGCCTGAGAGGCAGACAAAGGCACCGAGGGAGAAGTTAGGCCTCTGCAGGAACCCGGGGCCTCAAGGGTGACAAACGCTTCAACCCAGAAAGTAGTTCTAGGAGGTGCCAGCAGGAGCTGCAGTTAATCATTTACCCGGCACCACAGGAAGGGGGCAGCCTGTGTGGCAGTTTCCGCCCCAGGGCTTCCCAAGCTCCAGGCAGGGCCCTTCAGTCGACAAGTCATCTAGACAGAGAGGAGGGGCCGGACCCAGCCACGGGTGAGGCGGACGGGTGGCCTGGGACGAAGGCCCTGGATCTACCTCTGTCCCCACCCACCCCAAGTCTGACTTCTCTCAGCGAGGACACCTCAACACACGTGCCCTGAGCAGCCCCCCAAAACGACATCACAAAAGGGCAGAACACAGCTGAGGGGGTAAGTATGAAAGGCAGAAAGGGAATAACAGTTGCTAGGCAACGGGCCCTAGCCCACCTCTCTTTGCTCTGGTGACAGCAATGAAGTCTGGTCAGGGCCACTTGGCAATGCGTACACTTTTGTCCCCCCAACAGTCGCTTCTTCAAGTCAGGGTGCAGCTCTGGTCACCTGGTGCCTCTTCAGCTCAAGCCCCGCAAAGCGTGGGGCCTGAAGCATTCCCTGATCCGCCTGTTCTTAGGAGACGGGAGTGTTAACAGCAGAACCAGGTAACGACTCCTTCCACGACTCCGTTCACTCTGCCGTTACTCCTGTACTCCGCACAGGCTCGCAGCCTGCTGAGTTGAGCTATGTTTCAAGGTTCGTCAGTCCTCCCGTTTTCAGCTGCTTCTAAGGAAGGTGACTGAGGTCTCAGCTCGAGTCAGTCCACTCCTCAGCTCCTACGCTGATCTCTCAAAATGCTTCCCAAAGGTTTGGCAGGAGAAACAGGAAGGATCTAGAGCAGTGCTTTTTAGATTCTAGCCGAGTAGGTATCAGGAATGGGGGAGAAAGTCCTTGCTCACACCAGGGCTGTTTAGGAAAGGACTGGAGAATCCAGAGGCAGCCTCCAGGAAGAATCCAAGGGCCCCCTCTCTTGATGCCAGTCCCTGTTCCTATTTCTATAGAGGAGGAAAGTCCATTTGCCGCTTGCTGGAGGCAATGAGCCCAAAGACCCGCCATCCCTGCAGTGTCCACCAGGTGCACAGGTGGGCCAGCTGTTCTCTGAGATTGCTCCAGAGGGCACAGTTGGGGGGTAGAGAGTAGCGCCTGGGACAGGGCCTTGGAAAGGCCCCTGTACTCAGGGCCTCTGTCCCTTCTTTTCCAGGTTCACATGGACAAACTGATAACAAAGCAGAACCTCACCTGGAATGATGAGTTCTGGGAGAACCCCTGGGACAAGGGGGCCCTGGCAGTGATCATCTTATTCATTGCCACGGTTCTGCTTCTAATCTTGTTTGCTATTGTATTTGGTTTACTCTCTCCACTTGAGGTCAACCAGTATGAAGACTCATGACCTGACTTTCTTGGGGCCACAAAGGGGGCTACCTGTCATATACTCTCAAAAAACCATGTACCTTTTCTTCAAAGCCCCTTCAATAGTCTGGAATTATACATTTTCTTTGTGATTATCTGATAAGTGCCTGTCTTCCCCACTGGACCAAGCACCATCAAAGCAAGGGATAGGTCTCTTTGTGCTCACCATTGTATCTCCCATGACCAGTGTGCCTGGCACAGAGTCAGCATCAATCAATATTTGCTGGCTGAATAAATGAAGGAACAAATGAGCAAACAGATGGTTAAACAGGAGGAGGCTGGCCTGTTGGCTACCCCAGCCCAGAAACACCAGGAGACGATCAAGCCCGGTTCAATTGAGGCCTGAACACAAAGCTGTGCTCTCATCTCAGACAAGGTGCCAGGGCCTCTAGCCCAGAGGATGCTTCGAAACTAATTACTATCCCTTTTGACACTAAAAGATAAAATGCCCTGTCATGAATAATCAAACACTTCTTTTTCATGGCCATAACTCGGAGAGAGGAGCTGCCTGCAGAGGCGGGAGGAAAAGTGCTGGGTGCCCCACCCTGGCCTCATTCATACTGAACCGAGTATCTCTTCTGTTGGTCCCAGAGGTGCCCAGGTATCCCTCACAGGGTCCCACAGCCACCAGGTACCCCAGACCCTACCACACTGCTTCTGTAGAAATGTACTCGCTTCTACCAAAGCCACCAAAGTGGCCTGTCCCTCACTGCCAGGTGCCCGCCCTCAGGGCAAACAGCTGCTTCAACTTCAACCTCAAACCAGGACTATTCTTAGAAAAGGGACAAATATCTGGTGGGGAAGGAGCCTTTTCTTCATGCTATACCCATTTATACAATAAAGAAACATTTCCTTTTACTCAAAGGGCAACTTCAAATCCAGCTATACCAGCAGTGTTTATTCCATCCCAGGGCCTGGAAGTCCTGGAATCTGAAACCCTGTAGCAAATGAGATAAGGGAGATGAGGCGCACATGGGGCAACAAGAGGCCACAGATGCCTGGACCCCCCAGTGCACTATGGGAGCCCAAGCTCCCTGGTATGAGACAGGAGAAATAAAGGCAGAGGCCCTTAGGAGGACCTGTCCCCTTGCTTGGAGAGCTGCTGCAGCCTCTTGGGATATGGCAGAACTAACCCTCCGGACAGGCCTACAGAGCCTCAGACTCATCCCAGACAAGAACCCAGCCAGGGTTATTTCCAGTGTAGGGGACTGTAACAACTAGCAAGGACACTTGGCCCTTTCATTATGAGCACTTTGCTCAAGGAGCCTAAGGCGGCCTAATTTAGCAGCTCCCTGTACTAGTGCCTGAAAAGGGCTCTGGTTGCATTGGCTGTGGGCAGGGGTGCTCCTGGCACTGCAGCCAACCACCTCAGCTGGGCGTGGTCGTATCACAGAGGCCAAATGAGAGATGGCTGCTTGGAGAAGGAAACAACCTCAGTCCACTGACTCCTTGGTGAATAGCAGGAGGTAGGAATCAAAATACATGGCCCAGGGGCTGGCCCCGTGGCCGAGTGGTTAAGTTCGCGCGCTCCACTGCAGGCGGCCCAGTGTTTCGTTGGTTCGAATCCTGGGCGCGGACATGGCACTGCTCGTCAGACCATGCTGAGGCAGCATCCCACATGCCACAACTAGAAGAACCCACAACGAAGAATACACAACTACGTACCGGGGGGCTTTGGGGAGAAAAAGGAAAAAATAAAATCTTTAAAAAAAAAAAAATACATGGCCCAAATAAGTGCCTCTGGTTTCCAGAGGAGAGCCCCAAACATCTGCTAAACACCAGTACCACATACTTAATCAGCTCCACGCTTCAAGAATCTAGACTTGCAAAAACCAAGATGGCAAGTGTGTATGCAAATATGCATGTCACTGAAAATCAGGAGATCTAGGATTAGTGGAGTCTGTCTACTGTGAGCTTTGTGACCATGACTTCTCTGGTCCTTGGTCTGTTCAGCTCTAGGTCTGAAGCAATCATTTCTGCCTCATCTACCTCACAGGGTTGTCCAATGAGAACTGACCAATGAGATCAACAAATCAAAGAGCTTTTTGGACCAAAGGGCTGCACAAATGCAAAGTGCTCCCCGCCTGTCCAGAATCCTCCTGGACATCCCTCACACAACGCACTCACAGCTGCTCATGCCCAGAACCCGCCATACCACAACTTGCCTGTCATTGAGCAGCTATCAGGCTCTTTCATGGCCCCCACCACCAGCAGATGCAGATAAAATCGATAAGTGGGTTCCATGTGGGCAGGCTGGTATTCTGTTAGAAAAGTTGATTTCTCTCCAAGTGTATTACCTCCCACCAAGAGAGAAGGTGGGTCACATGCCTGTGTGGGTCTGAGGTAAGAATGATAAGCGTCTAAGATACGAGTCACCTGGTAAGACTCAAGTGAAGCCAGTGGTCCAGCTCAGTGGCATGTGATGACCACAATGCCAATGGCTCAGAACTCGTCACAGGACTCAGGACCGAGTCATTCATGGGACCAGCCATTCCAGATACGGTGGAGCAGGGTGGATGGATGACCATTCAAAATACCAATACCACTGCCAAGAGTTTCTGGGGCCTTCCACAGAAAAGTGGAAGGGTACTGACTTCCACGCTGCCTGAAAGGATGTGCCCCACACAACGGCCTTTGGCAGGCAGGGGTCCCTTGGTGGCCCAAGAGCTGCCCTATGTTAGCTGGTTGACTAGTGGGTGCTAGGGAAGGAAAAGATGAACTGACACTTTGCTCCACATACGAAATGTCACTCACCCCAGTTCTTCACAGAAGCTCACCAGGGCATCAAAGGCCACAACAGCAGCTTTATCAGATGCTTTGTTCCCTCTCTTCTCCTGGAGAGAAGACATGACCATTTAGCAAAAGTCTTACATAGTTGGACTACTGTGTAGCTCAAAAAATGATGAGAAAAATATCAAATGACGATAAGAAAGCGATTTACAAAACAGTATCCCCAAAGCTTTCCATGCCTCAGAATCACCTGGGTAACTTTAAAGGACTGACCTGAGGCCCACAACCAGACTACCGAATTGAACTTTCTGGAACTGGAGCTTTTGGGAGTTTATATTTTCAAAAAGCTGCTCAAGAGATTCCCATGCACAGGGCCCAGGGAGTGGCATCTGGGAACCACTGTACAGTACGACCTAATGTAATAGTAGGAAATACACGCACAAGTGTGTGGGCTTCCATATGCAGGAACATATATACCTATGCGCACACGGAAGGATATACACTAAAACGTAAACAGTGATTACTTCTGAGTGTTGGAATTATGCATTATTTGCCTTTCTGTACATGTCTTATTTGTCAAATTTTCCTTTTAAAAAATTGTGAAATTAAAAAAATCATCAAAAAGTAAAGAAAACATAATAGACACTGATATCTGAGATATTTATCTAATGACTCTCTCCTTCAGGAAGGTGAACCAGGCCCACCTCCCAAATGCACACAAATACATATCCTTCCTCTACCCCCATTCTCCCAACGTTTATGACACAATTTCTTCTTAAACCATAATTTTCCTTATTATGACTACGTCAACATTGTTTGGAGCTAAACCACATGATTACATTTTTACATTTCCTATGACCACATATCCTTTCTTGTACAACTTTGCTTCCCTGAAATTAATAGCTGCTTTGTTTTTTCATTTACTTAGATCTCAGTTTATCACTAATTCACCCCCAAATGTTCTGACATAGTGAAAAATACATTCAATAGAGGCCAAAGATGGCAGGTTTCCACTATTATTTTTGGAAACTTCCTTCCTGGAACCTTCTGTTGCCCTGGTTCGATCTGGAACGCTGTTCTCCAGGCCTGGTGCCCAGCTGTCTCTCTGAGACCACCCTTCACTGACGTCCTAGGACACGCCCTCTGCCTTGCCCCTGGGGCGGATCTCCATCTCCTTTCTCGGTTTACTGTCTCTGTGGTGGAGAACAAACATCCTTTAGTAGCTTCTCCACAAGAGGAAGTTTTTTAAAACTTCGTGTCTGAAAATGTGTTTGTCCTATCTACACACTTAACTGGTTGGCTGGGTAGAAAATTCTAGATTGGAAATGGTTTATTTAGAATTTGAGGGGCCGGCTCGGTGGTGTAGCGGTTAAGTTCGCACGTTCCACTTCTCGGTGGCCCGGGGCTCACCAGTTCTGATCCTGGGTGTGGACATGGCACTGCTTAGCAAACACCATGTTGTGGTGGGCGTCCCACGTATAAAATAGAGGAAGATGGGCATGGATGTTAGCTCAGGGCCAGTCTTCCTCAGCAGAAAGAGGAGGATTGGCAGTAGTTAGCTCAGGGCTAATCTTCCTAAAAAAAAAACCCAGAATTTGAAGGCGCTAGTTCATTGTTATCTTGTTTATGGTATTAGAATGGAGAAAACTGATGCTCTTGTGGCTTCCGGTTCTTCATATATCACCTCACTGGAAGCTTTCTAGATCTTCTCTTTATCTCAAATGATCTCAGATGTCTCAGTGATGAGCCCAGCATGAGTTCTTGTAATTCACTATGTAAGTTTTAAATAAACACCTTATACCCAATCCAATCACCTTACCACAATCTTTTCCTTGTCTGATTTTGAATTTCAGATAAAAGAGACCAGTTAATCATGTCCCTTTAGTTAATGGCAGACTATCATTCTTGGCCCATGTATTCCCAATCCCTCCTTTCATTCACCTTCTCTCCCCATTCATTCATTTATTCAATAAACCTTCATTGAGAACTTACTATGTTAACAGCACTGATCTAGGCACACAGATACACAGGAAACAAAACGTCCCTGCTCTCATGGAACTCACATTTCAACAGAGCAGATAGAGAATAAGCAAATCTATAATGTCAAACAGTAATAAATGGGTTTTTGTTTAAAGCAACATAGGAGCTTTCCTGGGCCCTTGGCTACGCCTGTTACCCTATGGTGAGTATGGACCGTAATTTCTTCACTCCTCATTGCTGGATATTTGGTTTGTTCCCCATTTTCTGTCCTCATGAACAATTCTGCCATACAGGCTGTGGAGCACATGAGCTTACGCACTGACTCTTTTTCAAAAAAATATTTTTAATTAATTATTTTTAGGAAGATTAGCCCTGAGCTAACATCGGCTGCCAATCCTCCTCTTTTTGCTGAGGAAGACAGGCTCTGAGCTAACATCTGTGCCCATCTTCCTC